GCTCTATTATCGAAACATTAGATCTATTTGTCAAACATAACTCTATGCTCAACAATGAATGTATGATATGAAAACATGGAATTTTCTTTATGTTTTAGTTTGAGCATTATTCTGTCGATTATATTCATTAATTAAACAACAATTAACTATCAATGATACATTTCAAAGTTAAACAATCTATATTCATAGTTTACATGTTCTTAGAATGGCCTGCAACGGTAATTTTTGTTTCTATAAAATTTATTTTAATAGATAATTGATCCACAGCTAAGAAATTTCAAACAGATATTTCTTGTTCATTCTTAACTGCTTATCAGATTTTAACTATGGATAAAAATAGAAGTCAAGTAAATAATTGAATAAGAAAAGCCTTGAAGCAAATCGTTTAATTTATTTTCGATTTAGAATTAGTTAGATGATTTATTAATGTTGGTTCAAAAATGTAGAGAAAGTTGAATTTTTTTTCGATTTTAAGTCAACAAATAATTTGAAATGTGATTTATCTGAAAATAATTTTTCACTTGATGTTCTAATTAAATATATGACACATGAATCAGGTAATCGGTCGTGATCACATATATTTAAATATATTTTTCTAGAGTTTCGGATTATTGCCGATGAGCTGTTCTTCTTCATCTTCTTCAATCAAAATTATAAGTATCAAATGAATATTGCAATACTTTTACGACAATTAAAAGTAGCAAAATTACTTTTGTTGAATCCAAAACATTATCCATTGGTCAATGTGTTGTTTATCTGCTAGCAAATACTCGTACAGTATAAGGCTTGATGAATTTTATCCTGCCGACAAATTATTTGATCTATTTGTTAATGCAGAAATCTTAACAGAAGAACATGTTAACGTAATGTTCATGATAGAATTTCTTTTTATTTGTTTCTATAATTTTAGTTTTAGGTTGACAGTTTTCTTCGTGTTTATACTATATGTATTGATCGTAATAAAATAGATGCAAGTATTCGTAAATCAGCACTGGAACAAATGACGAGAATGTTTCTTGAAATTGTTTCAATTTTAACTCTTGCATTATTACGCCTAATTTTTGATCGAAGTCCCCACATAACTTCATTAGTTGATAAGTAAGGATTCATTCATTTTAGGATAAATTTAAGTATAGTTAAGAAAGATTTGTCTGATCACAAAGGATCTAGAATACAGAACATACATTTATTCTAGATTTTGAATTATGTTCGACAAAGTAGTATCGTCATATATTTTCTAAACTAACATTGATAGCTGGTGCAGTGGATGTTTTACATCATATTACAACAAAGTAATGAGCTTTTAGGTCGTTGATTTAGTGTTTTTATTATTATCTATTTCAATAGAATTGAAGAAAAAAAAACCAATCTTGTTTTCATTTCAAACAATATTACTAAGAAATGTGTTAGTTCATATTCTCATGTTGGTACTCAGTCACTAGTCGTCAAATTCACAGAGATACTGTTCGTTTGTTTTCTTTAAGAATAATCATATTCTGCACATTATATGTTGAATTATGATTCATTGAATATTTAAGAATCACAGTAGCAAAAAATGGATAGAATGATTTTTCTCAAGATTCATATGATCGATATAAAAGAAAGTTTTACTTTATTTAGACGTGTATAATTTCAAATTATAGAAATGCTTATTCATGCTAAAAACATTTTATCTTCCATTGACATTTATTGCTTTATATTTAACGAATCTTATAGTTGTGCAATCATTTTCAAAAATCATTTATCTCGTTTCACATCTCAATGTGCCACCATCATTTTCACATCTGATATATGATTAGAAAAAAAGATTTGACAATTCTTTAATTTAATCGAAAGGTGTTGTTCTAGTAGGTTGATGGGAACCTGCGAAGAATTTTCAGTAGCTATGCTTCGTGTAAGGAGATCCCATAGAAATAAAATGATGATACGATTATTTTCCTTTGTCCAACATAAATGTTTTTGGTTTAATTGATTGTTGAACTATGCACTAATAATTCTAAATATTTCGAATTAACCTCTTTTTCATGATGTCGAAATATACAATAAGTGACGGATGACTTTCTCGTGAGATTTCGATGATATCAAGTACCTGGTAATATTACTGATGCTGATGACGAGTAACCAAATAAGTATCACTTTTGTGGCCATATTCGATTATAATTTTTTACGAAAAAAAACAACTTTTTTCTCAAAAATAACTAAATACTTCAATGATGATCAGATAAATCCATACAAGCTACATAAAGATATATAAATATTCTCACTCACACCCACACTCTCAAGGTGAACATGTTATCTTACTCTCATGTCAGTATTATAATACGTTTGTTTGAGGTTTAATTTCATAAAAAAATATTCACACTGATAATTAACTTCTGCAGTATTAAAAGATTCGTTCTTTTCGAAGGTATAAGAAAAAAGATAATAATAAGCATGAGTTGTGAATTCAAACATGCATTTTTAACTTATAGCATTCACTGAGAAACTATTTTCTCGGTTGTTTATACTCAGTAATACTGGTATCAAAGTTACATCAATTTTCAGGACGTGCATTATATTGGAAAGATTGTTCTTTTAGTCAACCAAAACGAAACAGTTGTTGTGTTTTCTTCAGGTGTGTGTTGAATACTGAATATCGGCCGAAATCTCAACGAATTTCGCTTATATCGTGTCGTTTTCCATGTCGCTTTGTTTAATGTAATTTCCCACTATAATACAATGGTACACTTTCCCTCAGGTTACCCTTCATCGGATTGTAACTCTTGCTGCCAGTTTTTTCTTCGTGTGATATCTTGATGAAAAACATAGGTAAAGGTCATAAAGATAAAATATTGAGACAAAAACAATTGTAACTTGAACCTGTCTTATCACTCGTACTTTCGAAGTGATTAGTTGTATTGACAACGATTGTGTCATGCTAAATTGAAAATCAATTTCAAAGTCTATTTACTAATGCACAATCATCATATTTTTATATCGCTTATAATCTTATGGCTCATTGTGTCCAATTGAAATGGCATGTCATCAATTTTATAGAAGTAGTTTTGTTTCGGAAAAACAAGTATTTTAGAATATTAAAATCAATGTTGTGTCTAAAATATCTAAGTCAACTGGGACAAGGTCCAGTAGGTGGGGCTAGGGGTGGCACTTTAACTTTACTTTAATCGTAACCTTTAAAATTTTGACGTTGTTTAAAGTCTCCTTTAAACGCCTCTTTTTAATACTTTTTACTGTACTGACGTGTTTAGTCATGTCTATGTGACTCTCTGCAACAGATAAAATGCCAAAAAGAAGCATTTAACCGTGACTTTAGACAACTTTAAACTCTGCACTTTACGATCAATTTAAAGTTAAAGTGCCACCCCCAGGCGGGACTTACATTCAGTCCTTCACACGCACACATTCTGAAACGAGCTGCTTCGATCATTTTGCTTAATTGGGCTTTTTTCTGCTTTCAGGATTAGTTTCCCGAGCAATGTTAAATTGTGACGAAAGCATCGGAACGATATCGAATTTCTAACTATAGAAGGATTAAGTCGTGTTTTTCACTTCCGATGAATGATATATAAAGATGTGTGCTGTCGCTGCTGCATTTCATTTTAACAAAAACGATTTCTACAAAAACAATCTCCTGTTTCTTACTTATTCTATGCAGGTAATTATAAACCTATTATTTTTCTACCGGCTGAACATTCAGCAATCTTTCTTTAAAGCTTTACAGATTTATTCTTTTTTCTATTTAGTGTGTGGCTAGTTCAAGTCAAATCTCAAATATGCCATGGAATTGCTCAATATGATCGATGTTCAACAAATGGTGACTGTGCCTGTTTGTACATTGCAGGAACGCTAAACATCGGCATTTGTAGTGATCGATTCTTAGCAGATTGTTCTGAGCTAGTTAAATGCGATCAGAATAATCTTTGCGGTGAATCTGAGCATAGATGTGTTCATCATCCTCGATGTCACAGTCATCCTGTTTGCTACCTAGTACCGAGTTATAATCGGCAACTCTGCCCACTGATAACAAGTAAAAGAACCATCAGTTATTTTGAGAGTGAAGACGTGACTGTGAGTTTTCTGTATGCATGCTCATTAAAGAACAGCCATACAGCATCATCTACAAACATATGCGCTCGCCATCCATTTTTATTTTTTGCATAGCAAAGTAGAGCTTGAACTAGTTTCAGTAATCAAGGGTTCACCTACTTAGGTTACTACTGTAAAGTCTTAACAGCAATAAATTTTTATATCATTTTCTATGTTAGACATAGAACTAAATGACCTTTATGAATGAATTTTCTACCATTATCAATAGTGATGAACATCACAACTACAACAGTAGCTCCAACTACAACTGCAACCCGTACTCAGCAACTAGGTAAGCTTTGATTAATTCTTTTTTGACTTACTCAATTTAAATATTTCTAATCAGATTTATATAATTACTTTTAATGAAATTTGACTCTGCACAGGTAGCTAAATCTACATAGATAAAATCAGCTCTCTTTTATCATGAGTGATGTGGTTTTCAGCATAAGAAAAAAAAACATGAAACAACGTATAAACTTATTAATGCGGTGCTAAGCACGACATTATTGTAGTTCTTCGCGAGTTTTCTTTTACTTGAAAATAAAATACGCATGTTTTTTGTTACCTCATGATCTTAGCTATTGTAAATCAGAAAACATTCAATCAAACGTGATCTTACATTAACGAAATCGAATGTGTGATATCTCTTTTACAATGTTTACTACTAAGCTCCGTTCTTTGAGAAAAATCGTTCCAAAATCACGGATTTCATAAGAATTTATTTTTTTTTTCAAATTCGAAATAATAAAACGAAAAATTTATGGGCCATTTTCTACATATGAATATGTAGAACAGGTATAAAACACTTTATAGACACGAATAGAGTTTTCTTAGTCATGTATTTGAATATGACTGCTTTGAGTTTACTCGAAATTTTCGTTAATTGATAAGTTAAGAAGATTGTTTATAATTCTTGCAGATACCAAAAAAACCTAATTCTATGAAGAATGAAAGTGATGGGGGACTAAGAATTTCGAGTAAATCTTAAAGTTCATTACTCGTTCTCAGTCGTTTTCTATTATTTTTCTTGAACTCGATGTTTACCTCTTTTGTTCTCTCGACACATACATATGTTATCATCAATAATTCATGAGTCATTGATATTGAGGATGCAGTATTAAAAAATACTCGCTCGAATTCTAATGGAACTATTGAGATAGATCTCCTACCACCTTATTTCAAATCTTCCAATGATACAATTGAAAAATCTTATCTAAAAAACGTGGAATTCATCATTAAATTTTTCATTTTCAAGATTCTTGATGGTAAAAATCACGTAACCCGAAAAAGTTATTGACTAGTAAGTGCTTTAACAACTGTTTATGGGTTATGACCCATAGATATGTTTAAAAATTTAATCGATATCCTTTTTTTAAGAATAAGCTGATAAATGTAACAGCGTTCTCGCGGTTATGAGTTTATTATGACTAATGGAAAATTATTGGAAATTTTGATGTGCTGTACTTAAATGAACATTTGAAAATGTGTACGCATAGAAAAGAGTCAACTTCACAACAATATCAGTTCTTGCAACAAAAAGACTTTGTAATCTATTGTAATATCGATCAGTCGTCTTTCATTGTACTTTCCTCGTGTAAAATCTTTTCTAGCAAATAATTCTTCATTTTCGTTCCTGCATTTACGCTTGACAATTCGTCATAACTGATTCGATAATCATCATAAGGGAAAATTAAAAAGTACTTTTTCGAACTCAGATAAAAAAATATTCAAATAAAAAAACTACTAGTGCTTCAAGACTTGACGATTGCTTTTCTATCATTTTCCAAACAAGGCATACGAACAATAGTGGCATCCATCAATATAATTTTACTTTTTTCACAGCCTCTGGATCTACTCAATTATCCATAAGAAGTCAAATAGGTAAATAAGCGCTATATCGAAATAATCCTCTTCGTACATATGGATACGAATGGATAAAGTTCTCTTAGTGATGAATTTTTACGATAACCGCTTTATGGTTATTTGAAAATTCAATAAATTGATCGGTAAAACGCTGATACTCATTCCTATCAATAACTAGAAAGTTGAAATTCAGAAAAATCTGCCATTGACAAGGTTGATAGCAATGCGCCCAATAGAATACCTAAACTTTTTTTGGTAACTTTGTAGTGTTGTCAGTGTAGAGCGATCCTGACATTTCACCTATTCTCGAAGAAATCAGAATGCAGGCTTCGCAATGCATTTCGTATTCGAATGAAACTCGGATACCATCTAGTTTTAACTGATTTTTGCCACTTTCAAATTTCGAACCATAATCCCAATATAATTATTATTTTTGCATCGAATACGAAATAAACAATGCCACGAGAAATTTAAATTCATTTAATATTTAAATTTCCTAGATATCTCTGGTCGACTGATCCGACATCGGATCTGATAGGAACCTGGAAATATCCAACAATCCGATACAATTCTATTGGATTCCGGGTCGAGGAATCGATTTTGGATCCTCAGTGTCAGAATCCTATGAACTTCCGATGACATACAACGTTTTTTTTCTTGGAATTTATAGGAATCCGACACCAATTCCTCGACCCGGAATCCAACGATAATTCTGTAAGATCTGACAGGACCCGATAAAATCCTATTGGATTCCAGTCGGATCGGATGGGTTCCGATAGGTGCCTACTGTCGGATTGCTCGACCTGGGATGCCCTTTTTTCGAATGAATTTTCATTGACAAGCATAGTATGTGATCACAACACACTACCTATCTCATACTGTTATACGAATGGTGAATTTGAACCAATTCATCTACTCTTTCTTAATTAAAGTTGAATACAGCGCTTTCATTAGATGAAATACATATGAATGTTACAGTAAAGAAGAGGTTTTCACTCAAAACGCTCCCCTAAATTAGAAAATGGTGTTTTTAGTAAAGTCGTTGACGATAGGAGTACTTCATATCCATTGCAGCCTTTTTTATGCCCATCATATCTATTTCATGAATGCTGCACTCCTTATTCAATTCATAAGTGCTATTTGGAAGAAAAAAAATTGTGACTTATAATATAAGACTGCGCAAGCAGACAAAAGTTTTCAAAAACCTGTTTAAACGTCCAGAAAAATCGGGCTTGTTTGGATGACAATTGGGGTTCCTGATTGTAAGCGAAAAACAACTATTCTTTGCCTTTCTTGTGTGTTTGAACGCGTTTCTGAAAAATTTTGTCTGCTTGGAGAGTTTCATTATGAGTAATTGGCATCAAGCGCTTATTCATCGTTGTTAAAAGAAACCAATAACTTCGGAATTAAACAGGGCCTGTTGCGTATTATAGAACTTCTACTTGAAATATGCTATATGAACCTATATTGTTCTCTTATGTTTCTATTTTCTGGATTACCAGGAATAAAGTATTTCTTAACTTATTTATCGTTTTTCTCAAAATATGATTGTACAGCACAAAAATTCAAACTATACTCATGTAGTTCAAGCTTCACGCAATGTTTTTGTTTTGTAATTCGAAATGATAATAAATTTTCTACTGAATCAAGTTCTTATAATTGATTTTTGTGTTGTAACCAAGGGGGAACAAACTGATTTCGGAAGTCGAAATCAACTTGAAATCACTCGAAATCACTTGCAATCATTTGAAGTCATTTGAAATCGTTTGAAATCGTTTGAAATCACTGAGATCACTTGAAATCGCTTGAAATCAACTGAAATCAAAAACTCCATATGAAATCATGAAATCACGAAATCAGTTTGTTCCCCCTTGAAAATATTACTAAATTCGAATTTAGAAAAATAAGTATTTAAGTTGTTTCTGAGGGTATGGGTGTAGATGGATATATACGAGTAGCTGCCTAATTCGACTTCGAATATAAATGCAAAAAAAACCACTTTCATGTTTTCAAGCAACCCCGGCAGAAGATTTCTTTTTTTTATAAATCATGAAATTTATAATTCGAATTCGAATTCGAACTTGCATATAGCTCCCATGTATGTCCGCCTTTCTCCACACCCACAGTTGCTATGTTGTGTTTGTGTTTAGAACAGTGTATGTCCGCCTTTTCTGGCACACACAGACACCCTCCCACCAAACCCTACAAAAAGGAAATCTAAATCTATTCCTAAATTATAAATGGGCTGCCACTTTGACGATCTTTATCTTTTGCTTTGGGATGATTTTCAAATGGTCGCGATTTTTTTGCGTTTATTTTCGAATTGTGAATAGTTATTGAGGTATCGATTTATATTCGAATTCGAACTAGGCATCTCATGATATATACACAATCGAACTAGACATAATCATAGAGTTATGGACGTATTGATCTAAAGTTTAGACTCGAGTCATGTAATTTATCCTCATCATTACTTTTTTACTCACCTGAGATAAGTAAAATGCAAGCCTATCGACAAGTTTCGTAATATAACTTTTTCATTTGTCTCCTTCAAGTCTTTGTGTAATTCTTTGAATCTTTGACAAACAGCTCTTCTCATTATAGACTTATCATCATCATAACAGCATTTTCTTTCAAAAGAATGATCTATTCGAAGAATTTTGCTCGATACTTTCGAAACTATTTCATATACTAGCTATACTCGAGAGAGACAGCGAGAAAGAGTAGTTCTTTTCTAATAATACTATCACTTCAACGCGATAGAACGAGAGAGATTTCCTTTCATCCTTTTGTTTTCTCTTCTAGTTAACATTCCTGCTAATGCTAAATGGAAACAGAGCGGAGTGACTGTTGCTGGAGGTAACGAGGATGGGGGTGCCACTAATCAACTCTACTGGCCTTGTGGCCTCTTTGTTGATGATGATCAAACAGTGGTTATTGCTGACAGCGGGAATCATCGTATCATGCAATGGAAGAATGATGATACAACGAATGGACAAGTTGTTGCTGGTGGCAATGCCCAAGGAAATAGATTGCATCAATTGAATAATCCATCTGATGTATTAATTGACAAAGAGACGGATAGTCTCATTATTTGTGATTATGGGAATCAACGAGTTGTACGATGGTCTCTTCGTAGTGGCACAACACAAGGTGAAATACTCATCGACAAGATCAATTGTTATGGATTGACTATGGATGAGCAGAGATATCTCTACATTTCTGACGATAGAAAACATGAAGTAAGGCGATATCAATAGGGTGAGAAAAATGGCACTCTTGTAGCTGGTGGTAATGACAAAGGTGATGAGCTCAATCAACTCAACGTGCCGACATATCTCTTTGTCGATCGAGATCATTCAGTGTACGTATCAGACTTCTGGAATCATCGTGTAATGAAATGGAATAAAGCTGCAAAAGAAGGTATTGTGGTTGCTGGAGGACAAGGCCAAGGGAATAATCTTACACTGGGGTGTGGGTGTGGGTGTGGGTGTGGGTCTTTCTCATCTTTGACCAGCCCACACCCACACCCACACACACCCTAAAATTCGTTCAAAATCAAATTAAGAAAACTCTCAATAGACACTTTGAAGGGTTAAATAAAATATCAAACGAAACATTAACTAAACCGGATGAATTAGATAACAAAGAGATGAAGAAAGAACAAGTCTTTATAGATTTACCATTTATTGGTATAGAAACAAAAATGTTGGGTAAAAAAATTATTGATCTAGCTAAATATATTAGGCCAGACCTTCATATACAACCTATTCCTAGACCTCCACCAGCAATAACAACGTTCTTTCCACAAAAAGATAAAATTAATAAAAATGCCCAATCTAATATAGTTTACAGTATATCATGTTCAGATTGTGACGTAGGATATATTTGAAAAACTATTAGACAGGCATCGAGACGACACCAGGAGCACGGCGCACCACAACAACCAAAGGCACCCTCTACCCCTCAAATAGCTACACCAGACTTAAATATTCAATCATTAAGACGATCTGATCGTCTTCGATCAAAACCGAACGTTAATTATTGTCAAGATGACAATGAATGTATTGCTAAATCTCAGGAGAAAAATGATGAAAAATTGATGAAATCAGCTCTTTATAAACATCAAATGAATATGAACCACACAATCAATTGGAATGATTGGAAGATCATCTCAAAAGATTGCAAAAAATATCGTTTACTGGTTCGCGAATCCTTACAAATTCTTCACAAAAAAACAATTTTGAACCGAACTATGTGTTCTGTTCCTTTAGTTGTATATCCTGAAGGTTTACAAATATCTAAACCTACTGTCAAAATTAAACTTGGGACAATTATTAAACCACGGACCCCGGGCAAATAGTTAAATATGCGCATATTTAACTATCTTAATTGTTGGTAGTGGTGGTTATCTTACTTTCAATTGAATGAAATGGAAAACCAATATCTTTCTTACTAATGACTCATGTAACACATATAAATACTTCTCTTTTTCTCAGAAAAATGTAATTCCACCTGTCTTGATAATGATATTAGATATATCGAAACGTCGACGAACCTTATGGTTATAAATAAATAAAGGAAATAATTAAATAAACTTAGCTGCTGTAAAAAAATCTATTTTTTTTTCTTGTAGCGTGTTATATATAAACTTTCACTTCAAGCTAAATTCAACTGCGAAAATTCTTTTCTTCTCATAAATTACTATGCAACCGAATGGTATTTCAAGTCATTCTACGTTGAACAGTATAGGCGCTTTTTCATTGTTGTAGATTATTAATTGGAAATATTTACTTGTAGCTAGCCTTTACATATGTTTCTTTCATTCAGATTGCCTAACTAAACAATTTGGCAAATAATTTCAACACGAAAACTACGATCATTTTTTTCTATTTCATGATTATTAAACCGAAGTATTGATATCGATATGGATGTCATATTTAAACTTTGGCTCGGTTCGGATTATTCAAGTCAATAATCTGGTTATGGTCTAGTGTTTTTAATAGTCGGCAAGTCTGGCTAATTCATTGAAATATTTTCTATTTGTGTCTTATGTAAAGCCAATGAAGTAAGGTTGTTGGTTTGGTATCCTCCTATTACATTTTGAATTTGAACGTCTCATCGTACCTTCCGTAGAGTCTTAATATCTGAAGCTAAGATTAGGCAACTAGAAAGAGCATTTTGAACCAGTTCCGAACGGTAATTCTGGGAGAGTCGACCTTAATTTGAGTGAATTTGAAATAATAGGAAGAGTTTGCGATGATACTCATGCAACTCTGACGTTTTAACTTTGTGTATCGAGTTCTGTAAAGCAGAACTACCATCAGAAAGGCCTATCTGACCATCGGAAAATATGAAATTCAAGATGAGTTGATCTGTTTATATTATCTTGAAGTAGAGTGGTAAACTAATAAAGAACAGCATTATTGATCCCGTTCATTCCTTTTCTGTGTAAGGAATATATTTGATAATATGAATTTTTGGAGTTTGATGATCGACATAAAGATTTCTGACGCACGAAAAGGATAACTTGGGTCAATAGTGCTGCTCTCAACCAAACTCCTATCCTACTTCAGTATAATGTAAAAGGCAAAACAGATTTGAATTTCATATTTTCCGGCGACTTAGTACGCCGGTTTGATGACAGCTCTATTATTAAATTGGTATTGCGAAACTTAGTCTGCAAAATCAAATTTTAAGTTTGTCTATTGGAATAATTTTCATACTAAACCAGTTTCGTACGATACTTAAAAAGGCTTAGAATTCGTTTCAAAATTCGGAACCTTTTCAAGTTCGATACGGTACCTTTTTTGTTTTCAGTGCAGTTTCTATCAGAAAAATTATTCATCAAAACAATGTTTATGAATTTACCTGGATCCTTGTAGGATTTTTACATTGGCCAATGAAACAATAGTAACTGTTAAATAATCGCCAAATTCAATTAAATCTGGAAGTTGATCTGATTTGACAAATATGAAAGCAAATAATTTACTATTGTAATATTTCTGGTGAAAATCTGAAATAAATTGACCAAGATAGTCGAATCAGTTTTAATAAATAAATATTGAAAAAAATAGATTAGAATACAACGGGATAAACTGACTACAATTTCACCATAACTTTGTCCTTTTGTTCAAAACTGACCACAACGATTGTGAAAATTATACAGGACGACACAAATGAAATTTTTCCGCCCAAAAATCAAGTTTACAGGTATCTCCGGGGAAAAAAGAGCTAGACCATTCAATTGCAAATTAAATTTAGCTTTTTTTGGTACCTGAATTATAGATAAAAGTCGAAGGGAAAACGCTATAGATGAAGTGCATAAGTGACGTTCGAATCTGCTCATAAAAGTCTTAGTCATCTGGATCTGACAGTATACCATATGAGAAAAAGCCAATAGAATAAATAATTTAAACAGAAACGTTTTGAAATTACATCGGCTTGATTACACATGACAACTTGGTGTCCTACTCGCTTTGATGTATGATAGATGTTCGTCTGTGGGTTTATCATTTTAGCACGATACATAGTTGTAAATGATTGATAATTTATTTCTGAATGTTTCTTATTAAAACGGTTTTTTTCCTTCTTTATTGAATGAATCAAATATATAACAAGTAGCAAACGAAATAAACTGTAACATTAATACAAAACAATTTCATTCAGTTGCTCATTCAGATGTTTGTTTTAGTTAAATATGAAGCACAACCCGTTTAAAAACTATGATATCTGAAAAATGTTTGTAGTACTTTATTGCGAGTATAATCTGATTCCATCGCTTCCCAAGCCGAACAGACACGGTCGTAAACAACCGTATACGGAGAAATACGGCGAAATACATGTCTCAGCATTACGATCATATATGGACTCTGTAAAACCTCGACCTGGGTTATTATATTCTCGTCAAGAACTATGGATGCCAATAATTTATGTTACATTTAATCATTTGAATGGACGCTTTACAATCGTGGTCTATTGTGATTAAAAGCTTTAGAATAGCAACATGAATGATTCGTACGAGTATGCGAGCGAAAAAAAAATCAAAAGCGATGCAATATATTTGAAGCCCGTTGAAATACATAAAATCAAGTGGAAAGCGTATAAATAGACAAAGAATTGCCTAAAGGACAGAGCAAGAGAAATAAGAACTGGTATTTAATACATTAATCATAGCCCTTTTTCTCATTTTTTACAATTCACGTCAAATGAATCCAATACAAAAAGACGAAACGAACGAGACTGCTCGATTGACATCGACAGCAGCTCCAAGACCTTATGTATCAGTCACTGACGTTGGTCGAACATTTGGCACAACGTATTTTCTTGTGTAATTTTTGGTTTTTATTTGATAAAAAGTTTAACAAAACAAGACTATCAATATTTTCTAGTTCGACTTTACTTGCATCTACCATTCCAATAATTCAACTAGGTATTGGTTTAAATTACATAGGACAATGTCCGATTAATCAACAGATTCCAACTTATATGATCGTAGCTGGCATCTGTGGTTTAGCATTAGTTGGTCTTTCACTACTTATCGCTATGTAAATTAAAATTTCATTAAACATTCTTTCTTTAGTTTCAATATTTCATTTTAGTACATTTATCTGTTTTGTCCCGGGTTCAACAGCATTAACAGTACTAGCTAATTGTTGTGTATCCTTTAATGTACTGGCAGCTTTTATTATTTCAATATTCCTTTTTATTTGGTTCATTTTCGGTTGCGCATGGGTATTTAGCCTTCGTAATAAGGTACAATTTCAAGATCTATTAAAACCTAATTATTGTCAACCGGTTTTGTATAAAGCTACATTCATATTACTTATTATAACAATTATTTTCGCCTGTATTCAATGTTGTATATCATGTTTTCGACAATGCCGATCAACTGACAATATGAAATGAACCATTATTCGACAACATATTTTTTTTTCATTGCTTTCTCCTTGAAAAGATTGTAACACTATACTTTATGTTTTTGTTGTTGAAATATTCATGCAAAAAATATAAACTACGATAGAGACTTGTCGAAATGGGTGCGGTTTCCATGTCAAGAATAATGATATCCGTGCGAAAGATTTCAGTTTTGACCGAAAATATGCCAATAACATTTTCTGCCATCAAATCCGATACCGAATCTTGCTAGTTGAAGGCAAAGTTGATCATTCTGTTGGAACGATATTTTTTCACTTCATTTACTCAATAAAAATGTATGAATTTCAGATTTATCTGGTAGAAATTAAATTCTTTGATTACAGCATGCTGATTACTATTAAATTATTTGCTTCTATTCTATTTCGATAAATATTTACCTAAATCATTCTATCACAGTACAAAAATACGGCAGATCTAGTATTCTTTGACAACATAAAGTGAAAATATTTCAATGTACCTATGAAATCACTTTTTGTTTCTGCTACTTTTTATTATGTCTCTATATTGTTAGAACCAACCTATACATAAGAAGACTTGGTACCAACTAGGCTCTTATATGCTGATTATACACATAGTATTACGTAAATACTTATTAGGGCCAATTATGAATGCTCTGCATTTCATTGATGATGACATAAATTGTTTTTACGAACAAAAATACTCTTGTATTTAAAAAGTTCTAATTAGAATTAGCGATACTATAGCATCAACGCTCTGATTTTTTTATTGCCAATTAAATAAATTAACCTTTAGAAGTTCTTCGTTCGAAAGAAGCTCATCTATGATATTCATTTGGATCGAGAAATTCATTACCTACTCAATCTACTATTGGAATTGAAATTAAATATCAGATATAAGCCATTAAAAATATATTGATCTTTGTTTTTCTTTAGATAAATACGTCAGTATCTGGATAAACAATATTAAAGAGTTTATTCTAAAACAAAATTTTTTTTTCGAATTTATATATTCAACAAAAAGCATTTTTCAGTTTATGAATTATTTTTCTGGTGTTAATTGTTTCCAACGACGATGAAAATCATCAATATGTTGTACAATCACTCCTATGAAAAAATGAAGAAAAAAAAACGTTCAATATTTATCCTTTGATTTATCCTCTAGAAATAAAAAAAACAAGATAGGTTTACCCTCTTTTTCAATGGTTTGTTGTTCTTTATTTGTTAATGGCCTTGATAAAAGCAAATTAACCGTTGACATTGAATTGCTTGTTGTTTGCTTATCGAGATTACTTTGTTGTGTAAAATAAAGACAGCAATCTATCATTTCTTGAAAACGAAAAAAATCTTTATTTTTATTGTTCTTTTTTTTATTTTGATTTGATAATCGTTCATGTACAGCTTGTGTACGAATAAATCTAAAGAAAAAGAAAAGAAAAATTTCGTCCAAAGCATTGTTTTTTTTCAAGGATAATTTAATAAGTAGCTAGACTTTTTATTGGCACCTTAGTTTTCCTTTCTGTGGTTCGACTTTTTCAATTTAATATTAATTAGCTTATTAAATATGTCGACTATCGTTCACAGCTGGTCTCAACGTATCAAAAAATTGAATAGATTTGACGAAAATAAGGTCTACACAAGGTTTCCCTGTAGTTGAGCATGAAAAAACTCGATGATCTTACACATATCTAATTAATAAATATCATCCTTGATATCGTAAAAATAGTTTCCTTTTACTCTCAAGAAGAAACCCAGAAACCGGTAATTTAGATTTAATAGAGTTGCGAAATTTATAACTTACCTATTTCCAAGACGAAATTGATTTTCAAGCCATCGAATAGCGTCACGAGCTTCACGTTGCTCTTTTTTTAGTTCATCAAGAATATCAATCACTTAAAGATACTGAATATTTTTGAAAATCTTCATCAAAAACAAAAAATACGAACCAACAAGTGGAATAACAACAATAAAACGTTGTGACTGGACAAATTTTTGTACTAAATTAAGATTTGTACATAGTACAGATGAATCAATAACAAGATATGGTGGTAATGAAAATTCTTCGTTCTTTAAACAATTTTCTAATTGACTGATTTCTGCTTGTAAACGTAGCGCAGCCATATCACGCATCAAACGAGATTTACGTTCTTCATCAACAGTCGTATCTGTTTGTTTATTTGATGAATCATCTGTGGTCACAGTCGATTGTTCAAATGGATTTGTAGCAATGAAAGATAATTTCTCATTATCATAAATAAACTGAGAATTCGGTATAATCGATGTTGCATAATAACCAAAACGACGTAGTGAACAAATACGAATTACTGTCTACAACAAAATTCATAATAGTTTATTTTTTTCCTTTTTCAATTTTATTTATTTTCTATCTTACAGATTCAAGTTTATTTAATGACGATAATTGATTTAAATTTAATTTTATATAATTTCGATCAACTTTTAAAGACTGGAATGCACGTAATCGAATATCTTCATCAAGCATTGGCGATGGAAAGACAAACACTTTGGTCTCAACAAACTTGCTTAATAGAGGATAAATTGATGAAGTCGAAGGAATTAAACCTAAATCAATAGTAAAAAAATAACATGAAAATTAAACCAACAACTTTCAACATACCACTTTTTAGAATGTCTCGTTCATGCGGTAGAAAATTTAACAATAAAGCTAATTTTGACCATAGACCCGGTGATATCTATTTTAGTGGTAGAAAAATAAATTTAGAAATCTTAATAGTGAAATTCCATATAGAAATACCGGTAACAGCATTTGAAGAAGTCGTTTATTGCCAGCAAGCCAATCACAAAAACTTTTTATGGCAGAGAGAAGATATTCATTTTCCAATAATTCAATTATTAATTTTGTACCATGATGAAGAGTATTTCTACAAAGGAAAACGAATAATATTAATTTATTATGTTCAATCAATTATCCGAAGAATCTCTTTACAGGGCTTTATTTACTGACTGATTACAAGAATTTGTAGCACATTGAATACTTTTACATCTATGAAAAATACACTACAGGAAAGAGCAAATATTTCTGAACAATATCATACCAATAATCATTAACTGTTTTTTTAATACTGTCATCAATAATTAAAGATTTTCTAATGAAATACGGATAAGAATCGTCATCTCGATATTCACTTTACAGAATCAATCTGCTACTGCTGTGAACTGCTTCTTATATGATCTATGTGTTAATTCTAACAAATTTAGATCATGATGAAGGCAGTCCATAGATGTTAGGATATTATTCTTGGGAAATATTCCATGTTTTTTTACTCATGTACTAAATAAATCGTATAAATAAGAGCTTGTCTTTAAAATTCATTTAGATTTAAATTATTGAGCTCCGATATGATTTTCAATCGGATTAAAACTAATGCAAAGCGCATCAAGTGTGTGATTTATAAAATATATAACCAACTTATGTAAACAATACTATTTTTTGTGATTCTATATACTTTTAGGAGATATTGTGTCAGTCTTAATGTAATTCTTCGAGTATTTTCTTACTGATCATTATCAATATCTTCTTGTTTTTCATTGGTTGTATTTTCCATAATCGGTTCAAGTTCGAATTCAGCAAGTTTTTGCTCGATTTCTGCAGCTGCCAAAGCTTCACTATTATGTTCGAATCCTATAGAGAACAGATTCTTCATCAAACTGGAAAAAAAAGACAATGCCAACTATTTACCTGGTGGTACATTAATTTGTTTATTTCCAATAAGAATAGATTTAAATGTTTGGTCATAATTATATGTTGACATAGAATATGGATCATCATCTGCTGATGTTTGATCGAGAAAAAGTGGTGATGGGCAATCATGAGACGCAAATGCAGCAAACAAATGTGTTGATAGATCCGTAAATGAAAAAAGTGACGCTTGTGATGGTTGTGATTCATTATTATGAAAAACAGCACCACTTTGTTTGATTTTTTCCATAAACTCTTCAAGTGCTACTTTAATTGCTAATTCTATACAATAGAAAAATTATTAGAAATAAATTCGTTACGATGTATTAACCTTCGGCTTCTTTATCTTTTTCATCTCGAATAGTTGGTTTTATTTGTTCGTTTTCATCTGATGAATCTCCTGAAAGATAATCTGGTATTTCATCTTCTGATCGATCTTCATCCGATGAATCATCTCGTCGTTGATCTCGTTCGTTCGATAATGAACCTTCACTATCGTCACTTTTATGATCAGATGAAGAAGCACTTCGTCGACGACGTCGAGACATCATTATCTTCATTCGTCGTCGTTTTTCTTTGGCTTCAGCCTTTAGAATTAAGAAAATAACTTTTATTTGAAAACTTCAACTTCTCTTCATTGTTGTTGTTACCTGTCGACGTTCCTCTTCTTCTCCGGAATCATTTTCATTCGTTTTTGTTCGTGCATCATGTAATTGATAGAAAGCATTTTGTAAACGTATTATTGTATGATTAACTACATGTGAAAATAGAGCAACAGCAAATGCTATACCAGCAAAAAGTATAGTCTCTAAATATGAAAAAAATTAAACATATAAAAAAAAACTAGCGGCACAACTAAATATTTACGTTTTACTGTTCGACTACGTGTACGTAGGATACGATCGACAAGCATCATTGATATAGACAATAGTTTAAAGACAAGATCATCGGACAGAATAGAATCATTTTGATAAAACATACAAGCATTGAAATCATTTAATGTTTGTTGACCGGATTCTTGAATTTGACCACTAAATAAACGCTCGATAGTGCTACATCGATTATTTCTAATATTTATTTTTAACTTACATATTATTAGATTCGAGTAATTGATGAGCGACATGTAAAAATTCGACAAGAAAACGACGAATTTCACGATTACTAAAAAGAAAACAATCTCATATTTAAACTTCAATTGGTTTAAATCGACTTTTGTAGAAACTCAAAAATAAAGTATTCATCTTACGGTCTTTGCTTGCAAGTAGATTTTATTATGTTTCATCGACAAAGAAACTTCTGGTTCCGCGTAAAAAATGATATTCTCCAGTTTTTTTCAAAAGTAATATATTTTTACATTATGTACAGTTTTTGCCGGTTATGACTTACATGATTTGTTCTCATTGAAGAGGTCACTTTTTTAGTCCTATGCATCGATTAGCTGATATAGACTTCAATGCAGTTGAAGATAAACTTCGAGAAAAATTCCACAAAAAACAAACTATCAATTTAACTATCTCAATTAAGAATACTCATTTTAAGAACGTGTAATTGTGATCTCAACAAACCTTGTTTTATCATTTCGGTTTTTTGTTTGTTGTTTAGTTAATTCCAGAAATCGTTTTTCATTTCGTTCAAAAAGCATTTGTAAATTGTCTTTAGCACCCTCAAATGGATGTACTGCACTCAAGCAAAGTAAATAGAAAAATGCTGCATCGGAACTACTATTTGATCGGCCACATAAAGTTCCCAATTGATTCAAAGGCATTCCTAAATAAATAAAAACAAATAAATCATTATTATCATATAATTATTACAAACCAATCTCTGGATCAAGAAGAACGGCCATAGTATAATATTTTTCTGCTGTTTGAATGCATCCATCATATTCGCTTAAATATCTACTAATATCACCCAAACAAACTAAACATTTATGAAGAAGTTTTAATAATGATTCAATTAAATTGTCAATTTTTGTTGTTGTTATATTAACAGCTACACTAATACAAAATGTATATATTTAATCCTATTAAAGAAATTATTCATACATACATTTGTTTTCATTAAATAATTGAATGAAATCAAAAAAATGACTCATATTTCGATATGGTTTTATCATTGATACGAATTTAATTAATAGATTTGAATAGAAACCAAATACAGATAATAAATGCATACGATACGATATTTGAACATCTACTATTGTTGATTCATCATAGTCTTGTCGATATCGTTTAAATATTTGTATGGGTTCATAAGCAGCTTTTCGCCAAAGTAAATCGATAATTTTTAATCCATAATCAATTGAATCGTCGAATAAGAGTGTTTCACACATTTGTTTAAATCTGTAATAGATATGGTTTTTAATTTTTTCAATTTGGAAAAATTTCATCTTACTTATCACGTAAACGGCATGTTTCAGGATGGAATATATTTTTTAATGCTTGATGACCAGAATAACGATCAGATAATCGTTTTGATAAAGTTAATGCATTACTAAAATTGAATATCAATGAAAAATAGAATTTCTATAATGATGTGTTGTTGTTCCTTCTTACATGTAATTTTTTTTATTCTTATCTAATTCTAATCTTGATTCATTCGATGCTGTTTGAGACTGTGGAATAACCATTTTTTAGAAATGAAATTGTTCTTTTCTAATTTCTAATTTAATAAATCTTCACTCTTACAACAGGTCGATGTTGATTGGTTGTTTTTGATTCATGTTAATCTTGCATTTGCCTCTGTATATTTCCATTGATTGTTACGACAACGCATTTATCCGTGTTGATATAATATCTAGTAGATATGATTTATGTTCACGGCACATATTATAGTCACTAGTTGAAATAATCAATGTCTGATATTCGTAATTTCTTCAAAAAAGTTTCCACACCAAACAAAAAAGTAATGGATATCGATTTCTATGTAGGAAACATTAATAATTTTTGGTTGTAGCGTACACGAGACGACTCAGCTGATCGTGAAGAAATTACATCTACAGCAAAACTTGAACAAAAACTATCAACTAAAATCTCAAAGGAAAAAATTGTTTCACAGACAAAAACTAATATTAATACAACACCACCGAAAAAGATGAAAACCAAAGAAACAGATCCAATAGAAAAGAAAAAACATCTTGAAAATTATAAATCGTTCATCAATCGAGGTGGACCTGTTGCACCTGGTTCAAAAGTAATACCAGATGGAGAAAAAAATTGTTTGAAAAATTTAACATTTGTTATTTCTGGTAAAAACAACTTTTGAGAAACAACGAAAAATAAGTAGCTAGATCTAATTTTAGGTGTACTTGAATCATTAGAACGTGATGAATGTAAAATTTTAATAGAAAAGTATGGTGGTCGTGTAACAGTAGCACTCAGTGGAAAGACAAATTATCTTATTGCTGGTCGTGAGTCGAGCGAAGGAAAACTGAATAAAGCTCGAGAAACGAAAATTGCAGTTATTTCAGAAGATGATCTTCTTGAATTGATTCAAACACGTCCAGGTGATGAAGGTACACCTAAAAAGAAAGTATCTACAACAGCAGAATCATCTTCGATGCAGTTGAAGCGAAAATCATCTTCTACCGTCAGCAAATCGACTGATCCAAGCCCTATGAAAATACAAAAAAAATCTGATGATGAATCAAATTTATTATGTAAAAATCTATTGTAAAGATAACAGCAGCATTATTATTCTTGAATATTTTAGGGGCTGATAAATACAAGCCACAAACAATAAAAAATCTTATAGGACAACAAGGTGAAAAATCTTGTGTACAAAAACTCATTGTATGGTTACGTGATTGGTATCAACACCATGGAGTTAGTGATGAAAAAGTTAAAGCAAAATCATCATTTGGTTTTAATCGTAATGAAAATCCAGCTATGTTTAAAGCTGCTCTTCTGAGTGGTCCACCTGGCATTGGTAAAACAACAGCTGCTCAATTAGTTTGTCAACATTTGAATTATGAATATATTGAAAAAAATGCATCAGATCAACGATCGAAAAAATCAATGACTAATCTATCGAGCGATACATATAGTGTTGTCAATTTAGCAAATAAATCTTCTACAATATCTAAATATGTTTTAATCATGGACGAAGTTGATGGTGTTGCTGGCAATGAAGATCGAGGTGGTGTACAAGAATTAATATCATTAATAAAACGATCACGTATACCAATTATATGCATATGTAATGATCGGCAACATAAAAAAATCCGGTCATTAGCTAGTTATTGTTATGATTTACGTTTTTATCGTCCAACAATTCTACAAATTCGTGCTGGAATGCTAACAATTCTGCATCGAGAAAATATTGAAAATATAAAACAAGATGTTTTAGATGAAATCATACAATCATGTAATCAAGATATTCGTCAAACAATACATTCATTAAATCTTTGGAGTACACACGGAACTACAAATGCAAATAAACTAGCTGCAAAAATGATTGAAAAAACAACTAATACAAATCCATTTGAATTATGTCGATTGTCATTCTCCGATGAATTACGTGAAAAATCTTTATCAGATAAAAGCGATATTTTCTTCTATGATTATCGATTAATGCCACTGTTAATTCAAGAAAATTATTTACAATGTCAACCTCATCTGTCAACTTCCAATAATCAAAAACGAGCATTAACAAATCTCGAACATTTAAATTTAATATCAAAAGCTGCTGATAGTATCGCTTTAGGAGATGTATGTTCACAAATGATATTTAGTAAAAATGATAGTTGGTCTCTTTTGCCTTATCAAGTAAAAATGACGTTGTTTTTCTTTTCAAACATATACTTTCATATCCTTCGGTTTTTTTTGTTTTCAAAAGAGCATTTTTTCAACTGTGGCACCATGTTCGTATGTCCGTGGTCATCTTCGAGGCATGGCTAATTTTTCATCTTACTTCGGTCAACGTTCACGTGCAAATAAAAACGCACGAGTATTGAATGAAATTGAGAAACATATTTGTTTAAAGGTTGCATCCATCAATAAACAAGAATTTAATCTTGATTATTTAACTTATTTAAATCAAGCACTTGTAACACCATTGAAAATGGCGTCACAAGATAAAAATGTCGAACAATGCATTTCTTTACTTGATGATTATTACCTGAATCGGGATGATTTTCAAACAATTATTGAATTAAATACATGGGGTAAAACAGGCCGAAATCAATATGAACAACTTGATACACAAACAAAATCTTTATTGACAAGAACTTATAATAAAACGAATCATCGTACACCATATGCAATTGTTGATATCAAAAAATTAAAAAAATCCAAAGGACTTATGGACGAAGAAAGTGATGAAGAACAAGAAGAAGAAGCAAGTGTTATTATAGATGAAAATACTATTGAAGAAGATGCTATGATTAAGATAGCTAAAAACCGAGAAATAAATAAGCCAACAAAAAAGTCTCGAAATAAATAAACATTTTTTATCCGATAATTTTATATTCATAATTACTTTTTTTGTTTTATCATACTGTCTTACTATGATGGTTTTTATATGTACAATAATATTTTTTATGCTTGGTTGCATCTTATCAAGTATAAGCAAGAATGAGTGATCCTAATGACATGATTATCATCAGTGATTGCTTTTTAATATTAATTATTCTAGATGAAAATAATACGAGTCTAACTAAAAGGTAATTTGCTAAGATAGAGCACATAATAACGTATGCCTACTTCCATTGTGCATCATTTACTATGACATACAAGGTAAGAAAGATATTGTTGATGATTGTAACTGATGTTTTTTTCCTTTTTCTAAGGGTGACAGGATAACAATAACGTTGAACAGTGTTGAGAGTACTGTAATCGAGCGAAATTCATATCCAGGTGAGATGATGATTTACATAAATCTTTTTATTTTGTGTTAAAAAATTTATATAATAATTAAAAAACTAAGAATATTGAAAAACAGTAACTAGCAACCGATTTTTACTATTTTGATTGGTTTAGAATTTTATTAAAGAAAAGCAATAACACATATATCAGTCGATATGAAATCTAAAAGAAAACAATCAAAGAAAAATAAAAGTATGACTAGTTAATTGTATGGTTTGAAAGTTTGAAAGGAATGCGTTTGACCTAGCATGCAAAATATCTGTATCTGTATTATTTTATTTTATGCATTTAAAATACTCCTTTCTAGCTGCAGTACGCAATGCCGTGCCAAATAATTCAATATCTTCATCTCCGCCCTATATGAAACATTTTAGTTTACTCTTTTTAACTTTACAAAATGTTACTAGCATATTACTATTACGTTATGTACGTACAACACCAGGACCACGTTTTATAAATTCAACAGCTGTACTCAATTCTGAAATACAAAAAACAGTTTTAAGCATTTTATTATTGATATATGAACAAAAAAGTGTTGTCGGAAGTTTTAAATTATTATATCATGCAGTCATATGTAACGCAAAAGATACATTAAAAACCGGCATACCAGCATTACTTTATACATTACAAAATAATCTTCTTTTCGTTTCAATTTCGAATTTAGATGCCGCTACTTTTCAAGTATGTACAACACATAGAAAAAGAGAGAAAGAGAGAGAGAGAGAGAGAGAGAGAGAGAGGATTGCTTGTATCACTGAGTTGACGTGATACTTTGATGCGAATAATTTAAAGTTATTACTGTCAAGCATTATTTTCATTAGTTTTGTTCATATTGGACCTATAGGAAAACATTCGCATGACTAGTCATCGTAGACAACAGTTTTTTTCTCCTATATCAAATTTCATAAGAATTACTTTTGCGTAAAAAATTTTACAAAAAAAACATTATGAGAAATAATAGTTGAGTTAAACTATTATTTGTTATCTAATTCGTGTCTTCTCCAATAATAAGTTCTTGTTCTTGTCAATAGCACTTTTTTAGTTCTGTCTTTTTTTTGCAGGTTAGTTTTCAATTAAAAATTTTCACAACAGCTATCTTTACCGTGTTTCTACTTCATCGTCAATTCAGTCTTGTTCAATGGTTGGCATTATTTCTTCTTTTTTTTGGTATATCTCTTGTGCAAATCGAAAACATGACATCAACAACACCAAAACAAGATGTCAATGCTATATTAGGATTTATTTCTGTTGTTAGCGCTTGTAAGTTCTATGGTATTACATGTTTCACGTTTGAAAACGACTGAGTTTAGGTATACTAAGTGGTTTAGCTGGTGTGTACTTTGAAAAAATTCTCAAAGGTAGTGATACATCAGTATGGATCCGAAATATTCAATTAGGAATATTCGGTATGCTATTTGGTTTCCTAACTGCATATATGTCTGATGGAACAGAAATAAAAAAGAAAGGTTTTCTATTTGGCTATACAGATTTAGTATGGATCGCAATTACAATTCAATCAGCAGGCGGTCTTCTTGTTGCATTAGTTGTTAAATATGCTGATAATATATGGAAAGGTTTTGCAACATCAGCAGCTATTATCATATCATGCATTATAAGTATGGGTTTATTTGATTTTCAATTAACCGTTCTGTTTGCTTTTGGCGCAATATTTGTTATATTTTCAATATTTCTTTACTCTAAACCAGATTTAATTATGCATATGCCAGTAGTTAATATTATTTTTAAAGATAAATCAGTTTTATTTTAAAGAAAGCAAATCACAGAGTAGTAATGATAATCATCTACCACCGACTATTAGTCAAAGTAATATTTGCAATAAATCATTGACTCAGGGTTCAATCAAGAAGTGCATTTAAATTTAAAGACTGCAGATATTACCTCTTCACTACAGATACTTCTACGCAACAGTAATAATCTGCTTTGTTTTCTCATATTTTTTTCTTAACATCTATTTATGACTAATGTGATAACCAATTTGTTTTTAACAGCAAAAAGCTTCCTTCGAAATTATTATATTTGACTGTGAAGTTGTATTGTTTTTTCTTTCAATAATTTATATTTAATGGGTGTGGTACATTTTTAGTGTTTTTGAATAAAATTGTTTTGAAATTTGTGGTAATATTTAAGTGAAACTATTGTCTTGTTCTTATTGCTTGTGAATGGTTTTTGTATAGATCATAAAACAACCTGATATGACCGTTTTTTCTTCTACAAACTGCACTGAACTACTTACTATTCGACTGTTAGAATGAGCCAAATATTTTGTAGTCCTTCTAAAATAATATAGACTTCTAAAGTATTTCGAGTTCGTATTAAGTAAATCCTATGATTTTAGAGTTCATAGTGAACTGACCGAAAGCTTTTTTTTTATGAAATAACGATATAAAAATTTCGCTGGAATATCTTTTGTTTAAAATTTAGATGGTAAAACATGAAACTAAACAAAAGAGGGTGTGGGTGGGAATAAATGGAGTAGAAGACACCCACACCTCCAAATTTTCCCAACATCCTTAGTATCGGGCAAAATCATTTTTCTCTTATCCCGAATACACTTATGTTCATTTCGATTACATATGAATCCACTTTCCTTCTATAGGAAAAATGATATTTCATTTATCCAAAGCATTTTTCTTATTGAATTTTCATTTTTCCGCGGGCGAATTCATTTTTATAGTGGTGTGACGTGATCGAGGGAACGGTATCTTTTCGTTACTGCTTATTTGTTTAATGTGTTTATCGTAAGTTTAATTTTCAAGCATTTTTTGACCTGAACGTCATTTTTTCGCTTTAAACTAGTATTTATGTCACCGATCAGATATTTGTCTAATCCTCGCATTTGATCAGAATCTTCTCAAAAAAAGATCTCCCATTTCTTTGTCTGCATGTACAAGAGAAACAACAAAAATAAAATGATGAGGACAACATGTTTATGTTTAGCTGGTGTATTTACACATAGTCGAAACAAAATGAGAAACTGCTATCTATAAATTGTCGAAATCCTGTTATTGATCACCACCAAACAGTTTACCAGGTTCGCCACCTTGCTGAAATTGTCTCATTAACGACGATAAACCAGATGTACCATTCATTTGTTGTAAAATTCTTGGAAGAATAGTTTTCTTCTTCTTACCTGATGGAAATAGTTCTTTCATGTCACCTATTTTTTTTTAATCATTTTTGAATATGTCGAGTATTGTGCTATTAAATCTCGCATTGAAACACCAGCACCACGAGCTACTCCAGCATAACGACCATGTTGATTTTTAATATATCTTCTATGCTAAATCCAGGAATCATGCACATTATTTGTCCTAATGCACCCATTTTCATGATATTTTCAAACAGTTCTAACATATCACGTAATGTAAATTGGCGATGTTTTATATTTTGAAATAATTTTGTCATTAACTTTCGTTTGACCATCGATTTTATCGAATACATCCGTGATATCACCTCTACCCAATAATTTACTGATAAATGCTACCATTTTAAATACTTCAAGATCACCAATATGTTCACCTGTACCAATAAATATAATTGGACTCTTGGTTGCAGCAACAGCGCTTAGAGCTCCACCACCTTGAGCCTGACCATCAAATTTAGTAGCAATTACTGAACCAACATCAACTTTTGCTTGTCATTCACAAGCTTGGTCAATAAATAATGTTATCAGGTTGAATAATACCATTTGAAATTTCAAGCATTTCTTCTAATAATGATTCTTCTTGTGTTTTGTATAACTGTCATAGAATGGTATATGTGCATAAGTTGAATTTTGTTTCAATTAATCGAATGCACTAGCACGAAATGTATCAGCACAGACTAAAACTGTTTTCCAATGGTTTTGACTTCTGGATCAATGAGTGGAACAAGTGCTTTAACAACAGCTGATTCAATTAATTGACGTTTATTGAAACCCAAAGCAGTTTCGTCCAAATCTATTGGTTGTTTCACATTTTCATGTAATGGTTTAACTAAGCGTATATTAACATCAGCTTCTAATAAAGTTCGACAAATTCCTCCCAAAACTTCATTTAAAATTTCTTCATTAACGACTGTTGCCTTACTTAAATTTTGTAACGCTCACGAACAATGACGGCCAAGATCCGCAAGGACCATCTTTTGTTGATCTATTTCTTCGTAAGTTTTAATAAAAAATAAATCTCTCTTGCATATTCTGCACGCAAGATTTCTCCGGTTCTCACAGATTTCTTTCTTGTGTTCTCTCTTCTCATTTACATGTTGCGATGACGAAAACCTGCAGGTTTATAGCAATATTCACCTGCCAGAGCAACAACAATAAACTGGAATTCGTACCGATAGAGCAACCTCTAACATAGAAACGAAAATGAGTGTAAAAAATATTCATCACTTTTAATCGATAAATCATTGTTTCACAAAATGAATATTTGTTTCGTTCACTTCACTTATTTCAATCTTGAAAGTATATTTTATGATGTAAAAAAAACCTATTATTGATGTTTGTACGATTCGAGCTAATACGGAATACATGGCTTCGGTAATTCAGTAGTCAAACAGGATCTGATGAAAAACAAAACTAGTTTTCTATTAGATTCATTTCAATTCGATGATTTCTTGTTTTTTTCATGCGCGAACTGTTCTATCGTTTTCAGCTTCATAAGCTCGCTTTGATGAGGACGTGGATATCACGTAAGAATCTGCAGTGGATTTTACAACTTTGAATTAATATTCTTTTAAAAGCCAATTGTCAAATAGGATTTTTCCAAAATTTTAATTTGAATAATAATGTATAAAATGTTTCTAGATAATACGTATCTATATTAGATTTTTGTAGATTGTTCTAATTATGTTTGATTTATCAACTTGTGACTAGCTTTCGAAATTGAACAACTTGGAGACTAATCAAAAATGAAATCCATTATAATCGGTACTATTCTTCTATACCTATTTTTAAATAAATAAAAGAGATATTAATGTTCATCTGTGATCAAAAAGAATAAACAATGACGAAAGCAGCGCGAAGATGAGAAAAATGTATTTTCTCAAGAAAACGATCATTTCTTTCATTCAGACTTATCCTAGCTTTTCAATTGATATATTAACTCAAGAGTTAAAATATGGTGAGAAACAATTATTACGATGAACTCTTTCTTGTTCTCTTCAAAAATTTCAATAGATATTAGTAGCCTACTTAAGAATCTTTGAAACACGAGTTTGAAAATGAATTCAAGTCATTTTTGTTTATTTTAAACTATGACACAATATTTTATCAAATTTACGAAGTTTGATATGAATCAAATGAAGACGTCAAAGTAACGTTGTTTTAGAATATTTTTAGTGAAGATGAAACGAGTGACCATCCCTCAAAAATATTTCTTAATCTAATGCATACTCAAAACGTTTATTCAATGATGAAAACGATTGAATCATATCAACAGGAGTTTAATAAGCAAAAGTCTCTCTGTTTCATTTGACGAGCATTGTTTTCTTTGTGATTTCGTTTCTTGTGTTCTAGACAAGTTAACATCAGACCAGAAAGAAAACAGTTTTTAACGGTAACATTGTTCAATAGAGTTTTGAACGATAGCTATAGAACGCATTCGTTCTTCAGGCTTTATCTATGCATAGAGTAAGCGGGGGTAAATGTATAATGGAAATCAGCGTATCTCATCATAATTGCTATAAATTTTTACTTTTTAAATTTTTTTTAAAGCTTTCTTCACAAGACACAGCTGAGACGATACTTTATCAATAGGTGAAAACATCTGTTCAAAATCTTGTACATACACCTATGTGCAAGGTGTTCTTTGAGCACTATTTTTCGATTATACATTCATCCCTGCTGGGTCGAATGTATAATTACGCTGGTGTCACGGGGGGAAATACAAGGGGGGAAAACTCATTCCGAGCCATTCGAATGGCTATCCCTAGTCAACTCTCCCTAGAAGAATCCCCAGGGAGTCCCTGACAAAGCGCCGTGGACTCACGACAGGGACTCCCCGGGGGGAGTTATCGTGCGAGAATGGATTAGGATAGAAATGGCTAGGAATGTCCGAATGAGTTTTATCCCCCTTGGATAAATGTATAATCTCAGCAGATTTTGCTGTATACATTAAAAATCAAGTATTAGTAGATCCATAAGGAATTTTGAGGTACTCTCAACAACAAAATTAGTCAGAATGACGAACTTAATAATCGCAGAGTATTTCAAAAATCAATTTTAAATTTTCATATGTAGTTTTGCCTGTTATACGTGAGTGTAAGATCAAATTTTAGCTTGAAATGACTATTTTTCCAACGAATTTTACCAAAACTACGATGCATGCTATATTTTACGCTAACTGTTAGTAGTCAAAAGTAGTTTTGCTTCCTGTTTGACATTTCAGACTGAATCTATTCTGGTAAAATAGGTCAACAAAGAGGCAATCATTTGGCTATTTAGGTTTTATTACGTTATAATAGTATAAGAAAGAGAAGTATTACTTTCGAAAACTTTTTTTTTGTTAAAATACCCTAAGCGAGTGAGACAGAAATAATTTCTGCTTTAGCCGGACACACTAGGTTACCAGGCACATACGACATGTTCTGTTTTCAACATAGAGAGTAAATTGTATTGGATGATTGATCTATTTTTATTCAAAAAATAAAGTTAAATATATAGTGAAGTCGTTTTTATGATGAAAATTTGAGATTTTTACCGACATGTCAAAAACCAAAAAAAATAATCAGTATGAAAATATGAGAAGTATTCAATTGTATATATATATACATAAACTAATTAGAGTTATTTACATGGTCCGCAAGCGTCGCCAATAATCAACAATAGAGTTATTTTAGGAAAAAAAAGACAAAATTTCTCAATTCAATTTGATATCATTATCATATTTTGTTGTTTTTGATGTTAGTCGAGAGAAATATTCAACGATCATCAGTGCAAATGGCCACATTAAATCGATCACAGTAGCAATTAATGGTATTTCATGATGCAAATGAATAGTGAAGATCGATGTAGACAAATGAACATAGTAATAAAAAATAAGAACACTTATATTGATAAGTAACCATATTGAATAGAGAAGAAAATTTCCGCATTTTGTACATGAATTGTCAGCAGCATTATACGCAAGTTGACATCCTACTACCAATATCATATATAAACCGAATGGAAATGAAATAAATGATTGTTTCATTCCTGGACCATCGTAGAGTTTGTATACAACAATAGTTGGAATAAAGACAAAAAAACAATGAAATACAATTGAAAAAGTCGTCTGAATATCGAGATAAGAATGGCAATGTTTAATTTCTTCGATAAAACTTTCAAGTTGAGCACGGACATATATATTAGTTTATTATATTGACAAAATCATATTAAGCAATTATAAATCTATCTAGACACTATAGTGGTTGTTATTTTATAGAAAATTCAATATTTTGACTATATTATCTTCTTTGTATATCGAGTTTATATGAATCAAACTTTCTGAATATTCTTAATTATTTTCCCCTTAAAAGAAAACAAGTCGAGAAAAAGCTGAAAATCATCGGTGATATAATAGAAACTAGAATCAGTAACAAAATTTACATGGTTTTTTCTAATGACAAGTTTTCTTATCGATTATACCTTTATGCTTTATTGGCATATTTAATTCGTATAAGATAAAAAAAATAGATAATAGTACAACATCCATGGTGGCCGAATCCATATCTCTATTATCATTGAGTTGCTATTAATATATGCATATATACTGAACATGATTAACAGACTACAGTTTGTTAAGTTTTTCGATTTGTTTTCATGTTCAGTAAATAAAATCCATCGTTGAATAAACAATAACCAACACATAATGATAAATAATACTGTTTGATCATGTAAAGGAACAAACGTACCAAGAGCAACAACTTTCATCATGAAAAATCCATTTTATATAGACTGAATATTCTACTTGTAACGAGCAGAAATGCTAGCCATACATGTGATAATGACTGAGATAGAGCAATGAAAGACACAAATGATGTCGAATAAAACAAGAATACATGATGAAATAGATTTTCCTTATCAGTAGATTTGTGTGTATGACGTATAAATATATAAAGTAGAATATCCGTGATAATAGTTAGTATAAATACATCGATATCATTTCCTAGATATTGAAAAAACCAAAAACCATTATAATTTTCGATGACAAAATTGTTAATCTTTCATCCATCTCCTCCCTCCCGAAGCAGTTTCAGGTTTGAACGAATTGAAAAATTCAACTTCTTTTTTTATGGCGATGCCCAGTAGACAAAAGCGCATTGCATCCGACTGTATTTGACTCATATGAAAATACAAGGGCTTTATATATGCAAACTGTTTTTTTAAACATATATTGTTAGTACATATCTTGAAAAAAGCAACTTGTTTTCATTGAGTAATAAGAAAGTCATCAATGGCTTCGAATCAATGTTAAATATGATTTCAACTTCTTATGTGATCAGGTTTGCAAAAATTATATATTCATGCTGTTCGGAATTTCTCTCCGTTGACTGAACGATGGCTGCATGGTTCATCATGGACCATACAGTCTGTTATTCATGAAGCTATTGGGAAACTTTCGAAACATAATTAATTCACAAGTAGACATGCTCGTGGATATAAATTGCGCCAAACGTTCGCGATGTATCTATTTCCCTTAGGAAACGAAACATTTTTTTCATTGATCGGTAGCTCGTGAACTTTACGAAAAAAATATTTTTAAAGTTTTCCAATTCCATCGTTCATTAAATTTTTACAATCGATCTGTAAATGTTCACAACTGTGGACATTGGATAGCAAAGGATTGACTTCCATGATTAAATATATTAGATTATCGTTATTTGTTCTCAATTAAATTTAGTCTACATCATAGATGAAAAGAAGCTATTTTGAATGTTTTTTCTCTTCAATGAAAAGTAAGCAATTCTTCTTCAAAAACGGTTGCTAATTAGTATTTTATTAATTCTAAAAGTTCTACAAATATATAAATACAGCATACTTTTATTGTCATCCATGATCTTATTGTACAATTGAGCCACCAAAAAACGAACAATAAGAACAACAACATAATAAATGCATAACCACTCCATGAAAAAGATCACCTTTTATATATTTGCAATGTTTTCAAATGAATATTACTCGCATGAATTAAAAAACGGGAATGAAAAAAATTGTTTACTCAATACAAACAAGGAAACATAAACGTACACTCATACAACAGGATAAAAGATATTCTCCTGAGTAAACACACCCAAAAATAAACCTTTAATAATTATATATTGCATTTGTATGTTACACAGCTAAATCAAAATGTCACTCAACGGTCATGTCTTGTCTCTTTATCAATGACAAAAAAAAACACTATCAAACGAAAATATCTTGTAATAAATGATCATTGTTAGTATTGCTCATCGTAATTAAGCTAATATAAATGAATATCGTCTTAAAAAGTGTTTTATTTTAATTTGATGCACTTCGATATGGAATGCAAGATAATTAAAAGAAAAATATAAGCATTTTAAGCTATCAACCAGAGACGTGCACAGAACATAATTTTTTCCCCTATCCTTGCCTGTCATGTTGGCTACCTTGGTTCTGGCGGGCGGCAGGGTAGGACAAAAATCGAAACTTTATCCTGTGCGTGTTTGCCCTGTTGGTAATCTCCATCCTGGCGGATGACAGGACAGGGCGCCAGGACAACAGAACCGTTCTGCCTTGTGCACGTCTCTGTCTCGAACTCATGTTATAGTATTCTCTTTTATTATCCGCCTTTTTCCTGTCATTGGTTCGTATCATTATATCTACTCAAAGCTTTTTTATTTAATCATGAAACTAAAATTAAGTGTAAACACATCGACCTATATTTTTCAGCATAGAGTGGATACGAGACTAAATAACATAGTAATCAATTTATTTGAATGGTGGATGTTGTTGGAAGTCTTTTATCGAAAGACTTTCCTAAACATTTCTTAGTTGATATAGTTTGATTGAAATGTAGTGATAGAACCGAACCATACTTGATGATGAACAGATTTAAGCCTCGTTCAAAATGCATCGTATGATTCCTTGATTTCTGTTTGTATATAGTTGAAATACCCTCACACACTGTGTATGTGTATTATGGAAAAATCGTGCTAATGCACAAGTTTGTTTTCTTCTTATTGAAAAAAACGACGTCGAGTAAGTTTTTGCTTTGCTTTTTTTCAATTCTACATGCTGTTCGTTACGTGCCAAGACGGCAGTGTGTTCGTACAGCGATGAATCGCTCTACAGGTTTACGATTAAATAAAATATGGCAGGATATCAGTTGCAAATAAATACAAACAGAACAGAAGAGATGATAAAAAACACGTCATTTGATGTCAGTTGAAAATATCCAACTGACACCTTCACAGAACAGAAGGAAATATGATGAACTATTTTCTGCTTATATAGTTGTATTCAGATGAAAATAAATCCCATTGAATACACTAAAGGTATCTGAAAAATTCATGTTTCGTTGTCATTTATAATTTTAATTCATTTAAAGCTTTATCAAATTAAAGTCTTCGTTCTCGATAAAAGTTTATTTGAATATTGATGCCCAATGCATAATTCTATTAGAGAGTTATCAACAATAAACAAAAAAATTCGCTTCAAGTCAGGTGAGCTTTTGAAACTGAATGAATTGCAAATTGGAAGCATCCCATATGTATCTGCATTGGTGTCTACTGCGTCTTTGTTTTGATTCAATCAAAGACGATCAAGGATATTACTTACTTGATGCTCTCAGATCAAGTATCAAGATTTTCTATTGGTTCTGGATTGTATTCCATTTCAATCCGTGAGCACAATATTTACGCGTCCACCTAGGAATTGTAGTGTTTTGGTTATTATTTCTCTTTTGGGTTTTCTTGCTAGAGAATTGGGAAAAAGTTCAACTTTTGAAGAAGTTAACTTGGTTTTCTTTTGGAACTACAGCTTCAGTTACCATTTAGATGAATATGAATTCAATAATAAGCGATCTGCTACTCAAGATATGGCTGTTCGATTTATTGTTGTTCCGATAAAAGAAGAATATGTTTTAACAAACCCCGAAGTTATTGATCAAATTTATTCGCTCGTTATGTTTATTATTAGTGCTTACATAGAGTTCGAAACAAATATTCGCTACCAAGCGTATAGAGTTGCTCATAATTGTTCTTCTATATTTTGTCCATATTTATTGAAATATCTACGTCGAATCCATCGGCGAGCAAAACAAGAAATTCAAGAGAAATTGATCAGAACAAATAGCGAAACCAACTCTTATCAGAAAAATAATTTTTACCGCCATTATTGGCGGACTCCTACTATCAACTGTAATGATTGCTCTTCGAACTCTGGTCTATTATGTACCATACGTCGACTGGGTTTGTTGTTTAGGCGATGTGTTTCTGACCACCGCTTCTCATTACTTTTCTTCATGCAACAGACTTCCTTGTTCTTCAGCAGTTATCGTCAAATTTCATATACTCATGATAGAAATCTTGAGAAACTATATAGAAACGTTTTGGAAAAGAAATACAAATGTTTACTAGTTATATTACTAGAATACGAAGAAGTCAAAGAACATCGTCATAGATCCGCTAGTTTCCAACAACGGAGATATAAGCAAATCTTATATGACATGCTGCATAGTAAAACCACACAAACTGCAACAGAGGAAAGCACACTCTCAGAAATATGCGAATTGGCACCGATGCTAAAAATAATGCATCAGCGTTTAATGCGAATGATACAGACGGGTGAATGAAATTTTTAAATCACAACTGAAAACGACTATGGCCCATGGCCATGGACATCGGTCTCCTTCTTTTATACGGCACAGTTTGACTTTGAATCCGGAAGTAAACAAGATCAAACATTAACATGTGAAAAGACTTTGCAAAATTTATATCAGTATGAGTCTACCACTAACACAATGCGAAGCGCAATGCTGCTCGATCTACATGATCTGTTAATGGACGTTGTCAAAATTTTCGTTAATAGAAAATATGAATTTGGACAATTACTGAAAATTCTTTCAGTTGATCTGGAGGAGGAAAAAGCTTTAAAATTCAAAGCTATCCAGCAAATGGATTCCACTAAACAATATCGATCGTTATTGCATTTAAATAAATACAATAGCATCATGTAACTATTTATCTCCTGAGATTGAAATGAACGGCGACATGTATGTGTGTGTGTGGTTCAGGGGAAATAAATACTCACTCCCACAAGGCACGTCGAATCTATTTGCATTCTACTGTCATCAATATTATAAATGCATATCAAAATAGCATGTGGAAAACGTATCGTTTCGTATTACTTAAGAATAACATAAGAACTCGTTTTTAGGTTAATCAAACTAAGCGAAGTAAAAAAACCTTTTAAGAAACTAATCATCAGTTTTTTCTTTGCTGCTTTTTTTTGAGTGAAACAAATGATTTTGCTTATTCTCTTACGTGATCACGAGTTCGTTTTTAATAGATAGCCATGTAATTATGTTTGTCACGCTACCATAATTGTAAATATACTGTTTATTATTGTTATAAAACATGAATATTCATGCATATTTTTGTGTTTCATTTTAACAATGGAAAAGGAACAGTGCTCACAAACAAACACACTTGCATGCACACTACTCAATCTAGTTGGGTACTATTCATATTTTCATTTTCTTTATACATAAGTTGCTGTTGTTAGTATAACTGCTGTGGGCTCTTCAGAGAATGAAACTTTTTTGTTTGTATTTGAACGACGTGCTATTGAACTATTTAATCGACCTGATGGAATCGAATTTTGTATTTGTATAAGACTTGAAGATGTTAAACTTTGCATGTCACCCCCACTACTACTGCGATCAAAATAGCCGGAATCAAATGAATTCGATTGACGTACTGCAGCTATTGTAGATGTTTTAATTGAAAATAAACTTTCGTCACGAAACCCTGTTGATAAAATTGCATGTTCTTTTAATGGTAAAGTAGTTGTATTGGAAGTTTTAACAATTGGAGTTGTAGCTGATTTAGTTCGTTTTGTTGAAATTATCACATTGCGACTCGCTGATGATGTCTTTATTGTGGGTAAATCACATTTACCTATCGATGTAGAATTGGATGCTGATGCTAAGAGAAGTTCAAGCGGTTCCTAAGAAAATTTTAGGTAAATATTTTGGAATTCATATAAATATTTAATATTTAAAAACACTCTTGAGACGTGTATATCACACACAGGGAAACGTGAAATAGAATGGTGCTGATGTAAATATTCATATCTAAGATAATCATGTGTACTCATCTAATTACTTGATTTTCTCCATTATTATGCGTCATATCCATCGAAAAACGACAAATATTATAAAAAATATCTATAGTAAAGTAGTTTAACTTACTAGGCTCATTGCTTTTAATGGTTTTTTGCTTGAATTTTGTTTATAAGAATAATTATTATTACTACTCATTCTTAATGGCGAACCAGCAACAGAAATAGTGTTAGCTCTGTAAATTGAACTAACATTTGAAATAGCACTAAATCTTGGTGGTGTAGAATTAGTAATAGACATCGAATTTATTCTTAACGGCGAAGAACTAGTAACAGAACTTGTATTCATTCTTGATGACGAACTAATAATAGAAGCTGTATTCATTCTTGACGATGAACTAATAATAGAAGCTGTATTTGCTCTTGGTGATCTGTTTAAAACATCTCTAGATACACTTCGTCTTCGAATACGTGATACATGTTTAAGAATATCATGATCGATTCTATCGGGTGATGCTGGTGGCGTAACTGCAATAATCGTATTATGCATTAAACAATTTCGACTCATAGTCGATGATTTCTCTCGAGAATTATATTGTTGTTGTTGTTGTTGTTGTTGTGGTGGTGGTGGTGGTTGTTGTTGATTAGAATTTGTTATTAATGGATTTCGATGTACGGCAAATGTTCCACGTAGACCAGCTCGTCGACGAATTGTTTCTATGATAAGAAAGAAAAGAAAATTGTTATTTGGTAATTATGAGAAATATGTTAGCTCTTTTTTATTCATTTTCATTCTTCTTTTTTCTCATCTATTTACCTCGCATAGATTCGCCACTTGGTTTTTGCATTAATGAAGTCATATATACTAGATCAGGATCATTATTATACAATGTTGTTGATGATGTTATACCATCTGTAGTAGAAAATATTTCTGGTGAATCCATAGAATTAGCACTTTCATTGGCTTTCATCAATGATGAACAATAATCATCATTGATCTCTTCGGTGATTTGTGATGATTGAGCATACGATTTAATATGATCATTTGTTTGTTCAAAATCATTAGAAGAGATTTGTTGTAATGCACTAAATGATCTTGATTCACTATATTGATCTTGTTTAGATGTTGCATATTGAAGAACACTCGATGTACGATACGGATTTCGACTAGTAAATGCTGTGCGTCGTTGAAAATTATGAGTAGTTCTTCTTTCTGATGGTTGACCTGCTGTTGTTGTGATTCTTGTTGGACTTAAACGTATACGAATACCATGTTCAAGATAAGCAGCTTCAATAGTTTGATAAGGTGAGGGATTTGAAGGTTGAGGTAGTGCTGGTACGAAAGCGTGCTCACTAGAATAGTTATGCATTTCATCAGCATAACCTAATGGTGAAACATTTAAAATCGATGGTTCAGGATCTAGAGATGCTGGTAAAGCAACTAAATTATTAGACCGATGTCTAATCGCTTTTAATTCCGTACTGGATATATCCATGCGACTTCCATTGATTATAGCACCTGTTAGCAATGAAAGTTATTATTTTTTTAAATAATCAAAAAAAGAAGACTTGTTAAGTAAAAAATTTGCATTCTATATTTACCTTCAATTTCAAATGATGGACGCTCTTTACGAAGTGTTTTTAGACGCATACTGATTTGTATACTTTGCAAATGGTTACAAACTGCGAATGATTTAATGATGTTTTTATGCAAGACAAATAAATAGAGAAAGCAATGAAATAAAAAGAGCAATCATCATAGATTTGACGGACGACAAAAACAATAGTAATAAACAAAAGTCATCGAAGACATTTCTTTCTTTTTTTTGGCTCAAGAAATTCAAACGCACATTTTCCATTTGTTCGATCGACATTTCTATTCTTGATGGCTACATAAAATGTTTCGTTTAGCTCACAACACATTCATTCGATCATTGCACAACAACTTCACATTTGAAGTCTTCTTGTTTGACATAAAATTTGAAGTCACAAAATAAACAAATATTTAAAGGGATCAATACAAAAGAAAAGACGAAGAAGAAGAAAAGAGAAAAAAAACTGATACTATGAATATAAAAACTTTACTATGCGTCACATCAGGATAATGAAATTGCTGCCAAGGCATAGCAAAACAAAAGTGATAGACGAAAAAACTTTTCAAATATGAATAGACGTCAGAAGAAAGAATTAAAATGATGCATTGTTGGTCAATTCAAAAAAGAATTGTTACTACAACAGTAAGAAAAATACATACTGCATTAAGTGTAACGTCAATATCTTGAGAAACATCAAGTTTTTACACCGTCTTTTATTATTTCTTTAACAAATACGGTTTCTTCTTAAATATTTGCCAATTGTAAAAGTTGTTAAACAAAAATCTTAAATGATTTCCATTGTTAAATGTAACTTTATATAACAATTGCATCATATGAAGGTGCACACTTATATGAATGTTAAAAATCATCGGACAAGATTATTTTTAGATGCAAAAGTCATTGTCATACACCCATTATACGTAGATATTTCTTGGTTTTTTCTCTCTCTCTCCCCCGTATTGAACAACGGATATGAGTATATTTCATAATTATTATTTTTGCCGTAATAAGAAACAATTGATATATTCATTTCTTCGATAGAAAAGTCAACTGTATAGAATCATTTGTTAGTCCGACAACAAAATTTTGAAGAGTAATTTCATTGTCTCAAATGTATATCAAGAGATTTGAGACACATGTTTGTGAGATGTGACTGTTGTGTTCCACCTTTCATCAGTTCTGTAGATAATATGGACGAAGAATTACAAAAAAAAACATCTCGTCCAAAAGTGAGGTTGTGAATGTTTGTTTTGTTTTTTTCGTTATCGTATTTCTAACTCGTCCAGTACAAATTAACAGTTTTGGCGGTCACATTATAATTGAATGGTACGTGTGATTTCATGTCAAAGACAAGAGTAAAAGAGAAATCATCGATTTTTATGCATCGTCAAACATCACAGTTATATGAATTCGTTGAGTCGATAGGGTTTTTTTTTGAATTTAAGAATTAAGTTTTTTCGCTTCTGTTGAATGGAATACTTTATTTATTTGCTTACTCAAAAACAACAAATGCAAGTCATATTGTTGTATGCTAATTAAATGAGCAATAGATGCAAATAAATAGTGTCAACAATAAAACCATTCAAATCATCATTTATATTATTTTCATAATAATCATTTAAAGAAAGAGAAAGTATCGTAGATAAAAAAAAAAGGAGAACATGATTTTCGATCTAATTAGTACTCAAGGAATAACAGACAGGCTAAGTGATCAACAAAAACTCCTAATCATATCCTATTAGCTTAGTGTTATTCTTTTTGTTTTTTTTATTTTCTAGTAATTAAATGATTATTAAACAAATACATTTAAGTAAATAAAGTCTAACACGATGTATATATCTATTGGCTTTTTATTTTTTCAAATACCCACTTATTAAAAGAAAGAAACCCAAAAACAAATGGCAATAAAACAACAAAAAGAAGTGTTAAGTATAGTTTTGTAACAATATGAAAAGGCATACACGCGCAAAATTCCAAGCCTCTATATCATGATCAAATATAGAATACAATATTAAAAAAAACACGAGAAAGATATCGAATGTAACACAGTGCATGTTGTACGATAATATTACTCTAATTTTCAGTTTATTTAAATATTAATAAATACACTAGAACATATCATAATTGCGTTCGGAACTGAACATTTAATGAATAACAAAGAAAGACAGAGATTCATTAAACGAGAATCAGTATATGTTAAGTCGAGTTCAATGTACTTTTATATAGAGGCGATTTGGATCCAACGAGATAAAATTGATATTTATTTGCACTAAATCGAAGAACACCAAGATAGAGACCTAATGGTTCTTGTGGAAATAAGCCAAAACAAGGTAAAACTGGCATAAGCGATGCTACATCGTCTGTTGATTCTTGTTGATAAATATACTTGAACGTAGCAGAGCTAAAGTAAACAATACTTTTCTTTTGTGAAATTAAATTGAAAATAAAAATGTTATACCTGTTTTGATTTCTAATTAAATTATACATATTTAGATTAAGTGTATCACATGGTTCTAAAGATTTCAGCAATGTTGCCGAACTAATTGATTTGGTTAAAAAAGTATCATAGCTTTCTTTACGTAATGTGTTAATATTTGATAATGGAGGAAACGGATTTCTATAGTAGAATAAATAAAATTAGCCGATATCTTTTCATCTTTGATATCGATTGAAATAAAACAGTGTAAATTTTAGAAAAAAAATGAAATTCCTCTTTAACGCAGTTACTCATCGCAAACAAAATTCTTCCATATAATAAATCATTTTTTGAAATATTCACCAATCAAAAATCGATTCGATCTAAGATTTCATCGAATAGATTGAACTCGTTTTGAACATGAAACATCTCTAGTGCGATAAAATATGTGGAAACATTTTCGGGGATCTAAACCCTATTAAGATTGTAATGAACTCATCTACTTTTACTCTATCTACTTTTATCCATAATCAAAGTTCCATATTTATATCAATAATATTGATTCATAGTACGAGTCGGTTATCTCTCATTTCAAGTTTTAGATCAAATAAACGAAAGATCTTTTCTAATAGTTTAGCAGTTGGAACTCAATATTGGACAATTTTTTTAAAATATGTGTAACTGAGACTTTCATTTTCTCTCAACGAAAAACACTGTTAACGTTCAGAACTACAGTTGAATATTTTTCTTTCAATTAGATGAATAATTTTGTTTTTTTTGTTTGCTTCATTTAAGTCAAAACTTACAAACTCGTTTGTCGTTTTCGATTAAATAGTGCTTCCAAATATTTCGTATTCATTCGATTGCCATCAATTGGTCTTCGAAATATACGTGAAATATCTGGCATAAGAAAAGACGATGATGGAAGTGTCTGTGAAAATTTCCATTTATCCCAAACTCTACGAAAAATAAAATTCACCTAGAAAAATATTTAGCTCTTGAATAAATTTACCTTTTCGAGCAGCACTCTTTGAATGAAACTTTCATGTTTTTATCATAAAATGTACGTTTTAATTGGTAGCCTAGACCAAACAAATTGTCAACACGATAGATTAGATCGATGGATCCATTAACCGCATCGTAAGCTAAACATAAAATATCCTCAATAACATCATTCTTAAAAGCAAACTCTTTTTTTACAATTAGGATTCCATAATTGTATGCCAGCAATCGTTTCATCCTTTTGAAACGTTTCACTTAACAAAGCAAGAGTATAAAGAAAATCTGGAGATAAAATGAGATCTTCTTCAATAACAATGACGCTATCCTAATTATTGAAAATATTTCGAAAGTTTTCAAATAATAGATCGAATGCTTATTGTTGTTTTTACTTTAGTTGGATAGAGTTCCAAGGCCTTGTTTAATGATTTTTCATAATGTTCTAAAATAAATAATTTTCAATAAAGTTTTGCAATTTTCAGCAAAGTTTTTGCAATTACCCATATATGTTGAACTACTGGATGTTTTTTCTCCTCGAAATCCAAACAGATCAATTAATGCAAGCGGTTCAGAAAATTTTTCATCAACAGCAACCTGAAAGAAAAATAAATGATTAGGCTCATATCATAAAATAAAATCGAAGACATACAATAACATTTTCGACACGAATACCCGGTTGCATTAGCAAAGTTTCTAGACACATACGAAGAGAATTATATGAAATGCCTAGAATATCAAAATAGAATTTGCAGATGAAATTTAATAAGTAAAAACCAACCAGCAATAACAAGTATTGGTATTGAATATATGGGATTATCTTCTAATGTTTTATTTAATAGTCCAATAGGTGCTAGATTTTTATCAACATTGGTATCTTTAAAATACAAAAATGTCACGTGTGGAATAGAATCTCCATAGAATCTATCTACATACCACTACAAAAGTCTCCGTAGCCATCATAACGTGAACAAAAATCACGACGTTTATCATTACGAAAGGGTAATGGATCAGGTCGAATTTTGATTCCTTTTACTAAAAATAGAATTAATTTTAAAAAATCAACTAGGAGCGTTCATTTCAATAGGATTTCAATGTCAGACAAAGTATAATTGCTTGTGCTACTCTTGACGACATCGTTTTATTCTATCGATTTCAAAACGAGTTGCTTTTAATAAAAACATTTAGAAATTTAATAAAGTAAACTAAGAAGAAGTGTAATTTTCTTCGAGAACAAAAAAGAATATAAACTGATTTTTGATAGATAGGGAATACTATTTTGTTTAGTATAGTAAAGGTGCATTATATTTTTCACATTCATTCTATATAGTATCGTCTTTTTTTCTTTTGTCTGGCTAAAAATTTCTTCACAGTAATATGTATCAAACGCGAAGCTATTTCGGAAATTAAACATTTCACTTACAAGTTTGTGGTACACATAATCGCTTGTCAATAGGAGACGCATAACCAGGTGCACTTCCTGCATGTGAAATCTAAACATATATTTGTATTAAAAAAAAAACTGTCGCGTTAGCCACTAAATAAAACATATTTACAACAAAACATGCATATAAAATATTAGCGAATGATTGAGCAGAATCCCATTTCCCAGTGCAGGAGAAAAAAGAACAATAAATTAATAAATTTATTAGTATTTTGGATAGAACTAATTACCATATAACTTATTTTAATTTGATTAATGATACTAACAAAAAATTAACGCATGACTTGTCATGAACAAAGCGTATGCATATATATCTTTTTTTTTCATGTATTTATTTTTACAACAGTCATTGTGAACCTGTTTTTATTTTTGAAGGACAAACCTCTTCGTAAGGGCTAAAACCTTCTATGCCCTTTCGACCTACAAACGCCCAAGAGTCTCGGTAATTCATATTTTGTATAGTTGCACTGCCAAGATCAAAAAAGAGATTTTTACTGTGCTGACTAAGTCTAAATATATAAATAGAAAACAAGAGATAAAACCAAAGAATATTGACAATGTTTATCTATTTTGTTTTTCTTTTTCATATATGAAAAAGTATATGTATATATATATATATATATAAACAGGTTAATGGGGATGATTCTGCTCACTCATTCTCTTTCGAAATACTAATACAAATATACATGGAACTCATATGATCATCACCTCTTCATAGTTAAAATTGATGCTCGTTTTGAAATGATGAATAAGCGCCCATGAGTCACGAAAAAAAAGTGATCCTATTTTCTGACTGCCAATACCTTGTAATACAGTTCGAGTGAAATTTCGTAAGCTAAACAAATATAGACAACATATATATATATATATGATGCATACATACAGTAGAGTGATGCCAAATAAAATATTTTTTTTATATGAATACAAAATCAATGACAATGACTTACTTTGTTGATGCTTCATCAAAAGTAACTGCAATTAGAATAACGTTTTCTTCAAGATTTTCAAGAAATATTTCTAAATTTGTACTATCTAAACGAGTAAAAATCGAATAAATTTATAAGAAAAAAGAACACTTGAACTATTTTACCTTCTTGCCATGTATCAAAATGTCCTGTACGTATAACTTCTTTTCCATTGGAAACAACAACTATATTAATACCACGTCCAGCATCATTAATACCTTTTGCCATAACATATTTTCCGTCAACACATATTTTTGGTTCATCGTTTTTATCTTTGCCCGTATAAATATGTACAGCGAATTCGTTTTCTTTACATGTTTCTAGTAGACCACAATTCTTTATCGATGTACCAATAGCTATCTTTCCTTCTTTATTGACTTCCGAAGTTGGAAATACTACTGGAGATAATTGACCCACTAGATAGTTGAATACAAAAAAAGTAAATAAATATACTCAAAGTAGCACAGTACATACAAGGAAATTTAGCACAACCACTTATATGTGCAGCAGGAGCAAAATCACGATTTCCTTTTGGTTGATGCTAAAAAAATTAAAATTTGAAAAAGATGCAAACACAGATTTGATTATACGCTATTCATCAAATGATATTTAAAAAAAAGACTGAATTCTAGAAATTGAATCATTAACTATATCTAATTCCGTGTTAAATCTTATCTTATAGTGCCTAATTAATATGAATCTAAAGCATAGAGATCATAATCATTTTTCGTTTATCTATTTTCTTTTCTGTATGATGTATTGTATTGTTCTATTCATAGAGAATATTATTGCAAGAGCTTTGCTATTTTAAAATTACATTTTTCACATAGTCATTCGAATATAATTAAAGATTTAGAACTTTTTTTCTGTTTTATAGAACCTACACAAGTGTTAAATGATATTTGACATGTGTGATTTTTATTTATGCTCTTTTCTGTATGAATAATTATAAAAATGTTATCATGAAACGAACATTTAAATATGGGTATTTTACTGCAATCAATGAAATAAGAGGGTGTATTTATCGTTCGTTGAAAAATGACCTAACGCTTTAAGGTGAAATTTTTGTATGACGTATTGTTGTGATAGACTTTTCTATTCGAATAAAATATATTTGACAATGAAAATACGACTTATAATAACCTGTCACTCGTTTAGAAGCTCACATCTTATTCATGAAGTCGATGACGATGTTCTAACAATGCTTTCAATTATTTTGTTGTGTCAAAGAAGGCCTATTTTAAACGAAATAACTAATTTTTTTATATTGAGAGTTTATTAAACTGTCTAAAATTATTTGTATCTTGATATTTAAATCCTACCATTTCAACAGCTTTCCCACGTGCAAGTCCTTTCTGCCCAATCATAACAAAGGAATCACGAAATTTAATAATTTTTATCAATTGACTACCATATTTTTCTAATATCGACAAAGATGCTTCTTTCAATCTAAAATAAAGCAAGAAAAACAGAATGAAAATATTTTTCAAAAAACAACAAAATGTTTTCAACTAACCCATATGTCATTTCATCAAAACTAGCTAGAATAATAATATCACCATCATTTAAAGTTACTTTAAGTGTTCGTAATAAGAATGTTTCTAATAGAATATGAAAATAATTTATTTTACTGTATAGATCTAAAATTCGTTTTTACTAACCTTCAATATAAGTATCATATGTTTCTGTTAATTTAACATCATAAGTTACACTATCAAGTGCAACTAAATTAATACCACGACCAATTTTTGCATCTTTTAAATTTTTATGAACCAATCTATATTAATTCAAAAAGAAACAATAAATCACGATTAAATATATGCAAGTAATATTTACAATTTATTATTAAAACATATAATTGGATACTTTTCAATTCCATCTCCGGAAACAATTTTATATGGGATAGCATCATCTGCGCACTTCTCATCAATTTCACATCCTGAAAAGTTAACAATTGTAAATAATTTACTAGTATGATCAATATATTTATTTACCAGCATCGGGTATAGATGGTCTTTGAATTCGCTGTCGGTCAATGGAATTTTGTTTTACTGTTTGATTTTGATTGTGAACAGTCTCTAATTTAGAAATACTGCCAGTCGGCGCTTCATTGGATGCTTAAAATAAATAAATAAAAACTTTAATCAAACTATAGATTTACAAACTTACGATCTCGTTTTGTAAGAACATATGAATTAATAAAAATAACGATACTTGCAACCAAAATCAATATTATAAAAAAGTTGCCTACACCTCCAAATTGTTTATGGATGATTCGTTTGACTTTTCTCATCCTTGAATCGGTTAAACAGTCTAATAAACATTACTCATAGACATCATAAGCAAATTTCTCTTTTTTCTTTGTATTCTTGATAGTTTATCTAAAACGAAGGACAATGATAAAGAAGGTGCAAAAAAAGTTAACGAATTCACTGAAACACAAAATAAGAATGAAGAAAGCCTACGACGTGATAATAGTTGGTGCTGGACACAATGGTCTTGTTACCTCGGCTTATTTAGCTCGGCAAGGTTTACGAGTACTTGTTTGTGAAAAACGATCAATTATCGGGGGTGCTGCATGTACAGAAGAAATAGTTAAAGGTTTTAAATTTTCTCGTGCATCTTATTTATTAAGTTTATTTCGTCAGAAAATTATTGATGATTTAAATTTACATGAACACGGCTTGAAATATTATTTTCGTGATCCTGTTTCATATACGCCCATAAAGAATCCGATTAATAATAATCAACGTTCATTATTATTATCATCATCGAATAATGAATTTAACAAGAAACAAATTGCTCAATTTTCAGTAAAAGATGCAGTAAACTATCAGTACTATGAAGAATGGCTAACAAAAATATGTCGAGCCATTGACAAACTTATTTATTCACTACCACCTGATCTTAATCAAATGAATCAAAATTCTAAAATGTCCGATCGTTTTCGTGCTTACAATTATTCATTGAAAATTTTTTATGATTTATTTAAAAAACTTGGCTTCAATGGTTCTTTAGATCTATATCAATTATTAACTTCATCGGCTGGTCGAATATTAGATAAATGGTTTGAATCCGATATTATGAAAGCTACATTAGCTACAGATGGTCTTATAGGTACTATGCTTGGTCCATATGATAGCGGTACCGGCTATGTTTTACTTCATCATGTCATGGGTGACTTAGGTGGACGAGCTAGTAAGTAAATAAGAGAATTTTCTTCTTCATGTACTTCTTGTCTATAATTGAAAGAGTACAGTCAAAGAAAATTACTTAGGATATTATAAGAAGAAGAAAGAACACGCAAATACATACTTTGAAAGTAGTCTCAGTACCAAGAAATAAATTCTTCTGTTTTCCTACATTTATGGTGTGACATGCGATCTATAAAAGAAAAAAAGAAAAAGCCAAAGTGTACCAGAAAAAATGTGTACTCATTCTGATGTTTATATACAATCATAGATACTATAAGTATAACATACTGTTATAAAGTATAGATCAATTTCTTATTGTAGTTCTAAAGAAATGTGTTTTTTTTATTAAATATAATAAAACAACCTTGACGATTAAAAGAACAGTTACAAAATCTTTCATATGTCAATTTCGTAGGAATTGTGCTAACTGCCTCTTTTTTATGATATTAATTTCTTTATTGTACATCTTACTACAAGTATTAAGTTAAAATTTATTTTCTATTTACTATGATTAAATTCATACTACAGAAAAACTAGAATCGAATTCTACCTTTAGCCTCTATGAATTTTTTACAATGTAGTTGAGTTATATTTGCTTCGAAAACTTATTTCAAGTCACCTAAATTTTCTTCGAATATCAAAATAATGAAGATGCGACCGATGAAAAAATAAAATTGAGTGAAACTGTCTAATCTGTAGATACTATAGGTCGGATTTAACTTCAGTAGAAAATTTTTTTTTATCAATTCTTCAATAACAAATCATAACTATTTTTGATAGAGTTAGCGACTCAGTAAACTTGATGTCAATGAATCACTGTTTAGTGTTTACACGAACACCACATGTCTCTAGGCGTACTAGTCTCGCCTTGACGTGTCAGCTTTCTCAAATGCACAGTTCCGTAGAATTTCGTGCTTTAATCAAAGTAATACAAAAGACTATTATAAGATGCAATAGAAAAGATTTTTTCTAGGCCCATTAGTGCCACTAAGAATTTCTATTAGAGTCAACTTAAATAATTCATCTAATTTAATTTGTTAAATATGGATGATTATGAAATATAGAAATAAAACGATCCTTTGAAATGGCTTACTTGTCTATTTTATTTCCTATTATTTTGTAATTATTTCTTCTTGTCTATCTACAACTTTCTATTTAAATAATTTAGTCATAAATAAATAAACAAATAGAAAACAACGATCTAAAACGGGTTATACTTCTCAAGAGAAATCTTCCACGTGTATATAACATCTGTTCTTTTTTTCATAAAAAGATTTCGATTCACGTGAGATTTAAATGCTAAAGTTCATTTTTAGATGCTTGGTATTACGTTCAAGGTGGGATGGGTGGTATAAGTAATGCTATAGCTTCATCAGCACGGTCCTCAGGTGTTGAAATACGTACAGATTGTAATGTTAATCATATAGATATACGTAATGCAAAAGTAGAAGGTGTCATACTTGAAAATGGAGAAGAAATAAGAGGAAAACTTGTGGCTTCAAATGCAACAGCTTATGTTACATTTAAAAATTTAATTTTAAATGATGTTATTAACACAAATAAAGATTTAGGTGAATTAAAAAAACATATATTACAATCGGATTATAAAAGTGGTACAACAAAAATAAATCTTGCTCTATCAGGGCTACCGTAACAAATAAAATAAAATTGAAAACCTATAAAAATTTATTTTTCCATAGAAATTTTCTCGCTAATCCCAATAAAAAGCCGAATGAACTTGAACCTCATCATCAATGTACAATACACATCAATAGCGAGTCAATGTCTAATCTACAAAATGCTTATCAACAAGCATTAAATGGACAACCAAGTCAAAATCCATTGATTGAAATGGTTTCTATTCAGAAATAATTTCTATTGTTACGTTTTCTTTCTTTTTTTTTCTTCAGGTTATTCCTTCTTCACTTGATCCAACATTAGCTCCAAAAAATTGCCATGTAGCTTTACTATTTACTCAGTATACACCTTATCGTTTATCGAATGATAAACAAATTGAAATAACGCAGGAATATAAAGAAAACTATTATCGAAGTGTGATTAATTCGATCGAACAATATGCACCGGGTTTTGAAAAGCTTATTATTGGACGTGATATGCTGTTTCCATCGGACTTAGAAGAACAATTTTCATTAACAGGTAAAAACTCTTTGTGAACATTTTCTTTTATAAAATAATTTAAACAAAAAACAAAAAGGTGGAAATATTTTTCATGGTGCACTTTCACTTGATCAAATGTATTCATTTCGACCAGCGATATCATGTTCAAACCATCGAACACCTATTAATGGTCTTTATCTATGCGGAAGTTCAACTCACCCAGGAGGTAATATTATTTCATTTTTTAATATCAAAGATTTCTATTTCAATAATTCTGAATAATATAGGAGGAGTTACTGGTATGCCAGGTTTCAATGCAGCAACAATAATGCTTCAGGACTGGCAACGTAAAAGACATTTATTCAAGTGATTATTACCATATTGTTAAAACAGAAAACATTTATAGGAATACATACATCCGAATAAGAATATTTAGAGTGATCATACTTACGTTTGTTAGTTTATTGAATATTTTGTTTTCACCAAGGCCAAGTAAATATACTATTAAGCGAAAGAAAAAACTTTACCTGTATTTGATTTAGCAACCCATTGGCATTGAACTAAAATTTCAAAACGATCAGTAAACATTTTGTATTTATCAATGTATTAACTAGGATTAAAATATGTATGATTATTTGTAACATAGTAATTTCATAAAGAAAATCTTTTAATAATCCACTTTGAATTACACGAAATTATATTTTGGTTCCATATAATATTCTATTTAATCAAAATAAACTTTCGTAACAAATGTATTTGTCTATATTGATTCAAACTTTTCTTTTAAAGCTTACGCATGGTTTAACTAAACTTGAGCAAATAGCAATATTTATTTGCTCGTTTCCTGTAGAGAAAAAAATCTTGCTTTCGAATAATTACATTATATAAGTATGCTAGCAATGCAAATATAAATAAAAGTCAACTATGATTTTGCAATAATAATTAAATTAATGGCAGGACTAATGCTGACACGCTGGTACCTACAGTTAACAAAATAAACAAGAAAGAACGGCTACAAATAAAATATCCTAATTGATCATCATGTGTAACCAATCCATGAAAATATTTGTTCTCGCTTATGATTGGTCAAAAAATGAATCCACTATTAAAATCAGTTGAGTGGAAAAGAATCTCAAAAACTAATAAAGTTTACCTGCAAAATTATTTTTTCAGTCGGTTAATTTTTCTTGACTAATGTTAACGCGACATTGAATAAAAGCGTTCATGAATATTTGTCATCAATACTAATCAATTTAGCTAGTATTGATATAACTAAGTGTGATATTTATCTTTTCAGGATACCTAATATTGACCTGACTTAATTGTAAACTCACCTTTATTTGTCACATGTTCTTTGCAGTCGCTTATGAATATTATTAATCAGAGTGATTCATCTTTTCAATGTTGATTATCTTTTTTTTTATAATAAAAGAAAGGTGAAACGATTATTTCTCCTTTTAAGATCTATTGGAACATTGTTGTACTTTCTATTTAGTCTAATATTGAATATACAATAGATGGAGTTTCGCACGATTGCCTACGATATTACTTTTCATTATTCACAATTTTGTAAATATCAAGGACGTTGAATTTCTTGAAAAACGTTTTGTTTGTATAGACTTCGTTACAATAGCTGCGGTTCTTGGTACAGGCGTTCTTGGACTACCAATAACATTATACGATAGTGGTTTCGGCCCATTTATCATTTCGATTTGCATAGCTTATTTTGTTCAAGTAAATTTATTCGTGCTACTGCTGATATATATATATATACGTTAATAGTAATTTTTGTTTTCTTCAAGGTATTATTAATTCTTTTCTTCACAGAAGTCTTGCAAAAAGTCTATTATCATAATATAGAAAAATTAAAAGAGGTCAGCTTAATAAATCATTAAATATTTCAATATCGATAATATTTATTGTTCTTATCTATTTTATATAGAGTGAGCAAGATCATATGCTTATTCAGGTAGATACAGAAGAATCACCTACGTCTGAATCAAACTATGATGTTATAGCAGATCGTGGTAAGAATCAATGGGATGTCTGTATATGCGTTGTTTCATGTGCCTCTAATTAATCTCGTATAGCAAATATTATGATATTTTTTTTTCTATAGAAAAGATTGTTTCTATCAGTTTTATTTTATTTGTTAAGCTCTTGCAATAGAGAGCAATGAAATCTCAGAGAATATTACCATAACAATATAAGAAATAAAAAAGATCGTCTGAATCTTCGTTTGAAGTATAAGAAAGAGGAAGGATGTTAATCGCATGTTTGCTTAACCATTAGTTAGTTTTATTTGTTTGCTACCATACTACACACCATCAACAGAAACATTTGGGCGCAGTTAGCGAGCAATCATTGAAAATATCGCCTGCAAACGATGGCAGCAAAGAATCTCATTTCAATTTTGCATTTGTTCATATTGACGGCATTCAGTTTTATTTTGGCTATTGTTTTGATAATTCAACTGTCAATTGGAGTTTGGAATATATTGAGAAATTTTTGTTGGAAACAAAATTCGAATCAATTATTGATCTATAATTTTTACGTATTTCATCATCTCATTGTATGCATCGTTCGATGTGCACTAATATTTTTTTCCTGTTTATCGATAATTATTTTTAATCAATGTTTATCAATCGAAATTTTCATTCATTTTCTATTATTACTTTCGACGTTCGATTTATTATTAATTATTGTCGGCGAAACAGCACATTTTTGGGATTCAACAGTAAATCATAAAAGTGCAATTTATTCAAAATGTTGTTTAATATTTGGTACGGTCTTTAACTATTTTGTATCAATTCTTTTTCTTGCCATACATTTAACATTGAGCGGCGAAAATTTTCTTACCATTGAAATATGTCGAATGCCAACAAACACATTTCTATTTATGGAACATAATTATGATGAGAAAACTTCAATGCCAACCATGATTGCTTGTGCTCTCTTTATTCTAATTGATTTATTAACATTTTCATGGATTTATATTGCATATAGAGACATCTATAATCTTAAACGAAAATCATTAGCAAATTTATTTTTCTATTCATTAGTTTTTACGAAATTTAAGGGGTCAGAACGTTCACTAATGGTTAATCGTAGTTTAAAACGTCTTCTTACTGTATGTTTATTTCTCATAAGTAACATGATTGCTACTCTACCAATATTGACTTTAAAAATTTTTAATATATCATTGAATATTTATTTGAAATTATTTTTAATTTATTTTACAACATTACCATGGATTGATTTCATAACATTTTTCTTTTATAATGAAACAAAATTGGTAAAGACCAAGAATGTTTCAAAGAAAATTATTTCTAATGAACATTATACTCTTCAACAACTTATTGGTAGACGCTTAAGTTCCTATCGAGAGAGCATCATTTTTATACCGAAAAGTTGAAGATAGATGCAACTATTTTTTTTCTCTATACATGCATTGAGGCCATGGTTAATCTGTCATCATTGTTTCTTCACAGGTGAAACTTTTTATTGTGTGTGTAGTTTTTTCTTTGTAAAAGTTCATGCACTATTTTGATTTTGATTATAATTGTCGCACAAATGTTTTGTTTGGATCTCTAATTTATAATAATATACTATGAAATAGAGTTTTGAATAAGTTTTTTTTTGCTTTTTTTTTCTAGCGATTTCCCCTGTTGCCATACTTTGCATTGAGTCCAATAGATTGATAGTTACTATACTATAAAGTTATAAATAACTGCCATATGATTCTATGTTTAACTTTACATTAGCTACTATTCATAGTGTCGATTAAGAAGAGTTCGAATGAAAGAAAACTCTTAACTACAAATTCGATGCAAATTTGTTAATTTCTAGTTGATGATTAGATGACGTAGAAACAAAACCAAGAGAATTATCCTGGTTCAACCTTTTGAGATGAAATCAAAAACATGTGAAAAATTTAGGATAATAAGTACTAGTTCTCTATAACTGATTTCTTCAAGTATAAAATCAAATAAATCATGCAGCATACCAGTAATCGTCAATGAGTCCGCCCTATATTTGCTGATCTTCGCAATTTCGATGATAGGTTCATCTCTATTTAGTTGTATGTATGTACATATTTATTTTCTTCTTACCCTCAAGATATAATTGAGCAGTACTTATATTTGCGAGATCTCAAAAATAATTCTAAATAACTAATGTTTATGCGATCTGTAGAAAAAAGATAGACATATTTTTATTCTATAGTTCAGAACTAACAAAATCGATGCTTCGAATTTTTGTTTACAACAATTTATTGCAAGAGACCGTGGCTATACAAATATATTGTTACAACAAAGTATTGATAGTATGACGAGTCAATAGGAATCAAGTTGTCATGATAAATCATAAAGAAAGGCAGTTGTGTCTTTAATTAGATTTGTCAATGCAATCTGCTCAAGATAGTGCGCTGATTTCTCATGCAAAAAGTTTCAAAAACTTATACGAATCTACATATTTATCTGAAATATCAGCATAAAGTTGTTTTCTTTATTTCTTCTTGTTTCCTTATCAATTTTTTATGCATATTTTGTTTCTATTTAAAAATCAATAGCTTCCTCTTTCTGTTTAATAGTACATAGTAGCGAAGCGCTGAAAAGATGTTTACCAAATTTATATTCGCTTGGCAAGCTTCTATTACCATCCTTTCTTCCTTATATATACACATTAGTCGTTATTCTGCTAACGTATGTAGTAAATATTTCTAAATATTGTATTGTATTTTATTTATTTGTTAGAATGGTATTTTTAATTTCTTATGGTTTAGCCGGTAGTCAAGCATTCGCAACATTGTTTAATATCGTGTAGGCTGAGTATTTATTTTCTTGATATATTTTTAAAAACTAATTCTTTTAGATATACTGACGTCATTCCAGCCTTTTGTTGGATTTTAACATTTGTTGTTTTCGTGTTGCATTCATTTATTCAACCAATTATTTCTGTATTAACTCTTATCAAAGCTATACTTTTTACTATGACAGTAAATAATTCTATACAATATTTGTATGATAAATATATATTTTGCTAGATAATTATAACACTGATAGTTGGTTCAAAAATTCAAAATCAACCCACCAGCGATTATAGTGCTACAGGCGATTCGATGTTGATGAGTGCAATGGCTTTATGTGAGATATTTTGCTGCAATTTTCTTTAAAACATTGATTTAAATTTTAGGTGGTGCTGTAAACATAATGCCTCTGATGTTTTCTAAATTGAAGCAAACAAGACAACAAGTAAATTTGTTTTTCTTTGTTTATGAAAGCTACTATTTGATTGTTTTAAGATGATTGGTTTTAATGTAGCTGTTGTTCTTGGTTTAACAACATGTCTCCTTCTAAATATTCTTTGGTATGTAATAATCATATTTATTGTGATGAAATAGAGAAATGAGGATGTGAGTACTCCGATGTTGTCAGAATTAGGAAGGGGTATATTCTGGGTAGTTATTTGAACGAAAAAAACATCCAAACTATGATTTTCTGTGAAGTAATAAGCATTTTTTGAAAAGATTATTGTGTATCTCGGATGTTTTTATGCTAATCATGATATATTAAGTAGGCGAAATTACAGATTCTGTAAGACTTTAAAGAATTCGAATTGACACTAACGAATGCAAGTTTGTTTAACTGAACTTACCTAGTCCGAAAGCTAGTTTAGAAAAGAAAAAAAATTTCATCTAAAAGACTCAACACTCATATAAGAAGATTTCTTCGATGTTGAATAGAAAACGAGATTCAGACTGATAATGCCTATTTAGGGCGTCTAGCATATAGTTTAATTTTGTCAATAAATGATTTTCTCGCATAGATCAGACACTTTGTAGTACTTTACATCTAGTTCTAAGATAGACCCTAAATTCTTAGATATAGAAACAAATGCTGATTCTACCGTTCACTTGAGGAATGTCACGTTTACAACAAAGTCAGAGTAAAATTCAAATGTTTAGGCGTATTAAAAGAATACGCGAGCTAAATTATGTTTTATCTGAAGGTGTTGGTCAGTATTGGAAATTGTGCCACAAAAAAGTGCCTGTCTACCAGTCTATCCTAATAAAACAAATTCAATTGAATCTCAACTTTTTTCTGGCCTACAAGTTGCAGGCGAATGTATTGCTTCACCTTCCTTACAAGAGTAATCATTTTTTTCTAATTTTTGTTCAAAACTTGCTGAACTAAACCTATTTAAATCTAGCACATGCAAACACTTCTAATTTAAATAATGCTCTTACTATAATCTCCAAACATTTATACAGTAACCTCACAATCTTGTTCAACCACTAAAAAAAACTTTGAGCATCAATGGTAACTAGACAATCCTTGTGTAAAAAATACTGTATATATCTATTCGCACGTAAATAAACTTAATTAGATGATAAACTAATCGATTAAAATGTAATTAGTCAATATATCCATGAACTGATAACAAACAATCTCAATAGTTTTTGAATAAATTTCATACTGAAAGTTCTGCGAGATGATTTTCTTCATGACTGAAGTCTCAAAAATTATTTTTCAAAAAATTGTTCATTTCCCAGAATTGCTTGCATTGAAGAGCAAGAACCTTTGATTTTCTACTATCTTCTGATACTTGATGAGGATTTTCCCATTGGGCATTGCTGTTTGTATCTAACATGATAAATTACAAGCTAAAATTTCATTTGAATATTCATCTTCGCTGTCGAGAATGACAATAAATAACCATGCTGCTTTTAGGAAACTATTCATCGTTAAGAACGTCAATGCATAGAGATTTTATAATTTAAAGAATTTTCTGTCAAGTATTCAAGTTTGTTTTGAACTTTCGTATTCTTAAAAGCAAGTATAACTGCGTGAACTAAGTTGTCTTTTAATGGATAACATCATAAACGCTCGTTTCTCAATAATAAATCGACGTGAAAAGTTTCTACATAGAGCTAATTTTTTTCAGAACATACACCTGTTAGATAAAAATGTGCGGAAAAAAAGATTTGAAAGTAAAAGGATATAAACTGCGTTATGCTTTGTAATCATTTTGTTAGCGAATAATACTGTTCGCTCATTAACTACTATAGTTTAACAAAAATGCCTAACAGAACGATCGTTTTTCACTTATTTGATAACATAATTTTGTGCGAATATAATTTTCTTGTTTTGTTACAAGAGCTGCATTGAAAGGTGAAATTTCAACGATACCATTAAGCAAAGTTTGCTTTATCATCTTGTGTTAAAATTTTTCTTTTTCAAATTTTCTTTTCAAATAGATCCTTGAAAGCAAAAAATATGCTTCTTATAAATATGTTTCAATAATTATTGAAATATTTGTTGCGATCAGCATTTCAGTATCATTCATAACAGTCGGATCAATATTATATCATACAAGTGAGATTATTGGATTTACATTTCGTTTTGTCTAAGAACACTTTTCTGTAGTCAGTGGTGTTGTTGATTCATATTGGGATTTAAAAATGGAGACTGAATCAAAATATAGAGGTATTTTAAAATATTTTACTAAACGACGGTTAGTGGTTTATTTTACATTGTGCAGTAATAAAATGTATTTTTATTTTTATTTTTCAGAATCCTCGGGTTGGGCATATCAATAATATGTTTCACAATTGTATTTGTTATTGTATTTACTAAACCAAATGTAAGAAGACAATTTTTCTTAATATTCCAATTCGATTTAATATTTATAGAGTTTTAAAACTGTTCTTGAACAAGGTGGTACTATTTTGTTAAGTATTCAAATAGGTATTTTTGTTGCAATGATGATCTATCAAGTATCATTACCGAATTTCAGGTACAATTGTTTGATTACTGATTTTTTCCTGAAAAATCTTTGTTTTAGTTCGTGCGAGATTCCATTTTCCTTACCAAAATGGTTTTTTCATTTGCAATTTTTCATTCCGGTTTATTTTATTTGTATTTTTATTTATGACTTGTACGTTATAATTAAGATGTAATTCGTTAGAAAACTATAATTGATATTGTTTTTGTTTTGTTTTTCGAAACTGCAATTTGTACTTTCAAATTCTCACTCAATCATAGCAAATTTTTATCTTTTATCTATCTACTCAACAATCATACCAATTACTCAATTTCAATTCTTTTAGATAGAAAATTGCCATGCAAGCGAGATCGCCTCGTATTGGATTTGAAGGAATATTTTCCGACGAAAACATACATCATATTGGCTTTGAACAATATGAGACTGATCAGCAAGAACATGCACCACCAGCGTATCCATTAAGTATGATTTTAATCTATCTCTCAATTACTAACTTAATCGTATGGTTACTAAAACGTTTAATCGATAGTTCGAATTTAGTTTTCAAGTAGAAATCTTTGCAAATAAATTAGAACAAATAAATTGTGCCTATGTACTCGAACTCGATGAATTAAATGTAGTGTTGTTCTAAATGTTCTGTTAAGTAGTTCTTGCTGAATTTGAGGAACGAACAGAAATATCTAAGTGGTATTTTTGTATTAAAATTTCGCATTATTATTCAATAATAGAGTTAGAATCTCAATGAGTAATACTCAATTTTGATAATTACAAAAATACATCTCTGATTCTTTTCATTTTCAATTCATCAGATGATACAATGCCAATTCCCGATTCATCTTTTCGGAACAGCTTCTCTGGTTTTGATACTTCATCACTTGTTACCCAAACAACACCATCGGGTGCGAAATCATTACAAAATAATGACACGTCTCGAAAAGCAAAGACAAAAAGTCTTTCGTATCCACAATTATCTGCGATTTATAATGAAATTGTTAATCAATGGTGTCGAGAACAATGGCTTCTATTTGATGACGATCAAAAAGAGACTTACTTAACGCTAGATTTTAAAACAAGAGGATTTTTCACTGTACAAATGGCTATTGATCACTTTCATCTTACCAGTAGTACCCACCTACTTTTATCTCAACCTGAATGTTTATTAATTCGAACACAAAAAAAAGCAAAAACTTCATTTTTACCTAATTCAAGTATTTCCATTGGCAATTTATTGCAGAATGATATTTCTCAACAAACATTTCGATATAAGATTCTAGCAATTATCTGTGAATCACATGAAACAAATAGTAAATTAATGTTTTATAAAGATAAACAAACACATGATTGGTATGTTTATTATAATGAATCGATATCATCACCGTCCTGTTGTAATATGTTATCGAATGAAGAACACCGTCAGATAGAATCATTTATTCAACAAGAAAATCAATTACATTCAAACGATTTATCAAACTTTGCACCGCCACTATCAAATTTATACAATCATCCGATTGTTTATATATATATACCGGACAAAAACAACAAAAAACATTAGTCATTTATCATTGAACTCAGAGAATTGAAAATATCGAATTTGTAAATTAAAGAAATCTGATTTGCTTTTATTTCAACATAGACATATGTTTTACGAGGAATGATTATCTAATCGACAAAAGAATTTAAATTTTTTTTCCAGTGTTGTGATTCTTGTTGTGCAATCTCTTGTCGCAAGAGAATTGTTGCTTTTATTTTCGTTGATGTATTTTTTCCTGCTTCTTTTTGTTTTGACTAATAATACTAAATAATTATATTTATCGTACGATTATTATAAATTCTACTTATATAGATTTCATTAAACAACAAGAAGTTGTCATATCACAAATCAATGAAATTAATGAATTGAGCCACGATTATAAATAATGACACAATTTTTATTTTCATTCAAACGATTCTTATAGTTTTTGTTTTTTCAAGGTTCGAGTTTGTTATTTTATTCAATAATATTTGCTCACTTGGTAGTAAATAGTAGAAAAAAAAGAGCAACTTCACAAAACATGCGAGTCAACGTTAAATCCATAAAAAAAAATGCTTATAAAACGAAAGAAGTAGTAAATAAGACCGATTAAATAATCATGAATAATAGCATTGTTACTACTAAAAATGTTCATATATCACTTTGCATTAATCTCCCATTCAAGCATTTTAGTTGATACAACATCAGTAGAGTGATAAAATACATAGTCGAAAACATTTTTTTCATGATTGATTGAGTAGATGCTAATAAAACTATGACTTTTTATCTTTCGTAACTTTGGATTTAATTGAATTTAATCAAATTATTCGATCAAAAGTTAAGATACTTAAGTGTTCATCGACCTAGTGCAATAGACTGAACAATTGAGCTTGTTCAACTATTATTGTTTTTGTTCTTGGACAAAAGAAATTTTTGTTGTCAAGGCTATCGTGTTCATCGAATTATTATACTTCTTGCAAGCCAACAAAAAACAAAATGTAAGTAATTATTTAAGGATCACGAGAACATTGTGAGGCTATTACACTAATTTGCTTCAATCACAATAGGCTTTGCCGAGAGAAAAATTAGTCTTATTCAAATGCTATATTTTTGATTCCCTATAATTAACTAATGAAGCTGAAGAATAATACTATTGTATGGGAAAAGCACAGAAAATGAATATGAACTGTGCATCGTCACGATATTGTAATTACTTTTTCAACGAGTTCACTCATACACAAGCAAAATTACTGGGGGCTATTGAAAATTAAAAGATCGTTAAACGTTCATTTAGCATACAAAGGACAGTGCCAACATAATTTATAACTTGTTGCACGTTAATGTTTCTTTCATGCAATTTGGTTTTGAAGCTAGAACACAAGCTTTTTTCTTTCTCTCGCTCTCACCGCTGACGTCGTCTATCGTCGATCGAAGCGTATACGATGAAGAAAAAAGAGAAAAAAGCGCAATGAGAGAGAACATAGCAGGGATGTGTCAATAACAAACCAACGAATCAATATGCAAAGCATGTGCCAATGATAGGAGAACAAACAACTGGGTAAAACATTTCTCTCTCATATCTTAACCATAAAAAATAATAGCCATGACATAGGTACACAAAGGAAACTCTAAAGCGTCTACTATTTATTGTTCGTTTACTTCGTAAAAAACAGTGCTAATGAAATGTTTCAATACATCAAACATTTTTGTATTTCGTTCCAAATGTCGTCGAAATTACAGTAAAATAATAACATCGAGTACATCATTTCTTTTATTTCAATGGCATCAACGTATTCATTTTTATCTATCAATCATTGCATTGTTCATAGCAGGTTTAATATCTTATTATAAACCATTTGGCCTTCTTTATAATTTCAAATATGTTAAACCAGAAACTTCATTAATTATTCCTATACGTAATAATTTAATAGAGAAACAAAAGCAACAACAACAACAAGCTTATGAGTGGCTTGATAGCGTATGGAAAAATCCAAACAATCACTCAAATATTATTTCAAATCAAACTGATCAATCACGTTTTTATGATTTTATTCATATGCAAACTATAAATTCGTCTTTATCGTCTTATAAATTGTTCGAGAAGCCAAAACAAACATCATCAAATACTCAAACGGATACCAGTGATCAAATTATTATTTCTATTCTATATACTCAACAAGATGTCGATCATCATGATGGCAAATTTTACGTTGGTCAAGTACTTTATCAACTTTTAAAAAATTATCATCCACGTTTTATTATCACTTTATGTGAAAATGGAAATGCGGATGGTAAAATATCGGATGATATTGAATTAATTCGACGATTAGTACCTGCTTTTATTATTAATACAACAAATTCAGCGCAAACGTTGGATATGTATGAACGAGAAAAACAAGCACATTTACAATGTATTCTAGCAAATTTTCAGTCATTTCCAAATGCTAATTATTTTCTATTATTACAAGACGATGCTCAACCTATTGGTGATGATTTTTATCTTCGTTTTCTATCTCTAATTGATTATCGTGTAAAACAGCGATGGCCAATAGATGGTTATAGAAAACAACCAGCTTTTCTTAAAGTCTATCATCCAAGATGGTTAACTGATTATCGACATCCATCATTCTATATTATCGTGCAATTAATTGCATCGAGTCTTTTTCTCACATTTTTTTCTTTTGCTTGTTTTTATTTATTTCAAATCATTAAACAGGTACGTACAAATACAATCATTTGTTTTCATTTCATAGTGAAATTAAAATAGATAATTATTATTCTACTGAGACAGGGATAATATTTCAAAACTATATCCTTGATATATTTTCTATTGTTGAATTCTTACATAAGCAGCAATGAATGTTTTTGAAACGGGTATGCTATTAATAAATTTCTAAGGTATATCAGATGAAACCAAAACTTCACTGTATTACTGTGAGTTTGAGTTAGAATATTTTTCATATTTTGCTATAAAAACAACTTTTATTTGATTAACAGCAGCAGTCATATTGTATTTTATATCTTAATATTACAAGAATTGTTCAAGAAAATTTTGTTTTTCTATTTTCATTCAAGAGCAACCAAAATAATTCAATGACGCATACTAATAAATTCTCCTGGCATTGCTATGATATATTTATCAATCGTCTCAAATCGGGTGACTTAAATCGAACTCATTTTCTATATTATTTTTTACTTTTCACGGCTGTACTTATTTTACTAAATCATACTAATGTATCCTGGGCATGGCGTTCGCTGCATCCATCGTTTTATGCTATTTATCCAGCACCATCCTGTTGTTTACCTGGTGTAGTCTATTTTCGACAAACATATGTTCAAGTCACTGATTATTTGAATAGTGTTAAATGTTATAATGGATATGCGATCGATACAGCTTTTGATGATTTACCAAAACGAATACATCTGCAAACATATCTGGTCGAACCGAATTTAGTTCATCATATTGGTTTATATTCGAGACTTCGGCACATGTATATTAATCCATATTTACTTGATTAAAACCGGTGAATGTATAAATATTGTGATAGAAAATGAATGTACTACTCAGATATTTGTTTTGTTTGTCTTTTTTTTGCAGTATTTATTCAAATAAATAGACTTTAAGATAATTATAATCTTTGAGTCTGTCATGAAGCATGTCGTTTTGTTTTCCAGAAAACAAATCAGAACAAGCGTTTCAAATATCTAATATTTGATCGCTCTCTTACTATTAACAGATTGTTGATAAATCTTAAGAGGTATGTATTTTATCAATTCAATATATTAGTTTATTCTATATCATCGCTAAAATGCTATGTAAATCAATCGTCGAGATACTATCAATATTTGAATTATAAATAATATGAAACAGTAAAATATACTCATCATAGAATGTTTTACTTAAAGTATACTTGAAGAATTAGGATTATCTTTAAAAAAAGCGAGTGCTCATACTATAGCGTCATCTATGAAACTCCATATTTTATTGCCAAATACCAATAATAATTAATGTATATGAGAATGCAATGCTTGCTTCTTGGACTTGTCTTGTTTTGTTTTTTTAACTTTATTCAATAAATGTTGAGTACTCTATTGAAGTTATTATTCTAAATGATGAATGAAAATGAACATATTGAACAAATCCATGCCAGAAATCTATTTAGACAACGTCGTCTTCTATTTAGCAAGGCCAAATTAAAAGCTGTTTCACGTACAAGTGCTCTACTGTCGGGCTTTGCTATGGTCAGTGCCAATTGTGGGTATTGCATTCATATGCCTACAATAGGTTATGAGCATATTAATTTTTTCTTTTTTTTGTCCTTTTTCACAGATTGCTATGGTAGAAGTTTCATTAGATGATTATAAGCAATCAAAAACGTCTACACCTCTCATCGTTACCTATGCAGCGCTCACGTGTCTTGTAGTAGGTGTACACCTATTAGCTTTAATGATTAGCACTTGTATACTACCACTACTAGAAACTGGTGATAGTTTTGGCTATGAGGACCATGAAACAATGTTTGCTTACATTGAGCTAGCTTGGATTTTAAGTACCGGATTTGGTATGACTTTTTCGTTTTATTTTGAGGAAATAAAATTCTACGATGTCTTTTATTCAGGTATATTTTTGTTCTTACTGGAAATTGCTGTCGTATGCTGGGTAAAATTTTATGTCATATTGCGTCCTGCAGCCGTCGCAGCTACAATGATCATTGTACCAGTTATGCTATTATTTTCGATATTTGCATTACATTTTTATCGACGTCTTGTATTTCATAAATTAAATCAGCATCAAACTGAACTGGACCAAATAGAAATTGGATTAACAACTGTAAAATTTCCAATGGTGGACAATGTTTAATAATGAAAAATGAAAAATGAAAATATTGGCATTCTGTTTATGACAATAGTTTCATTTACTGAAACTACTATTTCTTTTGATGTTTTGTTTTTATCTAAAATGTCTTTATTTGTAGATATCTAATTCTTTTATTGAAATGTTACACCGATGACCGCTGAAAAAGGGGAAGCAATCAAAGAAAAAGGTCAGTAAAAGCATAATGCCTTCCTTTCTATCATTGGAGTCGACGCCATCATTGCAAATATATTTTTAGAATTTGTTATTTGTTTTTAAGATCTAATAAGTTAGACAATGCATTTAGTCAAGCAATGGCAAATGTACTTGAGTTTTTGTCAGAATTATACTAACGTACCATTACGTTCAAGAAGCAAGAACATGAGTGAATGTTATTCTATCTTATTTTATTTACACGATATTAAACAGTGCATAGAAAGTTTTAGCGGCTTTTTTCCATTAGTAAAGTGGCTGCATAGTATTTAATATTCTAATTCTATTGAAAGAATAATTTTGTATAGAATTTCTAAAATAATTCCATCAGAGAGATATTAATATTAACCAATTTTCTATTCCGTCGAATTTTCGAAAGCAATACTAGTAAGTTATTTCAAGGTATTAATTAAGATTTCTTTATAAAAGCAATCATTAAAAGACTATTAAAGAAACTGAACTTGTTCTTTGACCTAAGAGAAATAATTCTTGCAGTCGGATTTGAAATCGATTGTCAAAATCGAGAAGATTTATTTGAAAAGAGTATCAGCCCAAAGGTTTATTTTCATTTTCTGGAAAACGTATGACCTTAGAATAAGATTACAACTGTAAAACAAAATCTCCGTTAATTCCATAAAAGAAAGTCTTTTGACTGATTAATTATTTCCTATGTCCCTCATGCAGTTCATCATGAACTGTGAATCTCTTGAGAACAATTCGAGGCATTAGCTTATTATTGCAAAAAGAAGTATTCTCCGTGTTTCGCCTGAGAAATATTAAATTAATTGATTTGTTAGTTTCGATTTAGAACTGCACATTAACGAGACATAGTTAGAATAATTGATTGTGAAAGTTTCAGTTTTTGCCATTTCATTCGTTTTGAATTATATGTCTATCATAAAATCGTCCCTTTTACATTGTTGAATTCGATGATCTTTCTTCAAAATAAACGTAAATCAAATTTGACAATCAATTTGTTTTTGACAGAGATCATGGCATTCATTTTAACAGCTATTTAGAATAAGAATATCTCCTTAGAACTAAATTAAGAGTCGAATCTCTTCGTAAAGTTTATCAGACTTTACACAATACATATGAACTCAATTCAATTGGGATTAATCACTTAAAACATTTTTCACATAAGACGGAAGATAAATATATTCATACGCTGATTTCCACACTGGAGATTTGTCTGTATAGTTCTATTCCTAATGTGACCATATAAAACAAAACTACTCACAAAACTCAAATATCAATCATAATAGAACGAACTATTTTCGCAAGTCTAATGAGTTTCTTTGTTTTATAGGCAACAAACACTTTTTACAAAAGAAATACAACGATGCCATTCATTGTTACAACCAAGCATTAAAGCAGAATGGTGAAAAAGCAATTTATTACGTTAATCGAGCATTATGTTATATAAAATTAAAACAATGGGATAAAGTATATCAAGATGCTCGCCATTGTCTTGATCTTGATCCAAATTATATCAAAGCTCATGCCTATCTCGGTCAATATTATATTGAACAACAACAATACGATGAAGCCATCACATATTTTAAGCAAGCACTTGAATTATGCAAAGTTTGTTTTCTTTGTTCTTTTTGAGAAATCGAAATTATTGTCATTATTATTCTATTTATTTATTTCGAATAGATTCAAAATAAAAATTTTGGTGATGAAATTCAACGACTATTACGTTATGCACAAAAACGTCGTTTTTCTATTATGGAACATAAACGTATTGAAAATGAAATTAGTTTACAAACATATCTGCGTTCATTAATACAAACCGATAAAGAACGTCGTATGCAATTACGTATTGAAAAATATTTAGAAGATAAAGATCCAACACAATCATCAACAAATTCTCTTTCGATTTTAAAACAGTTTTTGTCTAAAATAATGAATCGTCATAATCAACAGATAACAACAAGTCTTGCTTCAGTTGTGTCAGTCAGTCCAAAAGTAGCAACCACAACAACGCATAACAATGAAATGAATGTTGCTATTGATCAACAACTTGAACAAGCATTACAAGATATCGAACAGTCAGCTGATCAATCATTAAATGAAATGAATATTTTATTTAATGAAGTTGATGTAAGAAGGAAACGGCGTGAAATTCCTGAATATTTAACATGCAAACTTTGCTACGATCTTATGAGAGATCCAGTTATAACACCATGTAAATAAAAAAAAACTCTATTTAATTCATTGATTTTTACTCGTTTTTTTTTTCTAGTTGGTATTACCTATTGCCGATCATGTATTGAAGAAAATCTGTATAAAGTTAGTCATCTTGATCCAATTGCGAATAAGCCACTTGTTGTCGATCAACTTGTTAATAATCTTGTACTTAAAGAAATAGTTGAAAAATTTATTAAAGAAAATGAATGGGTCAATTCCGAGTGTTTCTAAATGGTCAACATAGACATTTGTATGCCATAATAAAAACAGTTTTTTTTTTGTATATACATATATATATATGATGAGAGATGGTGAAGTAAATGATAAGAGAAAGAATAAGAACAATGTATGTAGTATATGTGTGTTTGTTGATCATCAAATAAAATATTTTATCAATTAGAAATGTAATATTTGACATTTCAATAGTAATTTATCGGTATATTCAACAAATGAATCCATGATTGAAATGGCAATGAATCAATCAAATCAAATTTCTATTTGGTAAAAATACTTCTTGAATTTGCGTTTGAAAAATACATATCTACAAGTTAGATAGTTAACTGTTGAGAAGTTTCTGAAACAAATTCAATTGATTTTTGTTAAAAAGTTTAACTTCATCTTCAATATGATACTATTCAATAGTTATAGAGGTAAAAAGCAGTGCTATCGATGTTTAATTCAATTAATCCGCTTCAAATTTTATCATGTGTCACAGATACACTTACTTTTATTTTATAGCTTTTTCTTTTATTCTTATCGATAATAATGCTTTGGAGAGAGGGAGAGACTGCGAGAAAATTATGCTTAGTGCAAAAACTTTCAATGATGAAACCAATCTATTCAATCGTAAGATGATTGTAGTAGGTCATGATTATTTGCTATGTACGCATTGACGAAGACATTTTCTTTTATCTTCAGTGTCGATCGTACAGGACATTTCTATATAAAATACCAAAAAACAACGACAACAGAAACACATATATCACTCTCTACTAAACCATATAGCTGTTCGATAATAAAAGCAAATAAGTCATAAAATCAGTTATCATCTTCTTCAAAAAGTCTCTATAATTGTTAATTTTTACACTAAGAAAAAAAGAACAAGATTATATGCTTTTTTTTTCTTAAGAACTTGTTTTAGACATGCTTCATTTTGTATTAGTTCTAATTGCAATCGCTGGTTCATTTAGCGATGGAGCCAATACGAATCAATGCACACCTATTTCAACACAAAAGGATACATCAACAATTTTGCTTCAAATTCGTCAAGAAATGAAAAAGGAAGGTATCGGTTTGTATGTTATATTTCCCGATGACGAACATGGAAGTGAATATACACAACCCTATGATAAACGTCGTGATTGGTTGACAGGATTTCGTGGTTCAGCAGGAACAGCAGTCGTTTCTGAGCGGGCAGCAGCACTATGGACAGATAGTCGATATTTTACTCAAGCCGAAGAACAACTTGACTGTGCCAATTGGCTTCTAATGAGAGATAGAAATTCGGGTGTACCCACTATTATTGATTGGATAGTTTCAGAACTAAATCAAACGGCATGGGTAAGATTTCATATTTGGTTGTAGTGATTAAATGAATTTTGTATATATTTTAATCTAAATCTTGTGTTTATCAGCAACCAGGTACCACAGCGGCTTTCACAAGCACATCATGGTGGACATCAACCAATAGTGCACTGAAAATCATAGGAAAGGAGCTTCGTTCCGTTGATGATCTAGTTAGTCGTATTTGGCCAAGCAATGAACGACCAAAACAATTACAGGGACCAATTGTTACTCATGATATTGAATATGCAGGAGAAACAGTTGCTCAAAAATTGAATCGTACGACAGTTGAAATGAAACGACTTGGTGCAACAACAGCTGTTATTAGTGCACTTGATGAAACTGCATGGCTATTCAATTTACGTGGTAGCGATATTCCATTTAATCCATTTTTTAAATCATATGCCATAATACATGCCGACTATCAAGTTAATCAACCTGAATTATTTGTCAATTTGGCACAACTCAGTGCTAGTCAATATCCTCCAGGAGTTAATGTATTCGATTATTCTACATTTTGGTCACGATTAAATCAAACCGGTACCAATGTGGGTATTAATAGAATTATGGCAAATACTAAAGTATCACAAGCTATATTAAATTTGATACCTGCAAAGAAACTATTACTACCATTATCAAATTCACCCGTGCAACGTATAAAAGCAAGAAAAAATGCAAAAGAACGAAAAGGTATGCAAGATTGTCAATTACGTGATGCTGTTGCACGTATGAAACATCTCGGATGGCTTGAAAAACAATTAAATGAAGGCAAATCTATTAATGAAACTCAGTCATCTGATCAATTAGTTGTTTATCAAAAACAACAGGATAGATTTCAATTTCCAAGTTTTAGGGCTATTACAGCATCAGGTGATCGAGCAGCTGTAGTTCATTATTCTGCAGCACCAGAAACTGCTCAGCTTATTACTAAAAATAAAGTTTATTTACTCGATGTAAGTATGAATAGTTGATCTAAATATTAAATAAGAAAACAACTAAACTTTTTCCGTAGGCTGGTAGTCAATATCTTGATTGCACAACAGATATAACACGAACACATCATTTTGGTGTACCAAAAGATTTAGAAAAACGTGCTTATACACGTGTATTACAAGGTGTCATCGACATTGCAGAAGCTGTTTTCCCTACTGGAATGTATGGTCGATCACTTGATCATCTCGGTCGTATGAGTTTGTACAGAGATGGCATGACATTTGGACATGGAGTAGGGTTAGTATAGATTTATAATTATGTGAAGATATCATCTTAAAACAGTTTCATACCAATATGATTCATGAATTGATGTTTTGTTTTTGCTTCTATAGCCATGGTATTGGTCATTTTTTGAGTGTACACGAAGGTCCTCAACGAATTGCATCTCCCTATAGTGCATTGGAAGAACCACTAGCTGATGGAGTATTCCTTTCCGATGAACCTGGCTTTTATAAGCCCGGCGATTTTGGTATTCGTATAGAAAATGATATGGAAGTTGTGTTAGCAAACAAGAGTTCATATGAGAATAGACAATATCTACGTTTTAATACAATTACACTTCTACCATACGAACGTTCGTTGATTGATGCTTCGTTACTAACAAATGCACAGTTAAATACTATCAATCAATATCATGCAAAGGTGCGAGACATCTTGGAACCTTTACTTCAAGGCGATGAAGCAGCTTTAAATGCACTTCGCACTCGTACGGCAAGCATAGACTCTATACCAACAATACCGAGCTTAGCATATATCAGTATTGGCGGCTCGTCATCTCTAATAACATTCATTTTGTTTTTGAGAATTTTATTTTAAAAATATAAACATTACGTAATAACCTAAATCGTTTTTTTTTCAATACACATTTGTCAACGACTCTTGCTATCAATGTGATTCGGCATCACATTAAATCGAATAAAACGAGTCAGCACTATTTTCTGTTTCTGCCATATAATGAATTGCCCCAACAGTAGGATAAATTTGCCTGCATTACTATTACGACATCTGTAGAGTAGAAAATAAACACAATCTACCAATCATATGTCATTGTATAAAAAAAAAGGTTTTTATTTTATTTTATCATTCAACACAATAAATATATTTATCTGTACTAGTTTTGTTATTTTTAATAGTTGAATCCTTCAATTTATTTTTTGTTTTAACTACCATAATATGATGAATTTTACGATAGTCCGTATGAATTAGTGTTAGACATGATTCTTGTCAATGTTGTAAATGTTTACAACAGCATCACATTGGTAAAAGTAATATCATAGTAGGTAATGAATAGATTTTTGATGTCATAATTAATGAAACTAATTCTAGTACGATAGATTCAGCAATTTCATCATACGCAACAGAATTTTGTAATAGGAAATTTTTTAACTTTCTGAGATTTTATTGTTTGTTTAGGCTTCTATGAAAATTGAAAGTTTTTAATTGTAAATATAAACATAGCGAACAGCAAAACTTAAAATGACGATAATGAAATCGATATATTTACACATTAGCCACAAGTTTTTTATTATTATTATGAGAAATAGGAGTTTATAGAGAAGCACAGATTTGAGAAAAAAAATAATACTACTGCACCATTCATTTTAATTTATGATTATAATACAACTATTGTATCAATGATTTCTATGGTATATTTTTCTTTTGGCTGATTCATTTGTTTGTCGCTCGATATGTTATAACGACAGTTGTATTTTTTGGCACGCATCTTTTCATTGACTATTTCAAATTATAGATAGAAGGAAATCTAAATAAGAAAAACTGGTAAATGCTTGATTAATTCGTTTCATAATCAAGATTATTTGAGGGTTTAACCTTGTGACAGATATATGTATAATATTAACGATAGCTTTTTACTATTTGCGTTTTTTATGTTCAAAAAGTAAAAGATTATAATATTTTCTAGATGTTTTTACAATCTCGCTATTTTTTCAGTCGTTTAGCAACATCGACTATTCATTCACGATGCTTTGCTAGTACGCTTGTAATTGCTGAACAAATTGATGGTGGTAAACTTGCACCAGTTACCTTAAATGCGTATGTATTTTGTTTTTATTGTTATTGCTATATAGTAATCTTTCTTTCATGATTTTAAGATTAACTGCTGCTAGTCAATTAAAACAAGATATTGATTGTGTTATTTTCGGTGCTGACAAAACAGCTGAAACTACTACTCAATTACAAAAATTTAATAATTCAAATATTAAAAAAATTTTTGTTGCTGAAAATGTTGCATTCAAAGGTTTACTTAGCGAAGCTGTGACGCCAGTATTACTTGATTTACAAAAGAAAAATAATTATACACACATTTTTGGTGGTTCATCAACATTTACTAAGAGTATTTTGCCACGTTTAGCTGCTTTACTTGATGTTCAACCGATATCTGATATAACAAAAGTTGTTGATAAAGATCAATATATACGTTTTATTTATGCTGGCAATGTTGTACTTAAACTTAAATCAAATGACACAGTCAAAATCATTACTGTACGCAGCACAGCATTTGAAGCGGCGAAAGAAGGTGGCGGCAGTGGACAAGCCAACGTGGAAAAACTTGATTCATCAGTAAAAAATGATCTATCAGAATTTGTTGAACGACAAGTTCAACAATCAGAACGACCAGAATTACCTAGTGCCCGTATTGTCTGTATAAATTCGAAATTTATTTCTATATATTTTATAATTTATTGGATTAATAGATATTTTCCGGAGGTCGTGCACTTAAAAGCAAAGAAAACTTCAAATTACTCTATGATTTAGCTGATCTTTTTCCTGGTCAAGCAACTGTTGGTGCTTCACGAGCAGCTGTTGATGCTGGCTATTGTACAAATGATTTACAAATTGGTCAAACAGGCAAAATTGTTGCACCAGATCTTTATGTTGCTATTGGTATATCAGGTGCCATTCAACATATTGCTGGTATGAAAGATAGTAAAGTTATTGTTGCTATCAATAAAGATGGAGACGCGCCAATATTTGCTATAGCTGATTATGGACTTGTTGGTGATTTATTTAAAGTTATACCTGAACTCAATGAAAAACTTAAGAAAAAATAGACTCTGTTTTTCTTCAAATAAATATAGTGCTTCGCTTTTGTGAGCATCTTTCGAGATGAAAGTTGATATAAATTCAACTGTTAATCCTAATTTTTTACTAACAACTTATTTTGTCATTACAGCATCATCCTAATAAAGATTATGTAATGAAAATGAATAGGCAAAAATTAATTTTTTGGCTTTCTCAGAATATCCCATCGTAGATTTCGGAAACCATCACATGTATCCTTAATAAATGGTCAAAGACATGTATGAATTGTGTCACTAGTGGTTTCTTGAAAACTCCGATAACAAAATGCTGGAGAAATATGTTAACATAGAGGACTTAATCGTTGATAAAACTTTTCAGTGAGTCTACTTTCGGGAACAAGACAATTTGATCGGCTTTAATTTATGACCAATCCTGACAAAAAGAAACGAAAAAAATAAACTTTTGTTATTGTTACTCATCCTTTAACCACTAAAAATAGGTTACGAAATCGATGTCGAGGTCATTCATGTCGTTGTACTAATTCTATACACACAAATATGATTTATTTTTAAAAATGAATTGACTTTATAACAATTATTGAGAAAAAATTAATTTCAAAGTCATTAGGATCATCAAGTCACATATGTATAAATCATTAAAATGATTTCAAAATAATTCTTCAGCTGATCTAAATCTAATTGTCATTTATAGCTGTCGAAAAACAAATCCATCTACAGTCCGAAAATGTTTCTTAAAATAAGTCTTTTTCAATTCTTTCCATGTACTCATAGGTTTTAGATTATATTCCATTCCTTCGCAAGTTAAGTCCTATGCCATATAGAGATCGAATTGTAATATTCAATTTCCTGATCCTACGTTTCATTCTATCAATTGAGTTTTGCCTTGATACAAAATAATCATTAAGGGAGAACTTCAAATATATTAAGAACTATTCTACTATATCATACAATAGATGTTTACTTTTGTTACTTTTATTTAAATAAATGTTTAAAAATGTAAAAATTAATAATCATGTATATGCACTTAAATTGATTATATATTAGAGACAAGAGAGCCATAGTATAGAGAAAAAAAAATATGTAATTATTTTCTCTCGAGTGAAACGTAAATTTAGCAATATTTCATTGTAGATTTTCAAGTAAAACTAGAGAGAAAATTAATTACATTTCTACTAACAGAGCAATAATGGAAGCATAAGAAAGGGCAACAACATGCAAGTTCCAATAGCCACACTAATAAATGCACCTGTCGCTATGTCAGAACCTGCATCACAACGTGGATCTCGATCCACCAGTATGATTGTCTGTGTTGATCCATTCGGCGTATAATATATGTGTTGTGAAAAGTCGTCTGGATAAACACTCGAATAATAGATGCAATCGTATCGTCTAGAAGAAAGTCGTGTACTGTTATATTGAGTTTGTTGTTGTTGCAAACGTTCAATATATAATTGTCGAACATCATTAAATGATGTTTGCCATGCAAGTAGGTCATCGGTTGATTCAGCACATAAAGCCCATGGATCCCCTTCGCTTGGTACTAGCTGCATCAATTGGGCACGAGTTGCATCCCGCGGTGGATCAATGTTATGTGGCACGCGTTCTGCGCCGAAATTTAACTCTCGACAACGACTCAATTGAAATACATCATCAGCTTTATCGAATTGTTTAACAGGATCTGATATACGTCGAAGACGTGCATCATTTGTCAATATGAACCATTCACGTTTCCAATTTTTCAATACCGTTGTACGGCGGAATAACCAGCCTGCTTTGACAATATCTGCCATGATTTCAACAGAAGTCTACGAACGTTCGTAGGCGTTTCCTAATTTGATGAGTCTAGTAAATAAGTGTCTATTTCGTGAATGATTCTCGAAAAATTAATTGCGAAGGAACGAAAATAATTGAGTTTACTATTGGTGGCTACTTTAACTAATTAGAAGGTGAATAGATGACACTTGAATTGAAATATATCTAATTATACATAAACCTTTTCTACTCCTAGATATTGTTTTCTTCATAAGTGTCGATCTGCAATAGAATAGGAATATGACGGTACCGATCACCAGTCCGATCGGAAACCTAACTGTGTGACATTGGCAGTGAAAACCTGAATATTCACCGTTGTATTCGCACAATAAATGCATTGCTATCTGTTATATGTGGACACACATTATGTTTCTTTTCCTTTTTATATTTCTTTTTTCATTAAAACTAGCTTGTATAAAATTACCTTTTTGCTTTTAACTGTATTCCATGTTCAATAATGAAGTTTTAGTAAATATTCTTTTGGAAAATTTTCTTTGCATACTAAAAATTTTCATTCTAGCTTAATGGACGTACACAATAAGATTAAAATGAGTTAACTAAAGATCAAATTTTCTCCCAGACGTAAATAAATGCAATTAATTATCTATCTGACAAATCATCAATGCCGAGAAAAGTTCAAGAAAACTGACCAAGAAGATACATAATAGTCTGGTATTTTGCATCAGTGACCAATATAATATTAGCAGAGCCGGTTGTCGAGTCGACATTATACTAGTATGAAACCGAGATAACAAGACTATTTTTATCATAAATAAAAAATGAGAAATCAGTAACGATGATTTTTCAATCTTGAAAGACTTCTTACATTCCTATTAGGATCTTATTACGGTGATTTTCACAAATTTCTGTTACATATGCTTAAATTTGTCTCAATATCATATTGATATATAATATTTACTTGATCAAAATTTCTAACTGTCAAAGAACTATTTTAGATTATTCCGTAGAAAAAAACCGTTTTATTCGTTACTTTTATTTCAGTGAACTTTTTAAAAATTCCCACTTTAGATGTTATAGACAACACAACATTAAGATACAACATAAAAATATAATTATTTTTTCGTAAATAAAAACCAATATTCAGCGACATTCTATTGCACATTTACAAGTGAAAATAGAGAGAAAATTATTTTCGCATCAACACCACATTAATGGAAACATAAAGAATGGCCACCACATCAGTGATCCAATAGCCATACCAGCAAGAGCGCCTGTCGCTATGCCAGAACCTCCATTATAACGTGCTCCTCGTTCAACAAATATGACTGTATGTGTTGATCCATCCGGTGCACGATAAACTTGATGTGGAAAATTGCCTTGATAAACACCCGGATAATGCGCAAAATCGTAACGACCAGGCGGAAATCGTATGTTATTCAGTTGAGCTTGTTGTTGTTGCAAGCGTTCAATATGTAATTGTCGAACATCGTCAAATGATGTTTGCCATGCAAGTAGGTCATCGGTTGATTCAGCACATAAAGTCCACGGATCACCTTCACCTGGTACAAGTTGCATCAATTGTTCACGAGTTGCATCCTCTGGTGGACCAATATTATATGGTACTTGTGTGGTGCCAATACGTAATTCTCGACAACGACTCAATTGAAATACATCATCAGCTTTATCGAATTGTTTAGCAGGATCTGACATACGTCGAAGACGTGCATCATTTGTCAATATGAACCATTCACGTTTCCAATTTTTTAATACCGTTGTACGGCGGAATAACCAGCCGGCTTTGACAATATCTGTCATTGATTACAGTAGGATTGAAAGAAGATTCTTTTTTTGTACTGCTACTAGCCTTATAAATAAGCAATTACTTTATGGAGTATTCTCGAAATACTAATTGCGACTTAGGAAAATAACTGAACTTTGTTTTCATTGGTGAGTACTGCAACCAATTAGAAGATCGATAGATGATACTGCTGGAAATTTTAAGGTAAACTATTTTTCTGCCATGCACATTATTTCCTTCGTAAGTCTAATCAAGAATAAATGTATCACTTTCTCGCATATTAATGCTAAAATTAATCAAAAATTTAATGGTTCATGTTTTGACGAATCATCTTTTAATGATACTCAGTAGTAACAACAGTGCACTTGACCAAAGACATTAATAGTTTATTTTTTGAGATCATCAATACTTTCGAGCCAAAAGTAAATGAGTTCTTTGTAAAACATTTTAGGAATATATTTTTTTCAAATCTTTCTTCTGTTAAAAATATTAAAGGTACTTTTATGGAAGCCATCCGTCATGCTCTGGCTAACTATAGTTGCAGAAACCAATTTTACTTGGATGTTTATTAAGCAATATTTCCTTATCATGCACATATTTCATACATAGTTTAAAGCTAGTTACATTATAGATATTTGATTCGAAAAAAAAGAACAAAATATATGGATAGCTTGTGTGATAAAATTCGATCTTATCATACATTTAGTTTGTTCTTTATCAGCATGGATAGAGTGAAGATAAAAAATTTAGAAATAAACCTAGAAAGAGTAGGAAATTTCAGTAATATCCTAGTGAAGGAATGCTGTGATAAAATAGTCTTTAGAAACAAATTATCTATTCGGATTTTTCATGGACATAATTGAACGTCGACTCTCCATTGAAATGATTCGAAACTTTATGAGTGAAAATTGTGTCTATATGATCAGATACAATGTTTGATACTTTCATTTTTCTTAATTGTATGAAGAACACATGATACTATGCATTGTTTGTGTCTATGATATTAATAGATAAAGTTGAACATGGGTCTTAATATAAGTGGCACTATTGATCGTGCTCGCCATCCTGAACGTTATCCAGATAAATCAAAAGGACCTACATTTGATCCGGTATGAAATAATTGATTTATAATTTGAAATATTGAGTTTTTCTATTTCTATTACATTTACAGATGTATGGTTTTGCTGACGGGCGAAAACCGAAAGGTAAAAGAGTCAATTATTACATTTTTATAATGAATATTTGTTCGGAAAACATTATTTTGATTAGAATAAATTTTCGTAACTGGCAATCGTTCAGCTGTTTATTTTATAAAGCAGACAATCTTGTTATATTTATATATGATAATACTGTATGCTTAATCATTATAATATAGTATAGTACCTGAAAAATAAATTTCATATGAATCCAGCAAAATGAACGGGTGATTGGTATTCAGTTAGTTCCTTCTCGAGAAGAATATGCTAAATAGATATGCATCAATTGCAGTCGAATAGGGATACAATAGAACATATGGCTCCATCGATAAGTTACCTGTTAGATTGATATTCAGTCATAATAGTATCTAATCACACATGTATACAACTTGCCCAATAGATAATTGCGTTAGGATAAATGTTTCTTTACTAATTAATTTGAACTAATGACTGACGTAGGATTTTTCTCTCGATGACGACGACAAAGAAGGACACAACCCTCGATGCTGAGAAAAAAAATCTGATGAAATTTCTTTTTCAAATTTCTAAAGAAATCGAAGTATTGTTCATCTTGAATATAACTAAAAGGAGAACAAACCATTCTATAGTCCAAGATTTGTTAGACTGCAATGATATATAAAAAGATTATATTCGTAATTAAATAGTTAGTAAAGTATGTTGAAATTTAGAGCGTACTCACTCAACTTTATCTTACAGTGAAATCCAATGATTGGTGTTTTTCTTTGTTACTGATTATCGTATGTATTTTATTACAGTTGCACCATATACTGAAGAAGAAATGCAAACTTTAAATATTCCTATCGAAAAACGCGATTATTGTGCTCATTATTTTCGTGCTGTTATGCTATGCACACAACAGTATTGGCCCTCACAATATGCATACTGTGAGCCAGAGCGACATGCATGGGATCAATGTGAAATAAAAAAGTATTTTAATATTCATTAATGAATTATTTGAATATTTCATTATTTGTCTTTTCAGTAAAATTGATGATGCGAAAGAATACGAACGAGAATTACGTTTACGTCGACGTCGATTACGTAAAGAAGAACAAACTAAACATAACCCAACACATACTGACGAGACGACTAGTAATGAAGAATAGACAACGAAGTGCTTTAGTTTTCAATACGATATCCTTAGACTTTAGACTTGGTTCTCTTTCTCTTTCTCTCTCTCTCTCTCTCTCTCTCTTTAATTCTTTTTCCCTTTCTCTCGTTTTTTGTCATATTCACAACAAAACAATTTTTGTAGAAATAAAACATGTGTTTGTGATGATACTTTCAGAAAAAGGCAAAATCCCTGATATTTACTGTTTTTTTTCTTTTCAGTATTAAATTTAAAAACAAAACGAGTTATGGACAAACGATTAGAAGCATTAGTTGAAAGCGCGTATGTATTCTACTTACTAATACACTGGAATTTCTTTTTACTGCTGATTTATTTAGAATCGAAAAATTTTCAATGGTTGGGGTTGATATAAAAGGTGTGTTGGTCTGTGATAAGAGTGGATTAACATTGACCAGTGAGTAAAGATATTTATAAATCAATCCTAATGATTTTTTGTGTTTATAGGTAAAGATGTTACAGTATCGCCTGGGCCAATAGCATGTCTAGCTGATTTAGCAGCGTCTTTATCAGGTCGACGAACGACGATCTGTCTTGAACATAATGAAAAGTAAGGAAGGATATGATATTTTTCATTGCAAATATTCATCGAGTTATTTTTATTTTCATCTAGTCAAGTACTAATTCATCAAGCAGATAAAGCAGTAGTTGCCGTCTATACAAACAATGCTACATGAGTTATATATGTTTAAATCTACCTTCAAATTAATAAAGTTTCATTTTCTATTCTGTTATAGTTGGTAATAATATTTTTTTATCTCTTAATCAAATCAATGATTAATTCTTTTTTTTATATCAAATAAATCACTGGATGCGATAAGCGTATGACGATAAAAGTTTTTGTAATTTTGATTTTGATTTTTAACGACGTGTTGCTTCGGTATAAATAGAAAATACCGCTTTACCAGCTTCACGAATAATTATTTTACTAGAAAAAAGAAATTTAATAATAATTTAGAAGAAGAAAAATATCATATAAAATTCAAAAAGTGCTGTCGATTGGTGTCGTATGATACAAATGATAATTGTGTTTATTGACTTAATCATAGATATCACTGAACTTTAAGTACGAAAAGCTATCGCAAGGAAATATCTTTGAGACAACAATGGCGAACACAATGTGCAGGAAATTTCAAAGTCAGTCGCACACAACAAAGATAAACAAGTGAAAAGATTCTTTTTATAAAATAGTTGATTCACGAGCATATGTCAGAAAAAAATCGTTTAGCTTCTGTTCGGACATTTCTCTACATTACTAGAAAATTTTTAGGCCGAAGAAATATTCAAAACAGTTGAATGATGATAACGTCAAAGAATTTTGTAATTCAAACTATCAGCATGACAGTTCCAACGTGAAAATGAGAAAAGCGTCTAGAATCGGATGTTAGAAATCTTCCGGATGGCCATACTTTGGTTGTGTGTACTAATCCGCAATGTATCATTAAACTAGAAATGTAGAGCGAAGGATTAGATTTGTTTGCACGATTGATGTTTTTTTTATTGTTTCGTTGTGAAACGATGGAACAGTACTAGATGATAATCCATGTTAAAATAAAGGACGTTCATTAACAGTTTTGGATAAATTATTAATCAAGTTTTTCTACACAATTGATATACATGGTTTTGTCGTGTAACAATTTCAACATATTCTTAAAGCTTAGCCAATGACGGCATTGGGATGAATTCTTTTTATGTATATAAAAACACGGTAATAGTTAGTAGAATCTTCACGAGTGAACGTCGAATTTTCTCTTAGATTATATAGATAATGATTCTTCTTGGCGTCTACTGAAAGAAAATATGGTGTGAAGGAGTTCTACATGAAAGGTCTGACGATTTACAAACTTGCTCTAAAAAACGTTCGTAGCTCAAAGTATAGAAAATAAAAAACAAATGCGTCGGTGTTTTAGACTTTACCAAAAAAAAGAGCAAGAAAAAAGTTCACGAATAATTTACTATCGATTATCATGGAATACACTCTAAATTTTTCTACAATATAAATGGTGTAAAAAACTTTATCCGTTTAGTTTGAAACTATTTTAGAGTGAATGTGTATATTTCTCTGACTCATATCCATATTCACACCTGTACTTCATTCACTTTCAATTAATTGCTTATGTTTTCACAGAGAAACTTTACAACAATATTATAATTTATAATTCTCTTATTGAAAGCAAACTACTAAACATAACACTTACTGATCTCCGTTTTCCAAACAAACAATGGCTGGTCGTTCTAACAGAGTTGATGCAAGATCAGCCAGTAATGCAATTGCTCCGCTACAATCGTTTTTAACATTTTGGCCTTAAAATTTGAAGATAGATCTCTTTTTTTTGTAATAGATTTTGAATTTAACATACTTGCAAGTATCAAACCATTATTATCCGTAATAAAAACGCCAGTAATATTTGTATGCGGTGACTTAAAATCAGTAGCTCTTAAGAAAATGAAATTGATAAATAAAATTATATAAGAGATCTGTTTTTAAAAAAAGGTTCCTCACACTTTCGTTATGAATGTATCAATAACTTCGCCCATATTATTACCATGCATCTACAAGTTTTAAAATACGGAATTTCGTTTTCGAAAGTGCATGATGGTATGTATCATTTTTTCTTATTCTATTCTTTAATATGCTTTAGTAATATGCGAAAAAAACTATATATATATATATATATGTATAATCGGACCTCTCGAATAATAATAAAAAAATATATATACCTCTCTCTATATATACAAGAGAAAAAAAAGCAAGTAAAAAAGCAAAGACTAAAAATTATTTTTTTCTTCGTCGTTTTGGATGGGGTTTCATGGATTTAATCATTTCGCTTTCAGGATTAATATTCTCTTTATTATCATCATCGGATATTGTCAGATTATAATCATCATCATCTTCTCGGGCGCCCACCAACCCAGGCTTTATATTATTAATATTAATTTGTTTAAAAGGTGTACGATGATGTTGTTTTTCTAATGATCTTGTTAATAATGTTTTTGTTTTAGTATCAAGCTCATTGTTATGTAAATTTAACTTTCGATAAGAAGTCATGGAGAAAATCAATTGTAAATCATCGGAGTTTAAATAATAGTTATTCATCAGTTCAAGACAAGCTTTAATATTCTTTTTGTGTAAATAATGATTCAATAAAAAATTCAAAACAGAAAGATAATCAAGATTAAACTCTTTCCGATCGATTGTCATGGTTTTTAATGAACAATGCGTTTCAAGTTCAATTAGATGACGATCAGTACTCTTTTCTTGCTGCATGAAACCGAACCAAGCAGGAAATTGAACAGCATTTAATGTACCATTAAGATATGTTGTTGGAATTACACCAGAAAACATTGACTAATAGAAACAAACAACAGATGAAATCCAATATGAAGATATCATTTTTCTTTTTCGAAAGTTTAATAAATACTCACGGAAAACTTATGATATGAAAACATTTCTAATTTTAGGTTTACATTCGTTTTTTTGCTCGGTAAAAATCCAATCTGATTTTTCAAGTTCATTGAAACAAAAATCATAGACTTCATTTCAATTTATTAAAACAATCGACACCAAACATGTTCGATGTTGAACTTATTTCTATCATTTCTCAATATTGACATTTCAGAAGAGATCAAGACTGTAAAAATCACTGAATCTATTTATTTAAATTTTCTAGAGCAATCTTGTCATGAGTTTATATCACAGAAATAGATCAGTAGCTACTTTTAGTTCGACACCTATAATCCTGATGTGATTGAATTGACAAATATTTTGCTGTTATTTATTTGCTAAAACAAATTCTAACAAGCCGTTCTATGATAAAGATCAATGATTTTTACTAAGTTCATACCCGATGTGAATACTATTTCTTTCTGATGTTGCTGTATCAAAGACGGATATTTACCCTTTTTAATTGAGAATCATTGCTATGAAATGAAATCTCTCTGCATAAGTCAAAAATCTTTATTATTTTCTCAAATATAGAATCTTTCTCTGACATGAGCAAAATAGCTCATGTCTAAACCTATCTTATCATTGAGATTTCAAATAATAACAATTTTGTTTTGACAAACTTACTTGATAGCCTATTAATGATCGACTTCCATTAGTAAAATTCAATTTTGAGCAAACATCACCAAACGTCAAACTATCGGCTGCTTTTGAAATCAATTCGATACGTTGCCGTGTACCAATTGGTTTTCGTTTGCTCGTCATCGATGGAACAACACGAATATAATTATCTTGTATTAGTAATGGTAAAAATGAGGAATCATAAAAATAAAGATTTGTTTTGTCAATTAAACTAATATTCGACGAAGAAAACATTTTCATACAAGCATCAAATGGACTTGTTGATAATGCTTTTTCGACATTGACTACAGTTGATACTGTTGATGATGATTCTTTATAATATAAATGAAGTGAATGAATAATTTTTCTAATATCTCGATTACAACCATTGATTAAATTATCCAGTGATGAATGTAAAATATGAATATGTTCACGTGAACATATATCAAGTATAAATGATTTCACATTCAAAAATGATGGTCGTTCAAATTTTATTTCGTAACAATGTGATATTAGTGTACGCATTTTAACAGCTTGCCGATCATTAGCAATAAATATTATCGGAATTCGTGTTGTTTGAATAAGCTCAATCAATGCTTGAATACCACCTCGATCTTCATTTCCTGTTACACCATCAACTTCATCCATGATCAATACCTAATATGATAAGACGAAGAAAAATCAGCTTTTCTTTTTAAATATATAAAAACTAATATCTTCTAATGCGTGCTCATGAATAGCCTTGATAAAGAATAATTGATTAACTTGTCAATCATTGAAAATTAACCAGATCGCGTTAGAGATTTTAACATTTTGTAAATATATAATTTCAGATTTGTCTTTTGTCATATGATTGATAGTCTATGAGCGAATTTCCTGACCATATCCGACATATTATCTGTTGCTGTACAATAATAGTTAATGGCGAAGAAAAATAATCGTAATTTCAATAGGTGAATTAAGTAGTGAGTAACTATTTTCTCCTCTATTTGTATATGATATTCATCTACTGTTGGAGGTTTTCAACAATTTCTAGATTGTTGGGATTTTTAAATAAGAATGAAAATTCTAATATCAACTAAAATAATATTTCTGTAGATCGACTCTATCTTGAAACAATATAAAGCTAGTTGTCGATTTGTATGTCAGAATAAAATTCTGGGTAGATATTTGAAGAAAGTAAAAAGTTCTGTGCTACCTATATTTTTTAAGCAATTGAAAAATGAATAAATACTTCGTTCAACGATTTCTGTACTTTTAACTAATAAAAAAATCCGATTTTCATACATGTTTATTCATTGCTTGATAGTGATCAGTAAGTAGAGCTGAATTGATTTCGATTTTTTTCATCGTTATTCGTGATCTATTATCGGATGCATTTTGTTCAATGTATGGTAAACTTAATGCTTTGCACACAAGTTGAGCCGTTGTCGTTTTTCCTTGAATTTAAAGTGACATTGCCTTTTGTTTTCTTACTGAGAAATCTATGTAACTTACCTACTCCTGGCGGACCAGTGAGTAAAACAGCCTTGAATTGAGATGGATCAGTTGATGATATAGCTTCTGTTTTCTTTCTTTTATTAGTTGTTGGTTTAGCATGCCATGTATGCCAATTAGTCAAAAAATAGATAAGTTTTTTCATTGATGATTTATCAGTTTGTTGTCCAACAATTTGACCTAATGATGTTGGCTTGTATTTATCAGCCCCTTGTAATAAAATAAATATTAATAAGACAAATAGGCAACACTTAATATAACTTACATAAAATACCATCATCTGATTTATAGAATTTTAATTTTGATAATGGAATAGATACAGGTGAGTTATTTTCATCCGATGCCGGCTTTTTAATAAAAGTTGGTTTAATATTTACGTTCGTATTTCCTGGTCGTGTTTGAATCATTTCAAGTAAATTATCTTCTGAAATAATTTTAATTCGTAATTTTTCAGCTCTATCAGTTTTAGTTTTTCCAGCATCACGTCCAACAATAAGATAATCAGTTTTACCACTAACTGCAGTTGTCACACGACCACCATAATATTGAATAATCTTTGTGCATTCGTCACGTTCTAATGATGGTAAAACACCTATAATGTAAAAATATTATTTAAAATAATAGATAGCATTAAATTCGTATCTCAATACCAGTAATAACAAAAGTTAATGATTTAAGACATCCATCAGCACCTTGAGGAATTTCTTTCGAACCAGGTGCATCTGGTCCACCTCGATTAAGAAAATTTTTGTAGGCCATAGCTTGTCGTTGTCGCTGTTTAGGATCGAGTTGTTTAGCTGTTGGTGCTGCTGAGATAGTTGCAGCTTCAATAATAGCATGATCATCATTATGTGAAGCTTTTTTTGAAGGTGGTGACGATTCATCATTTTTAAGTTTACGCTTAGAAATAAAATTAACAAACCTGGGATATGTTTTAAATATGAAAAAATTAACACTACCTTTTTTCCTTGACGTGGCATCATTGATATCGAGAAGAAATTGAATAATAAACTTTAAATTTAAATGTTTTGCGAAATGTATTTTTCCTATTGAATTGTTTCGATTATTTTCTTATTCTGGATTTGATTCATTCAGCTGACAATTTATAAACGAACGCGAACATAAACAGAACGAGAAAAAAAAACGATCTATCACAATCGAGGGTTTATGCTGTATCGAGAGATATTAGAAACATTTTTTCATTCGATAACTATTCACAACGATCGACTTTTAATTAGATATATTATATGACGGATAGCTTGTCTACTGTTGTTCTACTAAAGACGACGATTATTTGGTTATCAATCTGAAATGTACTGAATGACTGTTTAATTTCAATTTATTTTAGATTTAGAAATTACTTAAATGAGTTTGTTAACATCATTAGCACCAACATCAACACTTTCAAATAATCTTATTATCTATTCATCTGGATCAATACCAATTATTGCAAAAGAGCTTAATTTAAAACAAACATTATTAGGTGGACAATCATTTCGGTAATTATTCTGATTTGCCGAATATATCCTCTCAATAGTAGTGTTCTCGTGTTTACTAGATGGATCGAACACAATCTAAATGAATTCGTTGGTGTTCTCGGTCAATATGTAGTTCGTTTACAACATCAAAATGATAATCTTCGTTATACATTTTTTACAAATAGTGAATATGGAAAAACATTCTCCAATGATAATGATCGTCGTGTCGAAACAGCACTTATTTTACATAATTATTTTCAATTAACAATAAAACTTTGTGAAACATTTGAAAAATGGTGTAAACTAGATACTAGATTTCGAAAAGGACAAATACCAAGTGGTATACGCATTTTAGAACAAGATCCACTTGAAAATTTAATATCGTTTCTATGTTCAAGTAATAATAATATTCAACGTATATCAAAAATGATTAAAATACTATGTGAAGAATATGGGAGAAAAATTGGAACATTGAATGGAATGACTTATTATCAATTTCCAACTTTGGGTAAATTTTATTTTCGAGAGGATTTTGTATGATGAATAGACGATATAAATTTTCGGTCATTTCCATTAGAGTTGAGATTGTTTTGTAATATTCCTGACCTTTTACAATTCAGATGATGAAATATCGGTTAACTTTTTTGGATTTAATTTAGTTAAAAATGTATTCATTTCTATAGATTTTATGAAAGTTTCTAGATAATTACTAAGAATTGTACTTGAATACGAACTGTACTTGTGCCGAAGTTTTTATTTCATTGAGAAAACATTGAATTGACATCATTCTTTACCTTATTACATGAGTAACGATCTAGAAACCCTAATACAATCGAATTAGGCGAATAGTGTTTTAACATATTTATGTAAAAATCTTAAAATTGTATAGAAAATTTTGAATTATTTTCTGATTATGCGCTCTTTAACTTGAGTAATAAATAGTGAAAATGCTGAACAATAGTTAGAAGCACAAATTCTAAACTCTGCAAGTATCGAATTGATTCAGATGAAGCATAGATGCACAAATCGAATCTGACTTTCTTATCTCTGAGATAACATGAAGTTTAATTTGGTAATATCAATCACTTTATCTATGATACTTTAGATGTCAAATGGAAGAGGTTCTACAGAGAGTTTCATTTTCACATAACTATTTGTCAAGATTCTTGAAAAGATTATTAACATTTTTGTTGTTAGAAAATACATTCGATATTTATGCATAGAATTTTGTTTTTGGTTTATATTAAGAAGAAAAATTCATCTTAATCAAATTTAGATGAACTTGATAGATCAGATCTTGAAATACGTTTACGTGACTTAAATTTTGGTTATCGGGCACGATATATTAAAGAAGCAGTTAAATTTCTTAAATATACAGCTGATGGTGGTATGTTATTTTTTGGTCGATTGAAAGCATTATCAACTAGCGAAGCTCGTAATCAATTGGCAAACATAATGGGTGTTAGTCGTAAAGTAAAACATTTTTCATTCATATTATGATTTTTTCATAACCATTTTGAATATTATTCAGATTGCTGATTGTGTTCTTTTGATGTCTCTTGGTAAACAAGACGTAGTACCGATTGATACACATATGTATACATTTGCTATGACTTATTATGAATTGAATAATGAAAATACAAAAAAACAAACTTTAAATACACCTAATTATAATGATATATCATCTTTTTTTGAACAACTTTGGCAGCCATTATCGGGCTGGGCTCAAGCTGTGCGTATTTTTTTCTTCATTCACGTTGTTTATTATTCAGTTTTTTTCAATAGGCTGCATTGTCTAATGAACTTTATTCATCAACTAATCCACGGCATAGTCTCCAGTCATCTGTGTCGTCCTTAAAACGTTCAATAAGTAATGATATTCTCTCGGAAAAATTATTTAAAGCCATCGATGAAAATAATCAATGTCAGCCAATAAAGATAACTATTAAACGTGGTCAATTAAATCAAAAAAAGATATTAACCATTCAACCAACAAAAGAAACATCAAAACGACCTAGACGCAATGTGAAACCGATCGTTCGCTTTTAAATAATAGCAACACAACACACTAGGAATTTCGTAACTCAGTCGGATTCTTCTTTTTAATTAAAATTTAATTAAATTATTTTCGCTATTTCACTTTCATTTATTTGACAACTTATTTTTACACTGTTATTAAAAGTTTGATAACCTATATTATTTCTTTCAAATAAATAAATAAAAAATGTTGTATTCTTGTGTGAATTTAGAATAATTTATTTTCTAATACATTTCAGTGTGATAGAATAGACTAGGACTTGATATAGCATACAGTCAAAAAACGTGTTTTATTTTTAGAGACAGAAAACTACAGACTAAACCAAACCAGTCATATTACAGAAGCAAACTTTTCTTTCAAGGGCAAATTAAAATATTATTGTTTTACAATCATGAACATAAAGATGAATATTAAGAGTAAATATAGCCGACAAATATACGTGATTTTGTTTCTAAATAGAATTTTTATCTAGGAAAAAATGACTATATTGACTTGCACTGGAAAAAAAAATGTTTTTTTCACTTGAACTTTTTCTACCTTAAAATTTAATTATTTTCTCACTAGAAATAATTCTGTCCTCGGTTATCTTATTCATAAGTTTATCTCATGTATTTACTAAGGCTTGATAAATAAAGAGAAATTCCAGATGTGAATTTTCCTGTGACACAAAAGAAAACTATAGAACACTACTATTTTACTCTATTTGACATAGGAACTGCATTGTCGATAAATATTTGTACAAAATAAAAAAAGAACTGACGGCTATAGAAAATCCGATATAACACATGGATGCTACTCTAATGGCAGACATGAAAATCAATTATCATTAGACAAGGATCAATCTCATCTTTATAATATACTCTGAATATGAATCTGTTAATCTTGATACAATCGTACGAACATAATTGCTCGCTGAATCTCACACGACTCTATAAATGAATGCGACTGTCAACTAATGCTCTCTATCACAATCTTTTACATCATTGGTTAGAACAGAACTACTTGTCAATTATTAATTATTGTTTACTATTTATTTGTCATCGAACGAACGGACCGTTGAGTAGACTAGGACGTCATATATATACTCTATCGGAAAATTCGAACAAGAAGAAGAAAAAGAAAAAGGGAAAAAACCTAAATAAATGAATCAAATTTAGTGTGACTGTATGCATGGGTGCACGCTCTCAATATGTGTATAGAAATATTTTTATTTATTTCTAGATGTAACTCCGAATTTAATGCGTATGCTAATGCGTGTGTATAAATGTACATACACATGAATTATTAAATGATAACCGTTTGAAAATTAGAAAAGCACAACCAATCCATATAATGACTAGTCGAATTAAATTACCATTTAAATTGGGCGATTCAAAGAAGATAAATGAATTTGAAGTTAATGAAACATCAAGAAAAGAAGATTTTTCGTTGAGCGAAGTAAAAGAAAAGAATTTTCTCATCGATTAAAACGGCATTCTATTTATTTTTTAAACTTTATTAATCAATAGATTGTACGTTATGGTTTTCCTTATCGACCAACAACCCTTGCATATGATTCTGTACAAAAAATTCTTGCTATTGGAACAAAACATGGTATTATCAAAATGTAAGTTTATTTTCTCAGATAAAATCATTGAAATAATTATTCTTTATTTTTGACAAAAAAATAAAATAGTTATGGTGGTGCATTCGTTGAATGCTCATTATCACATCCAACAGAAGTTGAAATAGTTCAACTGGTATTCCGAATAAATGAGGTAAGTTTTTAGAAAATTATCAAAAAAAAAAAACAAACAAGCACAAATAAATAATGTTTAATGTAGGGTGCTTTGATAAGTGCATGCCGAGATAATTTTATTCATTTGTGGAATTTACGTCAAAAGAAACCAGCTATTGCTCAGTCACTTCGATTTGTTAAAGAACGGTAAGAGTCTTTCATTTTCATTTTTGTTTTCGTTTAATATTTGACGGAAAAAATGACCTTATAAATATTAATGTCTTCTGATGTATGCTTGTTTGTCTAGATGATGAGTTAAACTGACTCTCGTTCTAATCTCTCATGAGATATTAATATCTCTGAACATTTTATCATTTATTCATGCTTCCGGTCGACTAATCGGAAATTGCTTGTTTTTCCTCTTTCTCGTGCTTTTTTTTTACATATACAACCATTCCGATAATAGCATTAAGAAAATCTCTTGTTTATTTGATGCTGATCTAGAAATTAAAAATAAAAAAAGACACCCGAATCTCAGAATTAATAAATTAATAATTGTCTGTACTCAAATAGATTTGACGGTAATATGAGATAGTGCTGAAGAATGCCAATATTCTCTTTGGAATAGGATATTAGCTAGTTTTTAATCAAATATATTTATTGACTCATACAAAAGATGTATTAATCCTCGTACAATTTAACTCTTATCTATTGTTGTCTAGAATTAGCCGATGTCTTCTTCCGCTTGCTTTTAATTCCAAGTGGCTTCTAGTTGGTACACATTTTGGAAATGTTTATGTCATCAACCTTGATACATTTACACTTTCATCATATAAAATTATGTGGAATAATGCCATCGGCATGTATGTATCTTGGTTATTTTTTTTTCTTTCATATATAATTTTTGTTTTTCCAATAGGGGAAAAAGTACACACCCAGGTGTGGTTATTGATTTATGTCAAAATCCTGATGATTCAACACGAGTAAGACTTCTAATTGTTAAAAATATCTGTCAAACCTATGAAAATTATAAAAATCAGATAGAATCTAAAATGAATAATCACCGTATTAAGATAATGCTATTTTGAAGGAAATTCAATTGGAGATGGAACTCGTTTTTTTTTAAATAGAAAATTTTACTAGTTCCTATAAAATTTGTTATGTTCTAGAATCTGAAAAGATGAAAAAGCATTTTGAAGCGAAACAATTGTTTCGTTGGTTATTTCAGTTGAGGAAAAAACATATTAGTCGAGAATAACTATCCTAGGGTACACGCTGTGTTTCTAGATATCCGATCGGCCACAGTATGGACGAATTTCAAAATATTGTTTTTAATTTTTAGCTCTATATTGGCTTTAGTACACATATATCATCACCCAATAATGTTCCTGTTGGACATGTTGTGTGTTGGAATTTACAACAGAAGACATCTGAAACTGTTTATACATTACAAGAAGTAATTTTTATTAATATTTGATGAAAAGAAAAAAAATGATGAATTTCTCTATTAGGGTTTAACATCTATTTCGTGGCATTATGATGGTAGACAATTTATGTGTTCACATTGTGATGGTTCATTATCTGTTTGGAATTTACGTACAACTGATAAACCTGTTAGCATTAATTATCCCCATAGTAAGTAAAAATAGATTAGACTTTTGTTTTATTGATAGGAATGTTTTCTTTTTCGTAGCTCGCATTTCAAAAGATGAACTACGTAAATTTGGTTCAATTTCAAAAGTTGTTTGGAGTTCTGTTAAAAATACGTATGTATTTCAAGATGAGAAAGATAATATGAAAAAATTCATTTTTCATTATAGAAATGATACATTTATAATTTTTTCTGGTGGAATGCCGAATCAAGCTGATCCACAACAAATATCAGCGATTAATACAAATATACCGCCATCGAAACCATCGCCGTTTTTTCTAACTATTCTTCGTGGTCAAACGACAAATGTACTTCATATGGACAATGCTATTGTTGATTTTCATGTTATAACAGCATCACCACACATTGCTGGTAGATTAATCTTATAAAAACATTCGTTTTTCTTTGACTTTATATAAATTTTAGATGCACCTGATCCATTAGCAATTGCGGTTTTACTTGAAAATGATCTTGTGATGATTGATTTGAAAAGTGAAAAGTAAAAATTTTATTTTGATAATAAGTTGCTTCAAATTTGAATTCTTCTTCTTCTTGTTTTCTTCTAGCTATCCTCTTTTCGAAAGTCTTCATACGTTAGATCTGCATGAATCTCCAGTGACCTATTGTGATTATATAACAGAGCCTAATTCAACATTTTATCAAAGTCTACTTCGATTGCAAACAAAACAAGTACCAAAGCGTACCTATAGTCAACAGGTTTGTTTGAAATATTTTCATATCCAAGGATGTAGAAGTTTCGATATGAATCAACAACCAATTTTTCAGTTATTTAAAGGCAGCCGCCTACACTTTGAAGTATTAGAAGTCGACTATAGTTAGAGTTTTCCCTCTTTTTCTCTCCGCTGTAAGTTTACCGGTTATGATCAGATTATTTTTGAAATTGTTCTTGTACAAAACAAGCTTTTGGTTCGTGCTCTATTTTGATAGAAACCTATCATAATTAAAATGTGAAACATTTTTTAATGGTTTCCATTTGCTCAGCCATGAATAGATGTGAGCATGATATAACTGATTTAAATATTTTTATATTGACTAAATCAATATTTGAATGTGATATGTCATAATCAACTATATTATTCATCAATATCTGTGCTTGCGACGAAATACAATAACGCTACATATCAGTTTTTATAGAAGTTCGTAGTAATACGAAGACGATGCCATTCCAAAGTACAAAACTAAGAAATACACATCAACCTCTGTGTTATTTTGTGTAGTCACAATTTTGGATTCTCAACAAATATTATTCATAATCGTTGAATCTATAGCTAGAACTAAAGAATTAAACATATATTCATTTAATGAATTCCATAACATTAGTAATTAACGATGCGTAGTGTTCAAAGCGTACGAAAAATATATGTTTGCAACTAAAATATGCTCGAAAAACTCAACAAAACTATATAATTTGTGATCGAAAGTATAGAAAATTATGAAAGAATAATCACATGCCTCGAGCTGAAGATGAATTTTAAAATAATTTTTTCTCATATATATATAAATTATCAGATGGGAAAACATCAAGATTTCTTCTTTTTCGATTAATGACAATGGCAGTTCACTAAGCGTTGCCGTTATCGTACAATTAAGCTTGAGTCTACGCATCTTCCTTTCATATAGAACAAGAAAGATATGAAGTATACTTAAGAATGTTTGAATGAGTACAATTAATCAAAATTCTTTGTTGAAGCTCGAAGTGACATTGATTTAAAAAGAGAAGAAAGATTTTGGAACTAATCTTAATATGTTACACAGCAAAAGAACATTAACTCTGTCATGTAGAATATAATCATGACTAGTTCCGATTGAGTTATTGCTTAATATAGTTTTAAAATGCTGAAGTGATTCGACTGGAGCTCTTGATTAGATTTCAAACGATCAGATCTGTGTCGTCTGCCATGTTACAAAAAACACTAGCGATTTTATTCCTGTGAGAATAGAAAGGTCATGAACCTTCATAAAGTGATTTTTTTTCCTTCATTATTTGTCTCGTAAAAAGAAAGTATTGATAGATGTCTGAATCTGCAACATGAAATTTAATTATCTACAGGAAATTAGAATGACTAGAAATTGATTTTCAACTTCTGTTTTTCGCATGAAACAAAATTTCGACGCTCTAAATATTTTATTTCACATTTTCTATCCTTTGAAAATTTACAATCGCAAAAAAAAAACATTCGATTTTTCTTTCAAGGAAAATCCGATATCAGGTGGTAAATCCGGTTCGACTATATTTGGCTACAACGAACTTATTATTACTGGGTAAATTATAGTTTTTTATTTTAATGATTTTTCATGGATTTCTTTTTACTTTTAGTCATGCTGATGGTTCAATTAAATTTTGGGATGCATCTGGTTGTAATCTTTTATTTTTTTATAAATTACGTACGAATCGTTTATTTGATCGTACACAAGCAGCAAACTTGTCATCATCATCGTCGTCAGCAACAACAACAACGGCATCGTCGGTATCAAATAAAAAAGAATCTAATACAAATTATAAGTTAGAGTCAAGACCAGCTCGTGCAAATAGCAACGCAGGTGATGAAATAAATCAATCTCAAATAAATTCAACGAATCTATCAAATGAATTAAATGTTTATGAATTTCCATTTGCAATATATTCAATAAAAATGTGTTGCGACGGAAAATATTTAATAGCTGCTGCACGTGGCGGTCATGTCACATTATTTAAGTTTACTGGTTCTGAATTAGACAAAGCCGACGAAGGTTTAGGAGATTTTTCATTGCTAGAAATTCCAATTTTTCATCAAAATATATCTAACGATCACAATGAAGCAAATACAGGTGGAAATCTATCGACAATTAGTGATTTTCAATCATCAGTTGCAAGACCAACTGCAAAGGTAATTTTTAAGTTTTTCTTTATTATTATTATTATTATTCAATAGCACTGAACAATTTTTGTTTTTACACTTCGTCTCAGTCAGAGAGTTGTTCAGTACTATAATAGTGCAGATCAGAGCGTTTTCTATTAACTCTGCTTAAAACTTGTAATGGTCTGAGAAGCGGATATTTTGCGCCGTCTTTAACGTCATATAATTGACAAAGAAGATATGAAAATCATTGTTGAAATGTAGAGGTATTTGATACAAATTGACTTATTACATAATAAATATCGAAATCGAATGAGTGATTGAGTAATCGGACATTTTGAATTGGAACTTTTCAATTAACAAAGTTCTATATGAATTTTGATTGATTCAGATAGACGAACTTCGATTTACTAAAAAAAAAGACGCCACAACTGTACGTAGTTTGATTTTTACGTATATGTAACTCTGATAAATGTTACCATGTACTAGACAGTGTAAAAAATACTTCGAGAAATAAAATCTTTTATTAGAATTAATTGGTGAACTGTTAATTCAATCTAGGTTGTTTAACTTTTAAAACTGATTTTATTTTCTTAGGATTTTAAAAGCTTACTTCGAGCAAAAAAAGGTTATCGTCGTATGGCTGGTTATCAACCTGAACTTGTTTGTCTTTTATCATGGTTACCCAGCGATAAAATACCTGTTTTAACTGATACTTCGATTAATTCCAAATATGGATTGTATAAAAATATCAGCTTCTATTTTCTGAATGTGTTGGTTTATACCTTTGTTTTTTAAATAGATTAATATTTGGCTTAGACAATGGACTTGTTGTGATCGATTATTTAAGTACATCTATTTTAATGAATATGGCAACTGCTGATCTTTATGGTACAATGGATCCATTTCAACGAACATCCATATCTCCAAAACGTCGTGTTGCTGGAAATGATTTCAATAATGACGATCAAACATCTGGAGATTATCAAGTAAGAATTTTTCTTATTGATACCTTTCTTTAGGTCTTTTTCTTGAATTGAAACACCAATGAAAACAAAATATTTCTATCTAGCATCAACCATTGAGTCCCACTCCTTGTACAGTTGAATCAGGATTATCATTCAATCCATTTGCATGTGGTTACGCTGGGCATAGTGCAAATAAACCTCGTTCGAAACAATCGATTCCATGCATGTCTCCATATTCCACAAATGATGTTTCATCGACACCATTTTTTCATTCACGATCAATTGATTCTCTCCCGGGTAATGATCAAACGCTAGGATCACCACCAACAGTAGGAGACGGTGGTTTCCATGATGAAAAATCACACAACACAGGAACATTATCAAAAACATTTCGTACTTTTCGAAGTCGTTGGTCACGTCCATCAACTTTTGATAAACATGACAGTTCACTTGCGTGTATAAATTCAGATCACAGTGAAAAAGAGAACGCTGCCAAAAGTGGCGGGGATGATAATGGAGGAAGTAGTGGCGGCGAAGAAATTAATCAATCACCGGTCAGAGGCAAGCGAGCAACGAGTCCAGATATAACACGACGTTCTCATAAACCTCTTGGAACAACAGTGTCATTGAATGCAAATCGTTCGTTTCCATCAGATAAACGATCAAGAATAGTTACAACACCACCACCATTGAAATCAACAGAGTCAAACGATAAAAATGATGATAGTGGAAGTGGTAGTGAGACAACAAATCTATCTAAAACTTGGACATCATCTGCATATAATCATGCAAAATTACGCGGTACATGTTCCCTTGAATATACTGAACATATGCGAGAAAAATCTCATAAACGAAAAGCGCATATGGTTGATTTACGTAAAGATGATGCTCATCAACAACAACAATCAACTATGATGACATCTACAAGTAAACATTCAATTTCAACATCTTTAACAAGCTCTAATAATCACCCAGTAACACTAATGAATAATAAGGGTGTGCTCTTGTAATTTTCTACTAATCTACTTTATTCATAGTCGATTAGAAATGGGCATGATATCTTCGCTCTTTTAGTTCGCAATATATACTTTTATTTTTGTTTTGCACGCAATTCTATAATTAGATGCTTCTTTTTTAAGAAAAATGATTTGTATTAGAAATTTTAGAATCTTCTTCATTACTTTGACATATAAATTTTGCTCTTAAGGATTAATTTAATTCTTATAATCTATGATTGCTCATATTTGTTATTTTATTTAATTTGTTCTATTAGCATTCTTCATTTCTCTTTCTTCACTATATTCTTCTAGCAATCTTCGCCTCCTTCTACTGCTTCGGCATTCACAGAAAAACGACCTCAGGCTCCGTCTGATATGAATTCTGTTTCTTGTAAGTTTTTCATTGATTAGAAAGAAACAAAAAAAAACACATTTTACTAATCTACATATTTTGGGTCGTATTGTAAATTCGTTTATATATAAATTATACGTATCAGTAATGTTGCTTATTATTGTTGAGAAGAAAAAGAAAAAAAAAACAGTTTTGATTAACTGTTTTGTTAAATCGGCAATATGCATTTCTATGTTTGCTTTGCTTTTACTTGTTTATGCATGTTTCTTTAGCTGAATCCTAACAAATTTAAAATTTAGAGAATGTTTCTATACAATTTGAATTCACTTATTATATATATATATATAGATAAAAGTACGACTTGTGATCTTCCGCGTTCTTCAAGTAATTCAAGTATCGACAATATTGTTTCAAATGAAAGCGTATGCGCTATACAATTTTCCGAATCATTTACTTACAAAAATGGTTTAGTATTATTGAAAAAAAGAGAGAAGTACAAAATAATGTTAATTATATTTTTCTTTTCGTTTAAAGACTTTACGATTTCACCAAGCGTATGGCTAGGCACAAGTACAGGTTGTGTACTTGTTATTAATTTAAATATAATTTATGAACCTCGAAATATCAGTGGTACGTTTCATTCAATTATTCATTAATAAAGATTTGCAGTTTCGTTTTTCTCAATTTTTAGTTGTACCTAGTGGAAGTGTATTTCGTATGTGCGGTCGTTTATTACATATTTCATTTCTTGATCATAAAGGAGTTCTAATACCGTCACCGAGTGAAAAATGGGATGCGAGAAGTAGATATTCATAGTTAAACTATGGATCGTTTCATTTTAATTGAAACATTATTTTCTGTCCTTAGAACCAAAAGCAAATCGATCCAATGATGGTACACAAGACTTAAATGCATCCTCGATATTATCCGGTAGTAATGTAATGTCTTCCTCAGTAGCAAATACTCAGTCAACTAATATACAATATGCTGTTTTCTGCACGTCAAAACAAGCTCGAGTATATTTAATATGATAATTTTTCTTTTAACAACTTCAAAAATCAATTCTCTTATATTTAGGTCGTTTCATTACCATCACAAGCTTGTATTTCAAAACAAAAAATTTATGATTCACTTGGTGCATCAGCATCCAATGTATTTCGAGCAGCTGTTGTTAAAATAGCAGGTAAAATAAATAACATGATGCTTTATCTTGCTAGAAAATTTTTATTGACAATAAAAACTAGGTTCTTTGTGTTTAACATGTTATTTATCGGGCGGTCGTATACATGTGTATAGTTTACCTAGTTTACGTGAATTATTTGTCACAAATCTTGATATAGCTGCTGACACATTCAGGTGACAAATAAAAGAAAATGAGTAAATATTGATGTTAATATTTTATTAATTCAATATAGATCGTTGATTGCATCGACATGTATATTTACTGATCGTGGTCATGGACTCTTTATGTGTTCGCCAACAGAAATTCAAAAACTTAGTATTGCTTCAGATGTTAAGTATGTTGGAATAAAATAATATCATGAATTTATTTGTAATTATTATTTGTTTTCTTCTTCTAGAGAACAAATCAGTGAAATGCTATGTGAATTGTATGATCCATCAATAGCAATGCCTGAAGCACCAAAGCAAAATTTCTTTGCTAAAATTTTTGCTTCAAATACATCCTTAGATTCAGATCAATTATGTATGTCTATCTTGTTTTTCTTTTGTCGAAATTTTCCTATCTAAAATAATATGTTTGCTTTCATCAAAGTCGGCGAAGCTGCTGGAAAAGCACCCTATGGTGTTGCTAAAAAAGAAGATGTCAACGCTAATATGAATCGAATGCGTGGTACTGTTGATTCAGCCTGTGGTGCTGTTAATGATACAAGAAATGTGAGTTCTATTGAGGGAAAAAATGAATATTGCAATGTTGTGATATGTTGTTGGTTGATTTAGAAATTAATTGAACGAGGTCAAAAATTAGGCGAAGTTGAAATAGCATCAAAACAAATGAGTGATCGTGCTGAAGAATTAGCTAGTCTAACACATAAAGTTCTGTTAAAACAAAAAGAAAAAGCTGAATGGTGGTCATTTTCATCGAAGAAATCGTAAATTAAACAATAATAATCTTGCCTACAAACAGTCAATATATACATATATATATATATATATATCACACATTTCGTTCCATTTTTTGTCATTGTTGTATTATCTTAGATTTATCAATATCTTTTATCTACAAAAAAAACGTTCTCATCATTTTATTTTGTGCTTTTGTATGAGTGCAATATTCTTAGAAAATCACAATGTGTGCATGTTAAGACTCAAAATAAAAATAAACAGCTTATTGCTACATATCTCTCTCTCTCTCTCTTTCTCTATCATGTTTTTTCTCGTGGCACTATTCATACTTTTTTCTCTTCGTGTTATCTTATTAAAAGTGTTGTTCTTTATTGTTGTGCATACTAGTTTTATATTTCCGTTCGATACATGCAATAATTTCTTTACTACGTATACACACAGACAGAACACATTCCTATATTAATATTATTATTATTATTATTATTATTATTATTATTATTTTCTTTAATCTATATTTGCGAAGAACAGTGACTTAACTCATAATCATATGTATATGAATGTATGTGTGTGCATGTGTTAACAAAACAAAATTATGTATGATAATGGTGACTCTTTTTCGTCTGTTATTCGTTTCGCTCGTAAGTCATTCTTTGCCCGAGTTTGGTTTTTCGTTTAACTTATTTTCTCTTTTTTCCCCATAAATCATCATGTTCTCATATTTGAAAGATTCTCTATCTGGTATTGATTTTGTTTTGTTTTCTAACCTGTAGCCTCTTGCTGTATTTTTGTTGGTGTTTTAAAAACTTTCTTTTTACTTGTGTGCGTGTTTAATAAAAGTGGTATCGTTCATTAAGAAGAAATTTTCCAAAAACATACAACTGCTATAAAGCAAAACATAATATGTGGTCGATAATCTTTCATATTTAATTTCAAACGAAAAATTGAAACAGATTTCAAGTTCGTATTGTAGATGCTTCATTATTGATAATAATCAAAAGGAAATTATTCTAGTGAATTAATCTCATTTATTTTTATTAGATTTCATTTTTTTAATTTGTTTAAAAGCAAACTAAAAGTAGTAGCGTCTTTTGAATTTCATACTTGTTTCGATGGACTATGTTTCGTACGTGCAGTATTGTTAATGTCTGACTCTATACAACAGTATTTGATAGGTTTTCATTAATTTGAGCTAAGCGTTATCAGTAAAAACAGATGAGTACTGTGCTTTTATTAGTATTCTATGAATTGATTTCCTTGTTATTGTTCATTTTCATGTGCCGTTGTTTTTTGCAATTCGTACTAATATCTATTACAAGTCTCAACGCACTATACTCTATAATGATCACGTTAGTAGTACTAGTATTGATTATTTCCTGAGATTAGAATTATGCAGTAGCATGTAGAATTTTATTCAAACAAGATAATATCATCATCTGGAACATTTACAGATATATACCAGCTATTCAAGTTTCGAGGAAGCTTTCGAGAAGTTGTAGAACAACCAAAAGTTTTGCTTTAAAAACTTTTCTAATAATCATTTTCAGTAATTTTTTTTTGTATACTCAAAAAAAAGAGTACACTATATAATCGGTCAATGTGTCCGTCCGTCCGTCCGTTTATTCGATAACTCTTTACAATTACATTCGATTGAGCTGAAATTTTGTGCACAAAATTGTCTCATGAATATCTAGGTCGAGTTCGAAGATGAGAAGGATCTGCCAAGAAATGGCTGAGTTATCAAAAAAATTGTCATTTTTGATCAGACCATCCCTGAGGCGGGGTACAGGGATTTTTCCAAAAAAACGTTTTTTCTCAGAGTTATCCACAACATATATAAGTCGACTCAGTTTTTAACGCTGATTCAAAATCTGATATTAATTTTGAACTAAATCGTAGCTTTCTAACGAAACATCGCCTGAAAAGCGTCTCAAAATACATAAAAACTGCATCCAGAAATCAAATTGCCTAGTTTCTCATGATAATTTTCGTGTTCAGACATTCTAGAATGACTCATATATCCCATGCACTTTTTGCAGTACACATAACTCTCGGATGAAATCCGAACTTTCCACATTTATTTAATTCTAATCTCAACTTGAAATCGATGAGTGATTTTTCCCGATATTTTGTTTGAGAGAGATTTTTTAAATTTGAATTGAAATCTACTCTCTCGTTTGATATTTATATACCTTTTATTAAGATTTCTTGAGTGAAGATGTTTAAATAAACTCTATGCACATCTATAATCATCATTTTCCTCTAGATAATATGTAAATTTCATTAAAAACTCAATTAGAAGAAGTGACAAATATTGTTCTTCATAAATCAAACGAAAATCTAATGAAGCTTTTTTTTACTATTTATTTTCATAATTTCAAACGAATGTAGGATTAAAAATATTAAATCAGTCAAAATGACTTCTTATTTTATGTTTTAATTTAAATGATACCAAATATCTTTTTCAATTCAATGATTAATTTCCAATCTTTTTCTTGCATTTCTTCACGAAAATAAGCTTTAAGTATATCGATTGATTCTTGAGATACCTAAATGAAGCATATCTTCAACTCAAATTCAATATATCAATTCTATTCACTTACTTTACTCATTAAAATATTGAACAATTCATGCCCAAGAAAAGTGCGTAACGGCCGTAAACCACGTAAAAACGGTATAAAAGGTTCAAAAAACGGCGCTGTTTCCCGTCAGCTCGGAAAGCGACGAATATAGTGTTAAAAACGATGGCCGTTTTCTAGCGAAAAAAACGATCCGTAAAACGAGCTGACTGGCTAAATATGGTAAAAATTAATGCCTTATTATACTGTGTAATAGCCGTTTCAGGCCTTTTAAGATACTCATTCTGACGGTCGGAATGATTGTCCTGGGAAGACAAGGTAATTTTTAAAAAATACTTTTCTTGAAAAATATCTTTTCATCTTTTTCGAAGAAAATTATCGAAATCCTTCGATTTGCTCGTAATAGCCATCATCATTATTTAAAGAGTTACGACATAAATGGTAAGACAATCGAAATCGACATTAAAAAAACACAAGAAAATGTTACTTTAATTGTATCAGTAAGTAGAGTATTATTGAATTAATGAAAATAATTTTTTGAAGAAATTTCAGGATGATCTCAGACTATTCGAAACGGTGCAGTTTTTATTGGATCATTTCGTCAAGAAAGAAAATAGGAGTTCAAGGTAAAATCTTATAGTTCTTAAATACCCAGGTCGAACAGTACGGTCCGTATACGACCGTTGACGGCTACTTTACGACTATTTTCCGGGTAAAAGTTTGTCGTAATATCTGGCGCAGTAATACGGACCGTATGATCATGAGAGTACGGAGCAGAAACAGCCGTAAATCATCGAAATTCAGTGCCGTTTACGGTGCCGTATCACTGTACCAGGTATTACAGGCAAATACGGCCTATTTACTGCTGTAAATAAACCGCTCTGATATCGTTTACTGTCGATAAACAGACCGTAAACGAGTCCGTTTTGATCAACCAAGGTAGATTTGCATTTTAACGATAATGATATTGAATGAGTAATTGTCTTTGGTAGTTATCAAAAGTTGGAAACATTGAGCGAAATCCTAGATAGGTGTTTTGCTCGTGTATGCTCGAACATTTCATCATCAAACAGTATTTCAACAACGATGAATACTTTATCATCAAACTGTTCTCCATATGATTTATCAAATAATCAAGGGACACCTCCATTATTAAATACCCAGGACAATGATTTCTGAAGCAGTATTCCGTGCATTTCCGGCGAAAACCAGCAAGAAACTCGCTGTTTCCGACCGGAACCCACCGGGAATTGTCCGGAATTCGATGCAGGAATCCGGAAACCGTATCTGGCTACCAGTTTCGACAGGTTCCTGTCGATTATGGCCCGAACCGGAGAAATCCGGTCACCGGATCCTTTCACCGGAATACTGCTTCTATGAATTCTCCGGAATACCACAGAACCGGCCGTTTCCGGGACCGGAATGCTCGACCTGGGTAGTCAAAATTTAGCAGCATCCATGAATTACATGGATTCACAATCACAATATACGCAACTTCAAGTATTTTTGCTTTTCTCAAAAACAACTTCAAAATTTTCCTCTTTTTTAGAAAATTGATCTTCATCACCGTACGTTTGTTTCGTTAAATTCAATGCCTACATATTATACTCAACAAGATCCTAAACATGTATCTTCATTAAATTATGTTGAAACGCGTAATACGAATGTATCAATTGATCAATCATTTAGTCATGAACAAGCAGATAAATGATTTTCTTCTATCGTTTTTCTTCTCTTTCATTATATTCATTTGGTGAAATATAAAAATCCTATTTGAATTTCTAAGAAAATTTTTATTTGGCGGTTTTGAAATTTCATCATTAAGATAATTAAACATATACACTCAAACATTCATTAACTAAATTGTGGCAAATCGGATTGATAGAATATTTGTAAAATAAAAAACTTGATGTTTCAAAATAAGTGTTAAAAATTAAAAGAAGTTAGCTTTTATCAAACACCTGCTATATGTAGAAATATTCTTAGAATAATTGATGGGTGAGAAGAACGTACACGTTTATATATTCAAATTGACTGTTATCATATAGAGTACGTTCTATATTACATGCACCTCATTCTGTTCTATATTAGATGTTACAACTCATAGTATTAGGAAAGGATTCAGAGAAAAAACAAAGAAAAGATCATCATATAAGAATAAACCAACGAATATGCTCATCGTTATCGTATGACATATTGAACAAACGAGTATAGAAAAATAACGATATTCTTTCAATTATCAATTTAGACTTGAAAAATGCGCTGATATTGTTCTTCTTGACGGTATCGGTCAAATAGAAAAAAAAATGAATCTATACATCTATACAGTATAAAACCTCTCTTGAGTGAACGCTATGCGGACCGTCCAAAATGTGTTCACTAAGGGAGGTGTTCATTATAGGGAGGTTTTGTATTGACTGACCTTATAATATATGTAGAAAACAACATTTTTCAGATTCTTGATTTATGAATTCATGCTATGTATAATAACTGAAGTAAGTATGCATTGATTAATTCACTCTTTCATCTACTGTACAGTTTATTTACTGTTAATTTTAAAAGTATTTCATCTAATTTACAACTTATTTACTTCTGATTAACACACATTTCTATATATTCAGGCTTGCGTTTGATGATTTTTGATACACTTCAGATAGAGATTTTGTATTTTTTGACAAGCGCACGATATTAAACGTTGTTTTTATTTTCACGAATTAATTCTATTTTTTCAGATAAAGTCAACATGTTTCGTGCCTTCATCTCACAATAATGTATAAGAAAGCGAAAAGTTCTGTCTATTGAGATAGCCGAACTCGTCATACTCTATTCAATTTTATTTTTCTGTTCTTTTCGTGCGACAGATTCATTCGTGCTGCATTGACGAGCATTCATTTTCATATAATCGTTCAACATATAAGCACCGCTTTTTATTTCTCTCTTTTTTAATTCTGGTGAAAGTGCACATTTGATAGCTTATATGTTCACTATGCAGAGGTTTTCTCTAGTAACGTAACCAAAAAAAGTGTTCAATGTTCAGAGTACGGAGGTGTTCACTTTATAGAGGTTCACTCACAGCAACATTTTCTTGGGGGGACCAAAGCATGCGTTCAGATTAGAGGTGTTCCCTAACAGAGGTTTTACTGTATATGAATGCATGTGTGTGCATGTGTTAACAAAACAAAATAATGTATGATAATGGTGACTTTTTTTCTTCTGCTATTCGTTTCGCTCGTAAGTCATTCTTTGTCCGAGTTTGATTTTTCGTTTAACTTGTTTTCTCTGTTTTCGAGTAGCTGTCTAATTCGACTTCGACTATAAATGGAAAAAAAACACTTTCATTTTTTCTCGCAATGGCGAGAAAAGATTTAGTTTTAATAAATTATACAATTTATAAATTGACCTTCACTCCCATTTATAAGTTAGGAATAGATTTAGATTTCCTGGTTATACACTGCAAAATTTATTGAGGTTGTAGTAAGTAATGCTTGTTGGATAGTTTTAATTCTCGTGTAGATTTGAGAGATATGAATATAAATTTGTTTAGTGCAATTTAAATTTTTTCGGATGAAAGACTTGAATTTGTTTGTATCGGGTTTAAATATTGCTGCAGAAGAATGTGCTATATCAGTATCAACAATTCGAAGAGAATCAGGCCTGATTATTGTTTTTGAATTTTAGTGGTGTAAAGTGTTTTAGTATATGGGGTAATACGACTCTTTTTTTCGATGTTGTATTCGGAGAGGCATTATTTTTCGATGTTGTATTCGGAGAGACATTATTTTTCGTATGGTTGTGTATTGGATTGCTTTCATTGGCTCGATTCATAGTCGACGGTGGACGTAAGCGCATTTTGACTATTCTGCACTTCATTCTGTATGCTTTCGATTGCATTTTATGACATGGCTGTATGAATTCGTTTTATTTCGTCGTTGTTTGCTTTCTGTCAGCTTTCTATGGTGTTACTATAAATAGACGGTGTGCACATTGCTTCACATGATTAGAATTTCTTTTATTTCGTTCACGTTTATCACAAATCGAATGGTTTAATTTTTAAAATAAATCATTTAGATAGATATTCTTTGTATAGAAATTATAACATTGCAGGGTGTGGGTGCAGGTGTCTGTAGACCCGTTGTCCGCCTTTCCCGGTCGAAGAAAACGATCAGTAAACGATCGTATACGATACAAATACGACCCGTTTTACGTGCCGTATTTTCCCCGTACACTGTAAACTAGAAAATTACTTGTAGAATTTAATCAAGGATATTCCAGGAAGGCCTATATGAATTCACCGATGAATTTTTAAATTCTTGAAAATAAGATATTCAAAAGATAAAAAAATATGAACTTCGATTTTCTAATT